CCTTTCGTGAGAGAGCAGCGAGACCTCACCAAAGCAGTGTTGAAGCTTTCCGTTTCTGAAAAGCCAACACACCACATACTGACTCGCCCGGCGACACCGCAAGAATTCGTCAGACAGACTGACTGACAAACGGTAGTTTAGTTAGAGAGGCAGGGCAGCTATGAATGCAGGAGATTGTGTGTGTGTGTGTGTGTGTGTGTGTGTGTGTGGGGTCCATAGTGAGATATCATCTTTCCCTAGTCTGTTGAGTCACAAGGAGGAGGAAAAAGTGGACAGAGGGATTAACAGCCCATAAATGCTGCATCTACTCAATAACAGCTGTCTGCAGGCTTGTTGCTTTGGAAATGATTGATAGAGGCTCACACTCCAGAGGCCTGTGTCATATCAGCAGCCAGTTTTATGGTCAGGGAGGCACAGAGTCAAAACTCTCAAGTCACGCTATCTCCGCAAGGGTGTGTCCCACTGTGCTAACAGGACACACAGCCACTGACAGCGTAGTAAAACACACTCGTAAACACAGATGTATGCCAGCATGTCACACACAGTAATTCAATTATAAACCAATTGGTTCAAAACGCGGTTTTGCAAAGTGGTTTAGGGCCAAAGTGTGACAACAGGGCGAGAGAACATTTTACCACAGTTGCCATGTTCAGAGGAGCACTTGTTTCTTTCACCATGATGCACATTTCTATCAGGACAGAGTAAAAAGTAAAAAATTGTTGTTTAAATTAAAGTAAAATAACTGATATAGTCCAAAATAGACAGCATGACCGTTGAAGACTTGAGGTGTAGGATCTTAAGAACAGTAGTAGTAGTAGTGAAATATGAAGTCTTTTTAGAGTCCCTTACTTTTATTAACTTGACCTCTTTGGTTAGATCCCCCCTAGTTTTTGACTTTGAATTCTTTTATGATTTGTTCTACAGTTCTAAAATATGGATCCATGTACACCAGAAGTATTCAAAAGTTCAGTTGTATGTCATTTCAGATGTCCCGCTTGTAATGTTGAGTACAGTCAAAACTAAATGTTGCTTGATTTCCAGATTAAGTGAACACTCAAGAGGACCAGAGCTGTGTATGAACACTGAACATCATATAATAAACTAACTGTTTTTACGAAACGTCCTGTTGAAATGGATTTAACAATGAACTACTCTTGAAAATTATATTTATCTATCTCTTATCTAAACCATACGGTTACATCTCTTGACATGTTGATGTGCCATTTTGGGGCCTACATGGAACCCTACATGTAGCTTTGGTCGGTTTGAGAGTTAGCAGAAAAGATCAATACCCTTCAAATCAAGCTACAGATCAGAAAATTTGTTCTCATGTCAGTCTGCTCAATAGGAAGCTAGAGCCAGCCGATGATTAGCTTAGCTTAGCATAAAGACTGGAAACAGCTCTGTCCAAAAGAATTGGCAGCTATCAACACCGCTTTCTGAATAACACGTTAAATCTTATTTGTTTAGTTTGTACAAAAACCAAATGCTGACAACAGGACTCCACTTGCCACAGAGACATACATACATATATATATAATGTGTTAATTAGTGAGAAATTGGCAGGTAAATATTTTTGATGTATTATATATACATATATAGCTGGTTCCCCCTGCTTCTAGTATTTGCTTATATATATCTCATTATATTTAGTGCACAGACATGACAGTGGTATCGATGTTACTCCAGCACAAAAGCAAATAAACATTTTCTTTAACCTTTAACCACCTGCTTTTCTTTACGGACTGCTAGTTTTTTAAGGACTTAAAAGTAAGATTAGGTTATGTTTGGGTTTAAAATGAACAAATATGTAGTTGTGATGTTTAAACTAACTGTTGCTAACTATACAGCTAATATAACTGAAAGAGCAATGCATGCTGGTTGTTTCAACCTGAAGCAGGCGACAATGACCCCGCTGACCTGGAATGGACCCAAGGAACTCTGAAAGTGCAGTTCAGTTGGTACGGGGGCGACGAGGTAAGTGAACTGGAAAGGGACAAAAAGAACACAGCGAGACAGGAAAAGAACATTCATGGGAACGCGAGCAAGAGGAGGATGACATACTGGGTGGTGCCGTGGCTTCCGGTGGTGTTCTGACTGATTCAGAGTGGCATGTTGTTTTTTATTCGGCTGCTATTCAGCCATGTGCCCATCACAGCCTCCTGCAACATCCTCACACAGACACCTTTCCAACTGACAGCCAAATAAAAAAAGGAAGACAAACATGTCACATCAGTTCCTGTTAGCTATGGGTGCCAAGAGGCAGGGACTGTTTTCTTCTTTTGAAAATTGTTCATCTCATAAGAACCCTGGAACTGGACCTTTTTAATGCAGTCATCATTAATGTTATCAATTACACCAATGCTTTTCCTGCATACATTGCAAATGTATGTTGTGAAAAAGGAGTATTCGTCTTCGTAGATGTGCCAGTATTTACTGTAAGGAAATGTGTTGGGATTCTCCCTCATAGACATTTGACTGACTTTTCAGTGGTAATCATATGCATAATGAAATCTCAACCTGCTTTTAAAAAGTTCTGCAGTTAATTCTTTAATACATCTTAGTTATGGCAAATGGTCTTTCTGACCTCTCATACATTCACACGTTGATGGCAATTTGGGGTGTGACATGCAGACTTTGCGAGCCGGGATTGAACCACCGACCAACCTTCTGATAAATGGACGACCGCTTTAACCAGAGTCACAGAACATCATTTCATCATTATGAAATTGTGGTAGTTACATTTAGGCCCAATCCCAACGTCCACCCCCACAGACTTTGAGGCGCGTTCCCGGTGAAAAGTGATCGTCCACCAAAAACTGATGTTTGGTAGGCCTATGTCTAATATCGTTGTTTATATTTTGAAAACTGACTGTAGCCTAATTAACATCACTTACTGCCAACTTAGATATAAAATTAAGACAATTTAGTAATAATCCTTATGACTCTGCATTATTTTACTTGCTGTGTAGGCCTACCAACCAATCCACTCTTTTTTACCTGTTAAAATACCTTTAAATGGCCAATACAACTCATAAAATGCAGTATTTCACTTGCCAGAAAATGATTGAAGCCTTTTTTTATTGACTGAAAGGTTATTTCTGCCCTGAAATTAGTTGATTAAATTCAGAAGAGTTATAGTTGACAGATTATAACTCACCAATAACTTTAAGAATACTTCTTAAAATGTAAACTAGCGGTCAAGCCTGCACTTTTGCAAGTTTAGGTTTAAGGACGTGTTTCTATAACAGTTCCAAATTAATTTTAAGCCAGCATTGAAGAGCCAAAAAACCAAACAACAGGACCTGACTTTGTGAGGCTGGAGTCAAATATTGAGTCACACACACACTAAATGATTTAAACATTTCTCTCTTCTCTTTATTGACCCATCTCTCAAACACGCATTCATCTTCACATTCTCAACCTCTCACAGTAAAACAGTTTAATAACAAAATAACACATTCACATTCAGTTTTCAAAAGCGAGGCAAAATGTACAATAACTCATTTACATGTATGTAGTGGCTTAATCCACTCTGCAAATATCACAGCATCCTGCCATTACATAAACATTTATTACATAGACAAATGTGTTTTTGGTGTTAATGTCACTTTCAATGTAGTAGTAACATATGCAAACATCTTTTCACATCTTTTGGACCCATACAAAAAAATAAAAAATTAAATAGTAAATTCAAGCAAGCAAACACAATAAAATGTTTTCAGTCTATAAGTGACAATGGAGTCAGGTCTGCTTTAAGTGAGTCTTCAAACAATACTACAACAATACTTTTGCATATTCAGCCCATTTATAAATACATGAAGTATAATTGAAATCATTGCCAATCACCTACTGAGGCATACCATTGATATTTGAATGTGACCCCCAGACCCTTTCAGGTGTCTGCACTCTAATGCCTGAATGTATTTAAAACCAAACAGCTTGAAGGACTACATAGAAAAGCATTTTTAAAAATGTCAAATATCCTTCAAGTCAACATGACAATCACTTTACCACATTCATCTCATATTTTCGCAGCTCCTCAAGATCTAACTGTGGATCCATTTCCAAATGAATAGGTTGGCATTTTCCTCTATCCTATGGTTGTGAATTTGGGGCAACTGTCAATGGAAGCATTGGGAAATTGATGAAGAATAAAATAAACTGTTAGAATGCTTTTAGCGTTCCCTTGGAGAGTTTGTTGACTTTGAACCTTGGCATTAAAACTGAATTTAAGGTAAAAAGATAGGCCACATATCTGTGGCTTTGCTTACAAATTGTCAAGCAACTCACAAATACACAAAACGTGGACCAACTAACAAAGTGCAATAGTATTACTATGTACAGTAATTAATAAGTACAGTGATTGTCAGAAGATGCTCCAAACTGGACTTTTCAGTCCACAGCAGTAAGTCTTATGCTCTTCCAGTGTCTCACATTGTTCCTGTTACATGGCATCTCTGACAATCGCTGTCTCAGTCACGTAGGAGAATCTCTTTCAAAATAGATCTAGTATCTGGACTCAAAGCCATCATCCAGTGTAGCTCCACCCCCGAATGCTTTAACACCCATAGAGCATAAATTAATATTTTTCATTCATATTCTGTAGATGGATTTTTACCACCACTTAACATATGAACACAAAAACATGCACACGCTGATGTTTTTTGTAAGACAAAATGCCACAGGATACATGGATTAAGAAGTGCAATGCAAGGGAAAAAACATCTTCAGATTGGGACATACATTTCCTCATTAGTAAACCCTATTGCAGGTTTTCCCTCTGTAAGCATTCATTTAATCTGTGGCATCACATCCAGAGGTTCCCCAAGACAACTCAAACCTCAACCACAGTCCTTTTAACAATCTAGTGCTAGTTAATGCAGCAATGTTTTACAGCTTGAACATCCTTAGGAGGTCCCAGCAGAGCCAAGTTTGACCCCGATCAGGGTCTGACTAGTTAGAATAAAGTCATAGGCACTGGTTTAGTCCTCTGTTGAAAACCGAGCAAAAAGAAGTCCTTCTGTTAAATGTACAATATGTCTGCATGTGTACAAGATAGCATGCGTCTGCACAACTAGCAGGGAGCGGCAGGTTCAGCTGTTGACTGTAGCGCTGCAGGGAAGGTGGGATGAAGGTCTTGTGACTGCAGGAGCCTACAACACAAAACGGAATATATTAACCACTGCACTGGTAATGCACTTAAAAAAATATGATATTCAGGGGTGAATTGTTAAAAGGATTCTATATTGAATGAATACTACGACAAAAGGATTTGAGCGACTCTGACCAGAGCCTAATTTGATGGCTACACAACTGGGTCAGAGCATCTCCAAAACTGCAGCTCTTGTGGGGTGTTCACGGTCTGCAGTGGTCAGTCCCTATCACAAGTGGTCCAAGGAAGGAAAAGCAGCAACAGTGTCAGGAGCGGCCAAGGCTCACTGATGCATGTGGGGAGGGAAGGATGAGGTGAGCATCAGAACTGGACGACGGTCTGATGAATCACTGGGTGGGTGTGCGTAGCTTACCTGGGGAACACATGGCACCAGAATGCACTACGGGAAGAAGGCAAGCCAGCGGAGGCAGTGTGATGGGAAACCTTGGGCCCTGCCGTTCATGTGGATGTTTGTCTACAAGTAACACCCACCTAAACATTGTTGCAGACATGTACACCCTTTCATGGAAACCGTATTCCCTGATGGCAGTGGCCTCTTTCAGCAGGATAATGCTTCCTGCCACAAAGCAACAATGGTTCAGGAATGGTTTGAGGAACACAACGAGTTCAAGGTGTTGACTTGGCTTCTAAATTCCCCAGATCTCAATCCAATCCAGCATCTGTGGGATGTGCTGGACAAATAAGTCCGATCCAGAGGCCCCACCTCGCAATTTGAAAGGACTTAAAGGATCTGCTGCTAACATCTTGGTGCCAGATACCACAGCACACCTTCAGAGGTCTGTGGAGTATATGTTTCGATGGATCAGGGCTGTTTTGGCAGCAAAAGGGGGACCAACACAATATTAGGCAGGTGGTCGTAATGTTATGACCACCTGCTACTATATCGGCAACCTTATTATCAGCTTTGGCCATTGAAATTGGTCAACCACAAAAATGTACCAACCATCCCCGGGATAATCTGACTTCTCCACGAACAAAATCTTATAGCCTCTTACATATTATTCTGATGGCAAAATAATGCAACATAAAAAGTTTCAATCCTGAAAATCTGCAGAACAAAAACTGTATTCAGGATTTTTCTGCATCATTACCAATTACTGAGTACGTTTTTTCCTTTAATTTATCCCCCATCTGTATATATTCTGTTCAAACGTGAAATATGAAGTCATAATTAAGGGTTGTTTTTGTTTGCCTTAAAGTACTGCGTATGACTTATGACAGCTTTAATAGTTATGAATGTGGTCAAAATTAAGGATGCACCAATCCAATACTGATAAAGTTGTGTGCCTTCCACAGTAGCATCACTAATTGTGCTTTCAGAGCAAAAGCGAAGCAAGCGTTTGGGGCGGTGAGTTTACATACAAAGTCAATGCAAAGACGCGTAGAGCTGCAATTTCCTGTCGGGCGGCGCGAAGGGGGCGGTGCCGGCAAGGAATTTCGCATGACACTGAATCGCGATAGCCTATCAGCGTTGCGATTGTCTGTACGTCACCGACAGCTTCAGAGCGTTGTGTGGAGAGGGCCAGGCAGAGTGGCCGACTGAAAATCTGCAGGCGGCTGAGAGCTGCTAAACTTGGGCTAGAGGAGCAGGGAGCAGCGCTCCAGCTTTCGGACAAATAAACACCTGTAGTCGGACTGGATTCTGCTCTGACAACTACACAGTTTGCTTCGGGAGGAGCTCGGACTAAACTGCTTTTATTAAATTAGCATTTTACTTCAGTTTTTAGGATTACAACGTTGATTAATCTTAACTGGAGCTTCTCAGCAGCTAGCTTCCGTGCACATCCGGTTTCAGTGTTGTTGTTAGTGTCGTTAGCTCTGTCGGACTACGACTTCATATTTATATTAAAAAAAAAAAAAAAAAAACGGACAAAACTGGACATTACTTGGAGAAAAGAAAGTGAGGAGGTTGAACTTCCTGGAGAGTTCAGAAAATGTGTGTCTGTACTTTATTCCAGCTATCGTACTTACAACAATACTGTGACCAAGTTAGCATAGCATAGCCCTGATCGATCCGAACTCCATTCAGAAAACAAACATTTTAGAAGTTGTTGTCCTGCTGTCTTGCTGACAGACCGACAAGCATGAATTCATACGTTTAACAAATCTGTATCATATTGTAGTTTTTCAGCATCAGTTTGATCCGTTTATTGCTATTTAATCACAGCAAAATGTTTACTTTGGGTTCATACAGCTGTGAGTTGTGTTTATTCGCGTTGTGTGTGAACACTCCAGGGACGTCCAGCGATAAAAGCGCTGCGTGGATTAATTCGCATTTGGTCTGAATGCACAGTAAGCCCCGTGTCCACCAAAGCGTTTTTTTCCTGACCGTCTTTTTTCAATTAATTGCAATGGGAGCAGCGCGTTTTTACAAGCTAGTAAAAACACCAGCAGCGTGACGAGGCACTGAGCATTTTATCCGCGCTGGGCTCTGTGCGTTTTTTTTCCCCCCCGGTCGCTGAGAGTTGAAAAATGTTCAACTTTGGGGAAAACCCTGCGCTCGTCACTGTCACTTTTTACCCAGCCATCCAATTACAGTGCGGGAGGGGCAGGACACACCGAGCTCATCCGATCTTGAACGAAACAATGAGTCTACTCGTCAAGGTGTTTCCTTGCCCGCAAAATCTCATGAACCCACGTACTCATGTTTCAACCTTCTCTTCATGCAGAGCAAGGGCCAGAGCAAGCACTTTGTGGTGACATTTTTACATTCAGTAAAATTAGCCTAAGTAGGCTACCCTACTTGCAGCACATCACCTTCACGGAAATTATGCATCACAACCACAGTGTCTCGAGAAAAAAAAAAAAACACTGCGCCTCCAAAACGCACCCTAGCGCTCCCAGCTAGGCGTTTTCAGAAGAGCAGGTGACATTTTCAGCTGATAAAAAAAACGCTTTGGTGGACATGGGCCCTAAGTGAAGCTCTCCAGAAGTGAATGTAATGTGACTGCTGTTTGGTTACTCTACTTGTATGTGTATGTTATGTATGCTTAAGGCTCTGTACACACTGAAGCCAAATTTCCCGTGAGGAATAATAAAGACTATCTAATCCAATATCTGCTTGATACTGTCTGAAATAGCTGGATGGCTTATCGGTGACAAGTCAATTCAATTATGCAAGTACTACGCAATGCATCAGCAACACGCCGGTAGACTGAACATTTTGCTAGGAGAGCTAACATAGCATGGAGCTAAAAACAAAGGGTCAGCAGTTTGGAGGCATTTCATGTTTGATCAGGCCTGATGTTGCCTTACACATAAAGATTCCCAGTCTCTTCCTCACAGTGAGGAATACAACTTATTCATTTTACACTGGAACTTTAGGATCGATACTCTGCATCGGCAGATACCCGTTGCCAAGGTACCAGTATCGGGACTAAAAAAAGCCAGATTGGTGAATCCCTAGTCAAAATCTATTCTTTGTAAGAGAGAAGACATGTGAAGTCATACATATTGTATAAACCAGACATTTAAAACTATCCAACTCCTCCAATTTGAAATACTTAGAATGCTTCCCCTTCTCAATCTCGCCACCCGGCAGATGAGTGACAGCTGTGTGGACCACAGCGGTCTGCAAAGTTAAATATCTGGCTGTAGTGGAATCATTGTGTCACTGGGAGTTTTAGTGAATGCCAGTTGAGGATGTCACATTTTATAACAAGCAGTGTCATCACACCCCAGCCTGCTGACTAGCAGTGTGGAAACATCACCTTGGGTAACAAACAAGCCGTTCATCAGCACTCACCCCCCCTCAGCGCAGTGCATCATTCAGTCTATATCACTCTGTCAATCAATTTTTAATAATAATTTTTGGAATATAAGTTTTCATCACCAAGCTAAAACATGACATTATTTTTCATCCTGTTTTCATGATAAGCCCATTACATACCCTTTCAGCTTATTTTACAAAAAAGGTAGACTAAATCAACTTTCTTTTACCTTTATTAAATGAGCTTGCCTGCAGAAAGGTGAGCTCCTCCTGTGTGCAACGACTCAACATAGGCCAATGCACTCTGCATGGAGGTCAGACAGTAGCCTTCCTCTCCTATCAAATAGCTGAAAAAGAGAAGCAAATGTTAGCTGTTAGCTGATGTCCGTAAAAGTGATAAATCTGGTTTCTTCCATGGTTTCTTCCATTTACTTTTGACGTCAAAGAAAACTGTGAAAGTGAAATAGGGACACAGAGAACTTAATTCTGACAGATCTGAACACAACCAGGCGTGACCACAAAATCCCCAACATCCAAGCACAGATTAGAGCCCCAATTTATTTATTTTTACTGTAATCACCACATCTTCCCATAGTGAGTAAAAAGGACAAAAGGTAGCTGCATAACATTGAACACTAGAGAGGCACCAAAATGAAAATTCTTGGCCGAAGCCGAATATAAATGAAAAGTTTGCCAAAAACCCATTTATTTTTGCGTTTACCATTGCATTAAATAAATAGTCAAAATATGCTTTTTACACAGCGTTTCCCACAGGGTTTGGAGAGACTATAGCGGGTGGGTCCCAGGCCCTACACATGCGCACTGACCTTGAGGGTTAGGGTTACAATTCTGGATTTATTCACGCACTTTAAAAACATTAAAAGCGTTCTCACTTTTTATTAACAGCATGAGACGTTGAAATATATATTGTAACAGGCTGTATATATTAACTCATTGGGAGAAAACTGGTAGTTCTATGTAAACTCAGACGTTGAGCACCCCCATATCGCAAAAATGCCATGATCCTTGTTTCGCTGCGAAGCATCGAATCTTTGATTATTTGGGGTCAGCCCTGGCGTAGACTTGACGCAGAAGTATAAATTGGCCTTTAGGGATCAAAACATGCGTTTGGTAACACAAAAGCAAAAAGGGAACAAAGAAAAGTCTGCTCTCGGTGGCAAGTTTAGATCCGTATTCAGGAAAAACTACATCAGTGCTGAAAGGGTTAGGACCGCTTGCGCAGCTGTGGAATGTGGAATGGCCGAGAAGCTCTGTGTCCGCAGTGACAACATGGCCGCACCTCTGGGGTTTCCCTCCACTTCCATGAGGGCTCAGCCAATGGAAACAAAGTTTTTGGTTTCAACTTCAGTCACAATGAATCAGTGCCTGAATAAACGGACACAGGATTTTGGTGCTGTTTTTTTGTCTCAGGCCTGTTCTTTGTGTGAAAGCCACATTGTAGCTTTTATTTTCCATGCAGGACCCTCTTTATTTGATCTCATATGGTCTGGTCCCCAAAAAAAAAAAATGATGGGAAAAGGTCCAACTTCTTTATTTAAAATACAGACAATATATTGTTTTGCTGCCCAGAGAAATCTCTGACCTTTAGTATCAAACCACACTCGCTATTAAGCCTTCCAGCAACCAGAGGTGTACTCAAATCAACCCGGAGTGTAATCTTAAGGATGACAACTTTAACATCACTTTCAGTAAAGTCATGTCAAAAAAAAAGAAGAAAAATAAGATTGTGTGTGTGTGTGGGAGGGGGGGATAACGTGCCCAGTCCTATAAAATAATTATTTAGCTATAGCAAGTTTTGTTTAAGCTTTTGGGCCATTATCTACAGCAATAATAAATGGTCCAAAATTATGCAAAAACTGCATAGTGTTAAGTCTCGATTCCACCTCTCCCTTCACTTGAACCCTTCCTACCCACTGAACTACATAAACATGGAGTGGGACTTTATTAGCATTTTTATAGAGAAGAAAAACCGAATCCCAAATATCCTGACATTCCCTGACTGCTGCCAATCTAACCAGCTGGCTTTTATAACCCACTGTTTTTATGGCTGTGAGTAGACCTCTTAGGTGTGGTCTGAACTCACACGCAACAACACTCAGTATGATGCAGTATCGCAACTAAAGCCCAGCAGCCTCCCCCAACTGTCTCCCATGACAGCTTAGCTTGGTATTTGTGTTGCGGTTATGGCTTATGCTTACAATACTATTTTAAGACAGTTTACACCTGTTGACATCAGAAGAGTGTTAGATGGTTTTCTGATTAAAATTAATTTTTTGTTCTGCTTATGGTATTTAACAACTCCAGAAAAAAGGGGGGGGGGGGAAACAACAACTATTTACACCTCCCTTTACTGAAAAGAAGCAGGGAGAAGAAAAATCTTATTTTACCCTTACTCAAAACATATACTGTATAAAAAAATACAAAGAAATGGTCTGTCCATAACAGTTACTTAACAACCAATACTTAGTTACATGAGAAAAAAAACAAAAAACCCACACACGCATCTAAGTATATAGGAAGAACTCCGTCCGTCTTCTGTATTTAGACTTTCGAGAACCGTTCATCCAATTGACTTCACATGGTGTTCCCTTGGGTCCTCAACAATACAACCAGAAGTGTTGAGTGCAAGCTCTTGAGATCTATATTGATATGTGTTGAGAGGGGCTAATGTTAACAGTTACACCACACAGCATCTGACTCTTACTCAAAAGAAAGAGCCCGGAGATGTTACATTGTAGCAAAGTCACTGTACAGCTTACAACAGATAAAGAAACAGAGGCCGGAGATACCGGAGCTGTCACACTAAAGCAAAGCAAAGTATGTTTGCCATTTTGTTTTCCTATTCTCAAACATTTCAAACATCAACAATGTAACTTCAATACATAAGAGGATGCATCCCCATCAAACCAAGCAACAGGGAATCATTTACAGTTATTTTACATTTTTAAGGAGTGTGGTTAATAAAATTTTAACAATTCAATAGGAAAATATTACAAATTGAATTAACATGAATTATATGAATCCTGCAAATATGCATATTGAAATATTAAAAGTGCAATTATTTATTGGTACAATTTACAATAAATGTATTGCAACAGTAGGAAATTAAAATACTACAATACTATTTAATAAGGGATAATTCACATGAATGCATTGTTGCAATACATATATAGTGAAGGATCCTCTATTATACAGATTAGGCTACTTGACAGCCTCCATATGCTGCTGAACACTAGGGCTGCAACGATTAGTCGATGTAATTGACGACGTTGACTATAAAAATTCACAATCGTGAAATTTCATTGTTGACGCATTGTTACATAGATGCCGTTTATGGGAGGGACAGAGAGTAATCTTCATATTAGAAATAAACAACCAGAAATGTTCCTAAGTGTAATGCACAACAGGAAGTGCTGGGGGCAGTATCACTCACACTGTCTGCCATGACTATAAGACTACTCACAATGAAGAAGCATTCATGCGAGAAGAGGAAAGTACTGGAGAAAGGGGCGAACAGCATAACGGCTTTCGTTTTTACACGGTTTGTACGCTATTTAATTACTAAATATACTTTTGAGTGGTTTTGAGGAGAGAAATTGAAAATGTGCTCAAACGTTTTCAGGCTTGAGAAGCTCCACAAGTGCCCGTGAGGTTAGTGGTGCCAGACGGCCAGCCAGTCACGCCCACAGAGCGCCCTGGTCCCAGTTATTCAGACCACTGCAGCAGCAACAACAGAGCTGCAGAGAGAGGAAAGGCAGTGTTTCCTATAAGTTCATTCATTTGTGGTGGCCTGCCACAATAAACGCTAACCGCCACATACTGACTGTGTGTTTTTTTATTTTACTTTACTAGGCCTATTTAAAATGTTATTTGACTGCAGATCTGCGCCATAGTGCATTCGCGCAGCATATCCTCTCGCTCGTCTCTCATAAACACTGCAGCACAAATCTGTCCAACACAACGCTGGCCATGTTGGAGACCCAGCTTTAAAAAAGTTATTAGTAATGAGTAATGGTTTAAAGTACATCAAGGAACATCTGGCTCATGATGTAGCCTACAGAACATTCTCCACTGAGTTATAGCCTAAAACCTATAAGCACTTTTGAAAAATAAACTATAGATGTAGTATAAAAGGTGTCTGTTCTAAGGTGCTTTGTTCTAAATAGACATTACACCATTAGTGTACAGTTGTGGTTATAGTACTTTATTTTATATAGTTCCAAAGCAAAAATCTTTGTTAAACAGTTAAAAGTTTGTATAAATCAGTGAATTATAGGAGTAGCCTACGCTACTAATCAAATAAATAATTAATAAAACAGTCAGTAGTTGCAGCCATACTGAACACACAGGATAAGTGAATTTGACAGAGGCTACTCTCACGTAGGCAGCGCTCCTTGTTTTCAAAGATTTTTTGAACGTAATATCTGACTCCGCCCACACAGCCATGAAATCTGCAAAGGCAGCACACTTTGTTTGGCTTAAGTGGTTTTGGCAAAATGCTGGAAAATCAATTTTTATAAATTACATCAACATTTTGGCAGATTCAGGGGGGTCGTGGGGCGGGCCACCCCCCTTAAACAATGGTAACCCTGAACCATCTTGCAGCAGTTTATACAGGTGCTGGTCATAATTAGAATATCCATCAAAAAGTTGATTTATTTCAGTAATTCCATTCAAAAAGTGAAACTTGGATATTATATTCAGTCATTACACACAGACTGATATATTTCAAATGTTTATTTCATTTAATTGTTAGGATTAAAACTGACAACTAATGAAAATCCCAAATTCAGTATCTCCGAAAATTAGATTACTTAAGACCAATGCAAAAAAAAATAGAAAGGAATAGAAATGTTGGCCATCTTAAAAGTATGAACATGAAAAGTATGAGTATGTACAGCACTCAATACTTAGTTGGGGCACTGCTCAGGTGTTATGAGAGCCCAGGTTGCTCTGATAGTGGCCTTCAGCTCTTCTGCATTGTTGGGTCTGGGGTATCGCATCTTCCTCTTCACAATACCCCATAGATTTTCTATAGGGTTAAGGTCAGGCGAGTTTGCTGGCCAATTAAGAACAGGGATACCATGGTCCTTAAACCAGGTCCTGGTAGCTTTGGCACTGTGTGCAGGTGCCAAGTCCTGTTGGAAAATGAAATCTGCATCTCCATAAAGTTGGTCAGCCGCAGGAAGCATGAAGTCCTCTAAAACTTCCTGGTAGACAGCTGCATTGACCTTGGACCTCAGAAAACACAGTGGACCAACACCAGCAGATGACATGGCACCCAAACCATCACTGACTGTGGAAACTTTACACTGGACTTCAAGCAATGTGGATTCTATGCCTCTCCTCTCTTCCTCCAGACTCTGGGACCTTGATTTCCAAAGGAAATGCAAAATTTACTTTCATCAGAGAACATAACTTTGGACCACTCAGCAGCAGTCCAGTCCTTTTTGTCTTTAGCCCAGGCGAGACGCTTCTGACGCTGTGTCTTGACACAAGGAATGCGACAGCTGAAACCCATATCTTGCATACGTCTGTGCGTGGTGGTTCTTGAAGCACTGACTCCTGCTGCAGTCCACTCTTTGTGAATGGGTTTTGTTTCACAATCCTCTCCAGGGTGCGGTTATCCCTACTGCTTGTACACTTTTTTCTACCACATCTTTTCCTTCCCTTCGCCTCTCTATTAATGTGCTTGGGACACAGAGCTCTGTGAACAGCCAGCCTCTTTAGCAATGACCTTTTGTGTCTTGCCCTCCTTGTGCACGGCGTCAATGGTCGTCTTTTGGACAGCTGTCAAGTCAGCAGTCTTCCCCATGATTGTGTAGCCTACAGAACTAGACTGAGAGACCATTTAAAGGCCTTTGCAGGTGTTTTGAGTTAATTAGCTGATTAGAGTATGGCACCAGTTGTCTTTAATATTGAACCTTTTCACAATATTCTAATTTTCTGAGATACTGATTTGGGGGTTTTCATTAGTTGTCAGTTATAATCATCAAAATTAAAAGGAATGAACACTTGAAATATATCAGTCTGTGTGGAATGAATGTATACATTATACAGGTTTCACTTATTCCATTCAAAAAAAATCTTTTTGATGATATTCTAATTATATGACCAGTACCTGTATATATTTTCAAAGCTACAGACTTTTGACAGAAGTGAAATTATTTCTCATTTTATGGCTACAGCTGTCTCTCAGAATGGCATGATTACGGTTGTCGCGGTGAACTAATTTCCACCGCGGCAATATGTTGGGGCTCAACAGCGCGGTATTATCACATCTTTCATCAATGAGGTTATTTGGTGCCATAACATTATAGCAGAGTAGAGTATCTGTCACCTCACTGCACAGCGAGCCGCTAACAGCAGCTTTATGGTCTGAGCAAGCTAGCTGCTGCAGGCATCTGACACACTGCGCTTGTTAGTTAGTGAGCTTCAAATGTGGCTTACTGTCCAAAGTTTCTCTGGACTGTCCCTCAGGATCACAACGTTAGTCCAACATCGCCTAGCCTGATAGCCACATTAGCTGCGCAATATGCTAACGCCAAGTTAGCTAACCTAAATAAACAGTAAAACACCACAAAACACGGCCACACTTACAGCTTCAGAGTTTGAAGTCAGGTCACGACCGCACAAGGCGATCCATCCTTGAACCGTTAGAGCTCGTTACGGTTGTGGAACTTTTGAAGCGCTCATTTATTTATTTAACGCGCCCTGAAGTGTAAAGTCCAATGAACATTGCGGTTGTTGCGGTGATTGCCATCCTCCACGGTAGGCTTGACCAATAGTATTTCAATTTTGCGGTTATCGCGACAGCCCTAGGTGTGACACTGACCACAAACCACAAGTAAAGCAGGTATTGATTTTCCTTTTAGACAACACAGCAAAAGACTTGATGTGGTGAGTTTACTGACATGGAGTTCAACTCCCTGCAGTGTCCTGCTTTAATTTTTGGGGCTAATCCTACAGTTCACATTTAAAACTCATGAAAATACACCAATTACAGATCAACTACGATCCATTACACCACACAAGCCATAATACAACATGTTTACTTCTGCCGTTTTGTCCGAATCTGTTATTTAACTACTCCTCCTTGTTGATCAATCACCACCACATTTGATATAGAACAGAAAAATTACTTTTTAGGCTTTTTGATATTCGATACAGTTGGTGGCCCTCAAAGTTCACTTAAATGTTCCTCAACAATCCTGCAAGCAGCACTTTCAGGGGCACACGTTCTGAATGGGCACACCCCGATAACGCTGCTAGCCAAGCTATTGTTTTGAATAGCCTGTTTCGAATAGCCATTGCTCTAAACAGGCACTGCACTAGTGCACTATAATTCACCATCAACTAAGGAAACACATTACCTGACAACTTATTCTATCTTTATAATTTTTCTTAGGCTGAGAACCAGATAAATCTGTTGAGCTCATGTTTCATTTGCTCTGGCAGATACGTCTGGCCCCAATCCCATTCAGACAGATTTCCACTGGAAGTGATCCAACAGGGCCAAAATCACAAGAGTTTATCTAATATGGGGCAGGTTGGATACGATGATGGACTGTAGCGTCACCGTTTCAGATTTGAAAAGTCAAATGTTTCACTGCTCTGGTTGATTGTAAGTCTGCATCTGTATCCAAAAACTTAGATGAAACTGTCAAACTAGGCAGTACTGAGATGAATCAAAACAAACTATTTAAACACATTTACCAAACCTTAGTCTTCATTAAAAAAAATAAATTAAAAAAAAAGTATAATGAGTAGGAACAAAAACACTGTGCAGACTGATACAAAGATAATCCCTCTCAATAATCACTTAATGACCCCACTACAAGTGTGTGGGAAACAAGATTTCTATCAGGTTAACTTTAGGCATGTTCACTCCAAGTACAAGGCCACCTGCAGACCTCTCGTGGTATTGTGCAAGTAGCCATTTCTTCAAAATGTTATGTGTATTTGGTTCAAACAAAGTGGATGGTCATTCACCACCTTTTTCCATCATGACGACTCACCCTTCATGAATGAATTCCTCCAAAGCAGCGCATTCAGACACCAGCTGGGGACACTGGCACCGCAAAGCCACAAAAGAGAGGATCGGCAACAGGTCATCTGCACCGCTGTTAGATGAAAGAAAGAAGGAGACGGTGAGATCAAAAGAGGAAAACAAAGTAAATAAATAGAGCAGAAGGGTAAAAAAGTATTACATTTACATAGTATGATGGCATGTGGTCTCCAGGGGACTTATGGAAACTAAATCAAATGCAACTCTTAATGAGATGCGTGTTCATTGATGGAAATGATAAAGCTTTTTTTCGTCTCCATGAGATCTGTAGGGAGGACAAATTGCAGCCTGGGAGATGAGGACAGCCTGATAGCATTCTGTGTGCAGACAGTGACCATTTGTTTATCAGGACTCACACGCAGGGCTAACTGCTTGCTTGCTAGTTTGCGTGAGAAGGTAGGTTGCTGGCCCTCGACTGACCCAGCTGCATGCAACTGGATACTCTCCTTCGGCAGGTTCTGGAAGGTGTGGACAGGCTCATGTAACCACAGAGCTGGACCTCACACACATACACACACGCAACCCTAAATTATAATCTTCTGAGTTCCCTACTGTAAACACACACACATTGATCGTCTCACACGAAAACTTGTGTCTCTGCATTCCCGTGGATACAAAGCATGCATAAATACTGATTTCAGTGGTTTCAAGGTTAAGCTCCATTATAAGTCTGCGAAAGATTAAATGCGAATGATTAGGTTAAAAACCCCGGCAGAAATGGGGGGGGGGGGGGGGGGGGCGCGACAATAGAAGAGAGAAAAGAAAGGGATCTGGACAAAGCATACAAGAGAACAAATGAGCTCCCAGTTGGTCAAGGACAAAGAACTGACAAAAATGGAAATGCTGTTCAATGAATAAACAAGGGCAATGAGTACAATAAGGTGTATTTGTTGTGTTTGAGTGTGAGACTAAATTAGAAACTCAGGTGTAGGGTGCTATAAAGAAATAAGCAGAAACATTGAGAGCTAAATATGCAATGTAAATATAAAATACACTTATTGCTGCTGAAATCCGATGATCTCGTCTGTCAGTAGAATACCGTGATTAGTTCTAAATCCATTTACAAAATCATTTATCGGTCAGACCTTAGTCAAAAATATCTTGTGTGGGTCACAGTGACGTTCAGCAAGCCAACCTGTATTTAGACAGACTAAGAAAAGCAGTCACATATGGGCCTGGCCTGAGCCACAACCAGGACAGGAAAAAAAAAATAATAATAAAATGTGAACACTGGCAGATTCAAGGCAGGGAAGTAAACAGTCCAAATTTACCCTCTTCAAGGAGGTTAGAATCAAATTTAGGTGCAAAATGTAAGTGAATGAAAGTTTTATTGAATTACAGCTGCCAGTGGCCACCAGCTACATTATGACATTGTAAAAAATAAAAATGGATCTGTGATGAGTCAGCAGTGCCAGAGGTCCCTTGGAGATGGTGGTTTTGATGCATATCTTGTTTTATTCTGATCAAGATGCAATGACGAATGAATACAGACTACATAATGAGATGTCAGACATTATTGCAGTCTTGGCTTATAAATTAAATATAAACAAAATTAAATAAATTAATCGATTCAGATCCTTCTGTGGTTTGGCCATATATTCGACACAACGGAATCAGTTTTCATTTCTTGGAACTTCATCTTGTTACCAAGTTGTATATTTTTGTGTACTGAGACTATACACAAAAATCCTTCAATGTCACAACATTTTGGGGTAAAAGGCTTTGAGAATTGTGCCAGGTCAACTCTTCTACTCCGCCGTCTCCAATCACTTCATATCCACTCCAATACAAGTAGACAGATATGGAGCAGGAGACATAGCCTCAGCCATTGTCAAACAAACAGAGGATTAGTGGACAAGAGTGTATGAAAAAAAGACTAGATATGAACTGTTTTTCCCCCGGGCCAATCCCGATTATTAGAAACAGATTAGACTGATGGAACAGATATATACACATTTGCTGTAAAATTTTTAATCTTGGTGTCAAAATTTAGAATAACAAACTCCAACACAAAACTTTGTTGAAAATAACAAGATTAAAGTTAATGGTCATGTTTAATCTTTAGGAATAGTACATTTAATGAATTAGACATCCGTTATACCGTGTGCTGTGTGTGCACTGCACTCTGCTTATTATATTTGCCCACACCAGGCACTTGTCCCTAAAAACAGATACTCAACAAAATGATAAACTCACTTTTGTTTTGCCCACATTCGTCATGAGCTGACTCTAAGATCTAAGACTTTCTCTATGTAGACAAAAGGCCTGTTTCTCTCAAATATTGTTCACAAATCTGTCAAAATCTCTGTTAGTGAGCACTTCTCCTTTGCCGAGATTATACAGCTCTGGTGGACATTCCTTCAGTCAGCATGCCAATTGCATGCTCCCTCAAAACTTGCAACATCTGTGGCATTGTGTTGTGTGATGGAACTGCCCATTTTCGAGGGGCCTTTTATTGTGGCCAGCCTAAGGCACACCTGTGCATTACCCATGCTGCCTGATCAGCATCTTGATATGCCACACCTGTGAGGTGGATGGATTGTTTCAGCAAAGAAGAAGTGCTCATTAAAGCTCGATTTATACTCCTGTGTAGCGTCTGTGCGCGTAGCTACGCCGTAGGCTACGCACGCAGCAAGGCATTTATACTTGTGCGTCTGTGTGTCCGTCAATCTGCAATTATACCCCCTAACACTAGTCGGCAGTAGCGCTACAGTGTACACTGTGTTGACTTTTGCCGGCCGAGCAGGCTAACTTCGGGTTTAGCCCTCCGCTAATGTGAATGGGGGTAAAGTTGTATACGTGTGGCTGGTATAGCCATTTCAAATTTTATCGACCGAGTAGATCACATTCTGATAGTGAAACAAGTCATTTCCCTCAGGTTCTGACGGTCAAATATGATGATTCACCGTGTTACAGCCACTGTTCTGGCCACTAGTAAAAGTTACTTCAATGCACGGGCACTTCCTGTCAGCTCGGAGGCATTGCGAGGCTATCCAGCCGACCAATCAGAGCTTACGGTCCGCGTTGACTCGACGTGTAGTTACATTTTTGAGGAGGTGCACGTCAGGCTACGCCGTAGGGTACGGGGCTACGCTGTTGATTTGACGCAGAAGTATAAACTGCACTTAACCACAATATTTGAGAGAAATAGGCCTTTTGAGTACATACAGACATTCTTTGAGTTCAGCTCATGATAAATGGGGGCAAATGAAAGTGTTTTTTAAATTTATAATTTTGTATGTATGTGTAAACCCAAAAACGGATTTATGAGCTGTGTGTGAATAACGTTTAAGACAACAACCTACCGTAACCTCCCGCCCTGCTGCTAATTGTTCTAAACATAAGAAAATGAAAGAGAAATGCCAGTGTGTGTCGGTGCGTTGTCAGAAGAAAATAGGGGAGAAGATAAGGAAGGTTTGGCTCGCTGTCCATTTAACGTTAGCTGTGTTGCTAAACATGTTCAACTTTTCATAGTCACAATGTGCTTGTCAGACACTTTTCGTCAACCGACAAATCACAGCCTAGATGGGGCGGGACGCTGAAAAAAGTTTGACTTTCTACAGAAAATCTTTAAATGTTGAACAATATGATTATTGACAAGTTAGTAGTTAGAGACCCATTTAGAGAATTTTTCTTGCACAAGGATTAAAAGCTGGAATATTCAACTAGTGGTAAAATAGTATGCTATGAGGAACTATAATGAATACAGTAATTAATATATTACAGTACACTGTTAACTGAACATTATACTTTTTATAAGGGCTGGACACGTTAACGCATTAATTAACTCCAGTTTTTATTATTATTATTAGTTTGAAAGTCCCTTGCTCACTGGCTCTGAATACAAATCCAGTGAAACCATGGGACACAGGAGGGGCGGGATGTTGATCAGCCTGCAAATCACCCACCCAACCAGTGGAGGGAGGCTTCCGCAGACTACGCAGTCATTTTTTCCATACCCCCCCTCCCCGGTGTTCCGTTATCACGGCAGCAGGTGAGCAGCTTGCTTGTTAATGACGCAGCCTAACAAACAACTCAAATGGCCGAAACCAACTCTGTGTTCAATTTTGCTTTAACGTTTCCTGGTCTGTGCTTGTATAATATCCACCGCGACTTGTAGCGTCATTTAAAGATTTTAACCGAGTGAAGTCTGCGCGAGTGAACGCACGCACCGACCCCGCTACACCTACAAATCATGCGATTAAAAATTTTAAATCGTTGCTCAGCACTACCTTTTATTTAATGTTATACATTATACTATACTGTCGCAGTGAAGTAATTTCCACCGCGGCAATATGTCAGGACTCAACATATTACCGGTATGGGGTATTACAGCATCTTTCGTCAATGAAGTAATTTGGTGCCATATAGCAGAGTAAGAGTGTATCTGTCACCTCACTGCACAGCGAGCTCGTTACGGTTGTGGAACTTTTGAAGCACTCATTTATTAATTTAACAGGCCTTGAAATGTACAGTATGAACATTGCGATTGTTGTGGTGATTGCCATCCTCCACGGTAGGCTTGACCAATAGCGCAGTATTTAAATTTTGAGGTTATCGCGACAGCCCTAATTATACTACTCATTTATACTAGTTCCTCTGCTGTTTACAATGTGGCAAAAATCTGTATAATTTTTGGACTGGTGGCAAAACAAACAAAAAAAAAAAACAAAAAAAAAAAACATTTCTTCTGATGGTCATTGAGGTGAGAACTACACAATTTAAAATGTCAGTATTTTGTGCATTTTCATTGATAATCAAGCAAGTAGACTCATACCATTTGTTCCATTATATCACAAATCACAATATTGTCCACAATAATCACAATATGACTTTTCTCCAAATCACGCAGCCCTATTATAAACACATCACTGCTTTCTCTCTTGGATGTGGTTCTTGGGATAATGTGAAGCCACAACGAGAAGGTTCACATTAAAAAACTGTTTCCATTTACACTTCCATCCATTTGATGTGTTTCAGACAAACTTAGTCAACACAGCACAATTTTAAATGATTCCACACTGTATGATCTTCATTATTGGTGCTACAACCCACTGAGCATTTGTCTGACTCACTGTGCATCATCGTGGATTCTACAAAATTCTCTTTTCTTCTCTTCCCCAAGCCCACGGGTCTCTTTCAAACCCAGACAGGACGACCCACTTTAAGGCCTGGCCAGGGAGAGGCACCCTATAGGGAGTAATAGACCTAGGAGAGCCCCTGCTGTGCCAGGCTTAGCTGAGAACTGATGAGACCTGACAGGACAGTTACCAAGGCAGACAGCCCTTAAATGATGTTTGGGTACTTTCACTAGACTTTCAGACACTCTTTCACTCCCTATCATAAGCATGGAGTCAATGGCACTTACTCTGGAGTTTAATGGAGGTGTACTTCAGGAGGAATGCAGCAAGAAAACTGCTCCCAACAGTTCTACACTTTTCACGGCTCTTTAACGTATTTTATCACTTTAATACAATGGAGGTGCCTTATTTTACCATTTTGATGTTTCAGTTTTCCAGTAAAAATCCCTCAGTGAGTGATTTTATATTTTCTGCAGTTATTAACACATGTTGCAGCTGATCATTTACTCACATGGCGGCTGTTTTGGGTGTAGAGTCCGTCTCATGAAGACACCTGTAATCCTCAGCGCAGACACAGATCAGCCGTAATGTCCTAACTGTAACGAAACATAGCAGTAGCCTGGTCAAAAATAAAGGCCAGGCCTAAATATTTATATAAATGTGCACCCCAACCAAGAATAATTTACATTTTCATTGCTTCAAATGAATAAATTCAACAATCATGCTATTTACACTAACATACTGGAAATGTTGAGCTTGAGTGTTGCACAATGCAATAACAAAAATAACAAAAGCAGATCTGAAAAGTTTTTAATAAGGGGAGGTTTAATAATAAATATGACAATATACAGTATGTAACATGGAAATTAAAGGTCTGTCTCCAATATAAGCCTTCTTCAAATAAACCTCTCACTCTGCAGCACATAGGTTTATTTTAAATATCTCATTCTAAAACTGTTGTGTATGCCTACCTAATGTAACGGAAAAGTGTTTCAGACAGATAATGTAGAAGGATGCATGACAATTGACGGATCGACACACACAAAAGTAAGTACGCCCCTCACATTTTTGTAAATATTTGGATACTTTCACTTAGGGGTGTCCTCACTTTTGTTGCCAGCAGTTTCGACAATGGCTGTGAGATGTGTTATTTTGAGGGGAAAGCAAATTTACACCGTTATACAAGCTGTACACACTACTTTACATTGTAGCAATAACTTCTTACGGAGGAGATTATAGTTTTGACCCCATTTGTTTGAGGGTAATTGCAACAGATTACAAAAAAAAAACACTTTTGTACAACATACTGACTGGTCTATTGAAATTATGGGTGATTTTAAAATGCACATGTTGGGACCTGGGACCCAAACAATTACTGTCAAAATAGTTTAAATAAGTCTAGACGAACCTTAGTACGTTTTTTTACCCAGAAAGTTTTGGTAGTGTACCAGTTGTCTCTCAGTTGCAGCATGCTAGTCAGCTTGGCCAGGTCAAGTTTATGTAGTGTCGCTGCCTCTGAATGAGGAACATACTGGAGGATCCTCCCATGACATTTAGATCCACTGTATGGGAACGCTACAGACCATTAGTTAAAACTGTATGCTAACATTGGGGTCAGGTACGTCTGCGGATTCACTTCAAAACATCACCTGCACAAACGTCACCTGCATGTACACTTGCAGAAGAGTGAAAAGAGACTGACCACGAGACCTAAGGAACTGGATTTGCTCAAGCAGTCAAGCCGGACATGGGTACCTGTCACAGCAAGCTTCCGAACCGGACACTATTATTGCGGGAGATTCTGCTATCAGGGACATATGTCGTAAGCCGATTATAACATACTGCTTCCCAGATGAGATGGTCAGTGACATCACTCAGGAAATAACCAAAAGCTACCAAAGTCATTGTACATGTAGATTCAATGATAATCGCAGTGAGATCAGAACTGCTAATGCAGGATTTCACTGAATCTTTAAAAACACAATAGACAAATTACATAAGGAATCATTCATCATTGGACCCCTCCCAACAATTAATAGGGGAATTAAAAAGTTCAGAAGCTACTTTGAGTGAATACACGGCTTTCCAGAACTGGCAGTGTAAAACCAAACTGTCTTTGAAAACCAAAAAACAATCCAGAAATCTTGGTGTATTATGGACTTAAATTTCAACAGCCACATCAAGTCAGTAAAAAAAAAAAAAAAAAACTTAATCGGCTAAGTCACTAAAATGATTTAGGATCAAAATACATCACTAAAAATGTTTTTATAAGATGAACCCTTCAAAGGCCTCAGGTTGACTGTCCCCAGAGTCAAAACAAAACATTTTGAAGCAGCATTCAACTACTGTACAGCAAATAGCTGGAATAAACTTCCAGCAGATTTGAGATTTGCTCCACATCTTTCAAATCCAGACTTAAAACTGTTTGTTTTCACCATTGCCTTCTGCTAGACTACAAACCTTGCATTTACTCAGAGAAAGAGACGTGTCAAATAGTTGTCGCAGACAATGCTTTAATTTAAATTATAATTCAAATGTATTTTTATGAATTAGTACAGTACAAGAGAAGCCATCGGTCCTGAAAGTCCACGTTTTGGGGAGAAGAATAAATCTGACTCACCAATACATTCCAACTTCCTCTGTGGACAGCAGTCTGTAATGAGAAGCTTAAGCTCCTGAACAGCAGATTCATAGGGGAAGGAACCTTGCAATGCGCCAGGGTCTTGGGGGAACAGTTTCAAGGGAACACCAACATCTCCAGGTGAAGCATCCCGGTACAGCGTCATACTTGTCTCAAAGGCCTGCTCCCTTTCCCTGTGGACTTTTCTGAGAAAAAAAAAAAAAAAAAAGTCAGATTGAAAACCCAGACAGGGGAAACATTTTAACAATGGATGTTTGTAAGTGAGGCACACCAACAGGCATTTTGGAAGAATGGTATATGCAATGAAGTTGCAGTCACTGACCAATTAACTTAAAAAAAGATCAGTCACGCACTCCAAAACTTTAGCACAATAAAATAAAAAAAACATCAATAGACATTTGATCAAAAGGACATTTAATTGGTGGTGCAGGGGTCTAATCTTGAGTGGCTTTTCTGTTTGTTCCAACATAACTACTGTCCTTGTGGCTCCACTAGCAACTCGGATTTGTTGGTCAGTGTCCCTGTACAGTGGAGGATGGAAATGGGAGCGGGAGATTGTATGAGCCTCCCACTTGTTGTTAGGTCAGTAGTTCTTAAATTAGGGGCTGCAGAGACACTGCATATGACCAGGGGGTAAATTATGGAGTGAATAGGGCTGAATATTGTTAAATAATTTGATCCATACCAGTTCCTGAGCAATGCTTTTTTCAATACCATTTTTATAAAATTACATTACAATAGGAGCATTTCTCTCAGTTCGCCAAGCTCGTCAAAAATTTGACAAGGAAGAAAAAAAAAAAACTCGGCAAGTTAATAAGTCAATATTACTCGGGGTAATAACACAGCGTACGCCAAGCGACAACCTCTGGGGCTGAAAAATGAAGCCAATGTGGAAGTACCAAAAACAGCAGTTTATCGAATGGCCACTTGAGGCTGCCTCCAAAATGAGAGTCAAAAGCCAATTTCCCCCTTTATGACAACTATATGGAGGTGAGTTTTTATATAACTTACCAGTTTAAATTAAATCTTGAAGTTATACATAATTCACCCTTCGCTAAGCCCCGCTCCCCTTAGTTACTGTCTATTATTGCATTCCCCGGAGAAATATTGTCAAATGTGCTAGAAAAAGCACAAATATTTAGGCTGTCAAACTGACGTGAAAAAAAATGTAAGATAGAAGAAGCCAAAACTTACCGATTACACAGTACAAGTGAACCACCACATCCCCCAACGATTGAGACAAAAGACAACGATATTAAGTATCAACACTGTTCCTGTACAGCTGGGTGGGCCTCTGTTCATTATTACAATCATTAAAAAGCAGAACAGTAGGGCTTTATTACGTTACATTCAGTAGGAAGTTAGCTGGCATAAGCTAACTAACTTTACAGTAGGGACAATCCACCGCCAACATTTTTCTGGATTTATTTTAGGTTTTGGAAAGTGACTAGCGCAAGTCCTATACTGCGCTGCGATTGGTCAGCTGAGTATTCAGGGCGTGGCTTAGCGAAGGGTCAAGGGTGGGCAGCTTTGAGTGACAGGTGGGTGTCCTCTCAGGTGGCTAGCCACTAGGTGGTTCAGCAGCCATGCTTCATTCAGCCTGCTTCAGCTCTACCTCTTTGCCCATTTTTAGAATAGCAAGAGACCGGCACTGCCAAGATAACAACCGACTTAGCCGCCCGCAGTGAGATTCACAGCGGCTCCTCCTTCTGGCTTCCAAATGGGAGTGTGACAGAAAAAAAGATCTTCTAAATCTATATCAATTCAAGTTGGGGACTGCCTGCAGAAAAATGTAACACTGTAAACACATCTACCCTATCAATATTTCTTAGGACGGGTTCACACCTAAAATTCTGATTCCTGAATCCAACCAGTGAGAGGAAGACAGTGTTTCAATTTTCCAAACAAAATAACAACTAAAAGCAATTCTTTGTTTCATGGCGATGCAGTGAACACATTAGTCATTTGTCCCTTATGTAACTTGATGATATTGATATCTGATGGCCCTGTGACAGAACAAATCAGTATTCATGCCACTTGCTCAAACCAAGAGTTTCTCTTTGAGTGTAGGAAATACAGAAAAAGGCTTGACCAATTTGCAAATGGTAATGAAATATGTCGATGATAATGTGTACATGTACATTTAGTAGTCAGCAATGGTCATATTATTAACTTGGCAACATTACTGAAAATTCTAAAGACTATTTGAGTTTAATGAGAATCAAACCAGCAACAGAAGAGCTTGAAATAGGCTGACATACCTAGAGTAGTACTGCCACATGCTGGTCATTGAGAGAACACACTGTATTTCTAGGAACCAACTCATGCAAAACCTTAATAAATCGTATTAAATGCCTTTTTTTTTTATATATATAAAAGCGAACAGGAATTTACAGGCCGCCTGATCCTGACATTTTTTGCATTTATGAATTAGTTCAGTTGTGTTTCAGATTATATTTTGAGTCAAACTATTAATCAACATTCAATTCGAGAGGGAGGTCGGACACCAGAGAAGCCTAACAGCGTGTCGAGACAGAATATTTTCACATCCAACTCTGAATTAATTCAACCTGAGTTGGTGATTGCTGGAACAGTGGAAAGTCTAACCAAGACGGTTTTGGTCATTTTTATTTTGAAATAAGTTTGTTTTGAGTTGACAACGCAATTAGTTCAGTAAAAATTTATTTAGAAGGCACCACAGTTTGTTTTTTAGTTTGATAGGAAAACTAATAAAAGACTAAAAAGAGCTAAGAGCCCGTGTACAACACAGGACGGGCCGCAACTTTCTGCTCATTTTGAAGGATGCAGTTTGTGCACTCACATTTATTTTGTAAATATTTGATTATATCTGTTCACGTGACAACACTGAAGAAATGACGCTTTGTTACAATGTAAAGTAGTGAGTGTACAGCTTGTCCAGGGTTCATACACATTTTGACCAATGAATTTCCATGACAGAACAAATAAGACCAGGCACGTGTCTGCACATGATCTTCAATGTTGTCACATGAAAAGATATAATCAAATATTTACAAAAATATGAGGGGTGCACTCACTTATCTGAGATCCTGTACACCTCAGTACACCTTACTTTAAAATGTTACTAACTCTAAATGTTGCCTACTAGTGTAACTGACTGTTACATTATTAATCCAGCAAGAAAAAACTAGTTCCTTCAGTGCGTTATTTCATATTTTTCTTATTGGTCAGAATTGTGTTTCTCTAAAATGTCTTGGTAAACCAACATTGGGCTTTTGGCATAACAATTCTCAACATTTATTAATAGTCAACATTGCTCTTGCAGAGTTGCTCAACCATCAAATCAAGCTCTTCAAATAAAGTCTAGTTCACACTACACGATTTTTAGCCCAATTTGCTGCCAGTCGTTATGTGTGAACTACTCCACGATGCATCAAAACGGCTTCCCGACACATCGCCGATGTCAGCCGGATATCTAGCATGCCAAATATCTGAAAGACTCGGCCGACTCGACAACCACATCCAGCCAATGAGAGCAGGCAGCTGGCAGAACAGGCAAAACACTTTATACTCCCCTCCAGCTCTCTCTGTAGCTCAGACAATCCCTGCTACCTGCGTGTGCTAATCCAGCCTTTCACCCAGATTCTTTGTTTTTATCATTTCTATTCCATTTCTTTCGTTCTTTGTAATAACAAACAACAGCTGTTTCATGTGTAGGTTCGCGTCATTTCCTGTTTCACATTTCACGTGTGTTCTCTTGACAAATGTGGTTTGGAGACCAGTGTCGGGTGACAGAGTCGCTGTCAGCTCGTGTAGTGTGTGACCCCCTGTCACTGATCAGTCACGTAGTGTGAACGCCACAGCGACTGCAAGACTCCCATGACAAGACGGCAAGTTGTGTAGTGTGAACGGCATATTTGGTATGCAACAGCAGTAAGAAAAATTCCGTGTTTAACACTTTAAAGTATGAAGACATGTTTCAGGTCACAAGGATTTAGGCTGCACTACCTGAAAAGAGCCACAAGGGCACTCCACAGGGGCGTGAAGAAGGCTTCCTCTATGCAGGCGAGGCACAGGTCTTTTGAGCTGGCTGTGTTTAAACACTCAAACGATAGCAAACACAGTGACAGAAGTTGATCTGAAACATAAAAGAACATCCCTAACATCAATATCAAACAACATTTACACTGATTGTATAAGTAAAAATTCAGCCAACATTTTTAACAGTAAAAGGAAATTGTTGCTATTCAAAATCAACATGGTAAGATGCCTTCTATGCAACACAAACACATTCCATCCTCTACCATCGTGCTCACCGATAGCAATGTGAATGTCTTTGACAATGGCCTTCAGGTGCTCTCTCAGCGCTCTCATCTCCAGCTCCTGGTGTCCCTCGTCCTGCTCCAGCTGCATCGAGGAATCAAAGGTCAGCTCTAAATCTGAGCAGGTGTCATCTGTGCTGCCGTGAGGCGGGGCCCAGTCCAGCTGGGTCAGGAACTGCTCCAGATCTTCAAATGAGTTCTCCCGATCCACCGTCAGTGCGTTAGGCTCCTCCCCATCCTCATCGTCATAGTTGGTGTGGAGTTCGCGAGAGAGTGAGGGGGAAGAGCCGGTGCTGTAGCTGTTGCCGCCAATGCTACTACTCACAGTCCTGGTTGGTTTCCTCTGGGTCTCTGTGTGATCAACAACATTTTCACGTAAACAAATGTATTAATGCTAATGTAGTGATAGTGATCACTAGTGATTTAACCTTTAGCTATGCATGGCCATTACAACAGTATCACGTGCATTCTTTTAGGGGTGGCAATGTCAGTTGGTCCAACACTTTGGTCCAGAGATAAATATCTCAGGCCATCCCACAATTATTTGATGGCCTGCCATCCCATTTGCTACAGATATCAAATGGTGCACAGAAAGAATATAACACTCTCTCTCTCTGAATCAAAACAAGATCATGTTAGATTGTTGCCGGCATTTCCCAACAGAGAAGATTCCTGATTCAATCCGAAACTAATGCATTCCATTTAACTCTGAGTTAGCCTATTTTCTTAACAACGCTGTCAATGTCGGAGATGTATTCAGATCATAAAGAGCTGTGTCCACCTAATTTTTTTTCCCCTGGGGCCAGAAAATTTTTAATGTTAGGAGCACCGCGCATTTACACTATGCTGCAACAGCAGCATGACGAGCATAGACTGTACATAAAAAGGTGACGAGGCGCAGAGTGTCTAATACGGGTGCTGCTCCCCTGCCATTTTCCTGGTCACCGATTGAAAATGTTTCTACTTTGGGTAAAACGATATGCTCATCACTGTAACTTTTAACCCAGCTATCCAATTACAGTGGAGGAGGGGTGGGACAAATTTCACAAAGAGCAACCTTTACATCATACATGTATTTTTGCTGAACAATGACACCAATAGAGGAAAATTTAATACTGCTGGTCTCAGTATCCATGTCCGTACCAGAAAACATCTCCAGACTACCACAACAGAAATTCCACCCTCTAGGAGGAAGGCAATTATATCAGTTATTCCTTTAGGAGGATAAAGGAAAACAACAACAGCCTGATGTGACTTTGTTCACCATGGGAAGTGGAACAGAGATGAGAACACACCAATCAGTCTGTTTAAGATTGTTAAACAGTAGTTCTTCTTAGTTTTCCAGTTCTGACAGCCAGAGAGGGGTATAATTTGGGGGTCAGTTTTTCCCCTATGATGGAGTTGAAGCAGCAGAGGTGAAGGGGTTTGGGGATCCTCTCCAAGACAAATGTACATTTTCTAATAAAGAAATAAGAGCGTCTCCACTCCACATACAACACACTTACTTTACTGACTTTTTAGATTTGTTTCCAGTGAGATATTAGTGACTTTACTGTTGTAAATCCTGCTGCTGCTCTAAAAACATTTAGTTATAATAAAATAAATCTTTTCTAATATAATGTATTTTTTAAAAGGCAATTATTTAGTACTGAAAAATAACTGAGAAGAGTACTCAAAGAACTGAACCAACAAGGAGTATCAATGAGTGTGTCAATAAAACCCTATTTATACCCACGCCAACTCGTGAGAAAATGTCCGGCCCGTCTCCATGTCCTGGTTTTAAAATGTGGCCCGATTGAATTTGTGATTAACTAGCCATGATCTACTGAGTCCCTTTGCACGTTGGGGTTGATGTGATAGGAGAGGGCTTCAAGAGATTGAGCAACCATCCGGTGTTGTTAAGCCAGGGCTCTCAAGCTCATCTACAACAATTAAAAACTGTTGCTCAGCTGTAGGTCTGATAAGGATAGCTGACGATGTAGCTGCAAAAATTCTGTTTTTTGTTTCCGCTCAGATGGCAGCTTTTTCTGATGTTTCAAAATATTTATTATATTACCAAACTAGCTGCCACAGAACAAAAATATACAGAAGCTGAGAAAATAAACAAGATAAATGTGAACCCAGTCTTTTCCTAATCAACCCACCTCACAAACACCTGGCTCTGGCCCTACCTGGATGAAGCAGGTTGTGAGTGCTGCGAGAAGGCCTCAGCAGCAGGGAGGGACTCCGGGGGAGGCCTTTACAGACAATGGGGTAGAGCCTGTTGTAAATCCGGTACTGGTGTTTTCTCAGCATCTTCACCACCGGGTGGTCAGACCGACTGAGGACACAGTTAATGTGTTAGTCATTTGGCCAGAAGATGTTGAAAGTCCTGGTATAATGTGTGTGACAAAATTCCAATTAGATGCATAATAAGTAACAGCTAGGCAGTTCGATGTAACTCTAGGAGGTATCCACATTGTGTACATCCTATTGTAAGAACTAAAAAACATACACAGACTTTGTTATATAATTATTTCACTTGTGAATCTTGATTGATACTAACTGGAGCCATCTCTAAAGATAATAACAGGGAAACACAAACACTTTTAAAATTGTGCATTGACAGGGCTGATGCAATACAACCAATCAAAACTGAGTCGACCTTTTGAACAAGTCAATAAATGTGTTTTTGTGTGGTGTGACATAACAAAAGCTTTCATTCAGGTTTGTTTCAAAACATAAACACTGCAGACTGTATAAAAATGATGTTGATGATGACCAGTTGAAGCCTAAAAACTGGTCTGGGACCAGGGGTTTAACTTGTTATTTTACAGATTAGTTTAATGCAACGTTTGTGTGAACTATGAGTTTCAGGGCCAGGGTAATTCTGTTCACTCCATGATCCTTTCTCTGGAATAGCCGCTGGATCACACAGGGACAAAAACATTTAAAACCGCCAGTCACGAACAAATATTACCTCAATCTGGATTTGTAAACACTCATGTTGCAATCAGTTACCTGAGCAGGTAGGAGACTAGACCTGAAACTAATGTGGCATCATCAGGATTCTTCCTTATGTTGGCTTTCCACTGTTTGGGCCAACCCTGAAGAGACAAAAAATAAATAAATTATATAAATACAGTTGAGAAATATCCATCCATGTTATTTTAACTGATCAACATAAAATTGATAAATTCCAAATTTTAAAACTGTTGTGTAAGAATATGATTTATAAGAAAGTTTAGTTAACATCACCTATTGAATACTTCGGTAAGTGCATAATTTTGAGCTTTGGTAACTTGTCTTTGGTATCTTTGATTTGTTTTGACATATTTTTAGTGATTACTCACAAACTTACATGGTCTTGTTCATATTCCAGGACATTGGTGTAGAGAATACGCTGCTCTTGCTCCTCTGCAGTCATTTCGCCAGATGCTGCAAATCTTCTGTAATGACAAGCGCACAAGAGACAACATTCACAAACATCCATACTTGCAGGCACACAATAATAGGAAACTTGGAAGTATGACCCTTGTGAGTACTTTAATACCAACGGTAATTGGCAATATCAAAAGTTATTTTTGTGTTCATTATGGAATCACAGTATGTTGTGGTATGAAACCTGCATCTTTGTGGATTGATTTACAAATTACTATCACTACTCAGGTTAATTTGATTATTTTCTTTTCTTTATACAGTATATACATTGTATGTTTTCGGCTAAGACCACTGACTTAAAACAAACAAATAGAAGGAAGGCCAGCTGATTTATTTCAAACATTAGCTCTGTGGATGCAAAGTTGAATCCCAAATAGGATATATGTACTACGCCTGGGGTATTCAATTAAAATTCTAAGATGTCCAGTTAGAAAATTTCCTCAAGCAAAGGTCAAAAACATCATGATGACTAACCTGTTTATCATTCAGCGCCATAGACTAGTTGTATTAACATATGTATGTAGTAAACAACTGACTGTACAAAGTACAATTCAATAATATTTCAACAATTTTCAGTTTTGTTACAATGAGTTTCCCTTTTTTTAAACTCAATTTCACATCTTAAGTCTCAACCAATTAATAATAAACAATCTCAACATATCTAAACACCACCTCCTTTTCTCTTGCTTTCCTGCTTATATACACACACAACTTCCACACTTTCTCTTGTTCAGTGAGAAAATTGAGCTCTAGCTTGTCCTGCCAGTGAGGATTATAATTTCTGTACCCTCAGGTAAGACTTGAGTAGGTATGTTTGCTCAAAAGATTTGTGCTTATCTCGTGGTGCTTCACATTGACGCTTTTAAGTGTCTTCTAAAATACAATTATTTTTAAAATTATATTTTAAATGCTTAAAAACAGGATGTCTACATTTGTGTTAATAATATTTCCCCAGCAGAATCAAATTGTTTTACTAGAGATTCAGTAAATCCATATTTGTGGCCACATTCTCATTTTCAAACAGAACATCATCATGTCATGTGACATGCTTCATTAAGAACAAATATTACTGGGACTTTAAATTTTTGCTTTTATGCTTATTTGATTTAATGTTGGATAGAGCACCATATTTATTTTAATAAAATATGCTTTAACGTGATAATTGTCATTTTCTTCAATCATAATAATTAGAACTCTTAAAATACGTTGCTTGTAAGAAGTGTTTGCTTGAGCTAATTGATGGCACGTGATCAGGATGGTACCACCTCTGCCTCATTTAAAGAGAGAAACCCTGGATTTCAAAGTTTAGCCATTGCTCAAAGGAACCAACTTGAGATGATACATGAAACAATAACAATTATATGAACTTTTAAAGACTGAATATACACTTAACAACAATTTGTAGAATCATACATGCCAACTAAGCAAACATTACAAAGTGTAAATCAAGTCAGCCACATGGCAAACTTGAATTGTTGTCTTAGTAGCAATGTAAATGTCGGTTCCTTTTCAAAGCTCCCTATGTATTTATGCCATGCACACTTGTAAAGAGGCTTGCATGATATTCAAATATGTCTACTTTAGGTAGTTAAAGAAAGAAGGCAGAAGTTAAAAACAGAATAAAGCTTTAACCTAGCTATATCTAACTAGTGTGTTTGTAGAGAACCATTGTTTACCTGTTGGCCTCTTCCTGTAGCCTTAGCCTTCTCTCCTCCATCTTCCGCTGGAGCTAATGTTACAACCAACATTAAGGAAACTTCATACTCCTCACATGGGTCAGCTAAAAGTGACAACTTTTGATGGCAAACATGAACATTCTATTCAGGTAAATGTATTTTCACACTCCACACAATCTACACATTTCATGACAACATCATAATAAAAACTAAAGGCTACGCACTAAGTTACGTGTCATTTGTAGTGGTCTGGGAGCTAAAACGCAGAAATTGGTAAGTACCTCAAATACTGGAGTAAATAAAATCTCTAAATAAAGTCTCTTCATATGAGACTAATGTTTGCCATGTGTCCATTCCTGCACGCAGTTCACCACTCCCACTTGCTTTGAAAAGCTGGGGAAATGTTATCAATTAGGAAAAAAAATTAAATAAAAATCAAGCCACATGAGACTTTGTAACATTAGTAAAAGCTAGCCCTCACCAATCAAAGCAACAAAGACTTCTGTGGCACAGTGAAAACATTAAGCTTCATAAGCTGACAACAGAAGGATACAGCATCTTGTCTGGCCTTGGCTATAATGAGGTTCTCCATCATCTGCCGCTGGAGAGAGAGCGTCTGCATCGAAAAAGGGGAGAAGAAATTACTAAATATTAAGTATGACCAAGAAAAAATATTATGTAAAGTTGTATTAATATGCAAATTGTTTCTGTAGAGAAGAATCCAATTCATCTCAGCACAATCATAAAGGGTTATGGTTTATGGTTAATTTCTTATTATTACCAGGGGAAATAAGAAGTCAGTCCTCATCTAAAACCTATTTAAAAAGTTAGTTAATGAAGCTCCTCATGACAGGGACCACACAATGATCAAACATCTAAACTGTACGATCAATCACTGCAACAACAACCTAAACACTGCATTGAATCAATCTGCTAGGTTAATTTGCATCACAAAAAACGCTGCCAAACTTCCTGACACAATCAAAGTTATTGTGAAGTCTGTCGTACAGTTGTACTGAAGAAATGAACAATTTAGCACTGTCGCTATCCCTCCTTGGCGACTGCGGAGCCAAAAAACGTTTTAGGCGTTACGTCAAATTCCGCTGCACTCGGTTACATTTAATATTGATTTTATGAAAACATGCCATACATGTTGAGTAACAGCTCGCGAGGTTTATGACTCTTGTGTGCGCTCTCTGACCAGAACACTTATTTAAACTTGACTTGAATTTCAAGGGGCAATAATTAAAACAAATAATTTCAAATAACGTTTAAATGAGTCCGGTGTGACGTTACGTTACTTATGTGGCGTTCGTCGTTAAGATTTACCTTTACAAACGCCTTTAGTTTTCTCCAGTAAGCACGAAGCTCCACTTGACGCAGGAACATTTTCCGTATCTTGAATGATAAGTTCACATGAATTTAAAAATATCTTAACAGAACACAGAATTGATATCAGAATAAAATAGGACAGCTTAATTTACTGACCGCTGTGATTAAGAACAAATTAAATGTTAGCTAGCTTATTTCTCTCGCTTACCATGATTTTTTTTTTCTGCCTGGAGATAGTTTTCACAAAAGAGACAAATACGAGGAGTACAGAAAGTTCTGCTTTTTAGGTGAGGCGTTATCTAGCTTTAAATAACCCGTGTGGTATCTTTACCCAGCCCACTCCACCTTCTTTCTGGCACTCTTTCATCACCGACAACATGCGGCAATCTCAAATAGATACCAGACCGGAAGTACGGCAAGAAATGCTAAATAAAAACACCCACGATGTCGCTTAAAATGTTGACACCGCTGAGATCCAGAGAGATCAGACAAATCGGTTTGAACTGATTCATAATTTCTGAGCGTACACATGCTTACAGTTTTATCGGCAGTTTTTAATTCAGTAACTAAATGCATGGAAGCAAGGACTGAATAAAGTTACCTTTTAATTTCTGTTTAGTTTCTGTCGCTCTTTTGCTCAGTCTGCCTTTGTCTCACTGTTTCTTAAATAAAATCCCCCTCCCTAATATTGACTAGGTAGTAAAGGGTCAAATATGTTTACTAGCAGTGTGTGAAATGTGAAAATCACCTGGGACTAAGGCTAAAATGGTCATACACACCATAAGAACGCATCTAAGCAACACCTTAATTTAACAGAAAACACAAATGTAATTCTAATCAGATCTACTTGTGCCCTAATGATGGTAGTGATATTATAAGCCTGTTAACTTATGCATTCACACAATCTGCTATTGTTTTGCAAGCTGTCCTTCCTGCATTTGGCAGCCACAACTGTGTTGCTTTTAGCCTGCATTATGTGGTTAACTTCTTTTCTCTAATAATATATTGCTCCGTGTTTGTAAAATATGCTGCTCTGCTCCATGTTTGCGACTGGTCATATGCTGCAAACACAGCCCCCTTTGATGTGACAAATTGAAAAGGTATCATGGGTAATGTTGAACTTGCTTCGTAGTATAGGCTTGGACTTGGTAATGGCCCTTAACTTGAAGAAAATGTTTATCTTTGTAACAGTTTCTTTAGTTAGAAATAACCACGTGGGCAATGTTGTTGCTTTGCATGGTGTCAGTGGTTACATCTACCGCACTTGAAAAAGCCTTGTGGTGTGGGATTGAGCCATCCTCAAGATGTGGATCACTTTCTATGCTTTTCCAATTCCAAATCTGGCTCCTGGTCACAGATCCTTTTAAGGTGTCAGGGCACAATGTTCTTTTTTAAGTGTTGGGGGATGAAAACTATCGGCCCGGAGCAATGTGTTTCTGTCAGTTAGCTTGTGAACAGCAGTATGGAGGTGACCATCATTGTGTTTCATTATGATGAGGTCCATGAATACATTGGCTAGGCTCAGTGCATAACAAGCTTCCATATCTGTTGTAGATTTAGATTGTCTTAGAAAAGGAAAACATTCTTTTCAAGGGTCCATTCAGTGAATCTTAATATGAAGTCACTAGGTGGTATGCTTCCTGTGGGGCATCTATTCAGCTAGTGAGAAAGTGCTTGTAGTCATTTTTTGTGGTCTATGTTCATGCATAGGACAGTCTCAAAATATATAGATATCTCAGAACATTTGCAAATGTTTGCGAACTCTACCTTAGGCAATCCCTTCTTTCTTAGATAAGTTATGCTTAGTCATTTCATTTTTATTGTTGTGTAATTTTCCTGTGTCATGGTGAGTCTTTCTGCAAAATATCAAGAGAGCAGGATTAGTGCTAGTAAGGTAAAAATACGATTTTTAGACACAATGCATTCCTCTACCCAAGGTTAGTGGGTCGATATATTTGAATATTAATTGATATGAAACGTAGCAGATGACCATACTGTCATATTTGATGTTGGTCGCTGCTCAGGGGCAGTTAAGTTACTTTACTCAGCCATAAAGTGTGTAGATAAGCTCAAGTTGCAGTATAATAGTTAGTGAAAGCTGTGTAATGTGTTTGCTAGCGCAGAAAATAAATAAAAAGTCCCTGTTTACATAACATTATTACAGGGTTTTCTACTCTTTACAGCAGACGTGGTCCAGACTGTGAACAGCTGGCTAGTTAGCAGCTACGAATCAATGTGATTTTTTTTACTGTGGCAGAAAAAATCCAAAGAGATCAATCACCTGATCGCTCTAATTACTCTGCTTTCAGCTCTGAAACGTATATGTTATACCTCCAGCATTTGGGTATTTTAATTGACTTTAGCCTGACTTGTAGCTGCTGCCTGAAGGTGGACTCATCCCCACCAGAGATGAGCCCAATGAGGGTGGTGTCATCCGCAAACGTTAGTAGCTTGACGGACTGGTGACTGGAGGTGCAACTGTAGATGTACAGGAAGAAGAGAAGGGGGGAAAGAATGCAGCCTTTAGGGGAACCGGTGCTGATGATCCGAGAGTCAGACATGTTTGTCTGATGTTAATCAGACCTCAATCTCCTTATCACCAAAGAGGCCACGAAAGAAAAGGATCTCAACTGGAAATCACAGGTGTAAAGATGAAAATCACAGGTTCCAATGAAGACCAACTGAAACTTTCACTTAAAAAGAAACTCTCAAAAGATTCAGATGATATCGTATTATGCACCTAAAAGAATGGTATTGCCAGAATCCAGTTGGATGTTAGAAAAACACAGAGAAAACTGAAAGAGAGAATCACTGAGCACAAATACACCAGTCGCACAGGAAATTAAGACTACCCGTCGGCCAAGAGTTATGGACAACACAATGGATGTAACCCAGACTCACTCAAAGCAGTAGCTATACAGGCCATAGAAAGAGGGGAGGAGATAAACAAAAGAAACATTTTGGATTTTCAAGTTAAAAGGCGAGGGTCCAGGCCTGAATGAAGACCTAGACCATGTTCCATAACTGTAAATATATTAGTTGTGATGGGATTACCCCCCCCAAAAGGATAGTAAGTGACTGTAATCCAATAAACCTTTTTGTTAAATTCAATGAATATTTCCGCACGGTTTGCTAGCAATACTTTATCAATAGATGTGTGTAGAGTAAACATGTACAAAGGGTTACTTTAATCTGCTCTGTCCACAGTCTCTCATCCTCTACGCTTGATATAAGCACAGCTAACATTAACTTGGCAATTACCCAAATGTTACAACCACGCTGTATTGACAGCGGTCTGTCTGTATTATAGACCGTTAGCTTAGTTTGTCATGTAGCTGTAAATTTAGCACAACTCAGTAAACTCAGCTGCTGGCTGAGACATAGCAGCCACTCCTCTCTACCAGGTAAAGATACCTGCAGGCAGTGAATAAGAGCAGAGAGGAAGAGGAAGGACTGATAATGCCTGTCTAAGTTCCTCATTTTTTCTAAACAGATTTTTTCTAAACAGATAAATCTGTCAGTCAGATGTTGAGTTTACCTAGTGACGTTGCTCTTGTAAACTTTAATGCTGCTGCTCTCGAAACAACATTTAGTTGTCTTTAAAATATTCAATTCTAATAATTCATTTAAAAACAACCAGGCAACTATATGCACACTTTATTATTTGTTTATTTATCGCAAGTCATCGCAATATTGAACAATGTTATCACATACTGGGTCTCATCTTACCAAATAACACACAAAGTAAAATAAAAATATTGATAGGTATTGATAAAGACTCTGAGCATTAAGCAGTCTAAATAATGGTATCAATATCAATAACGATCCCCATCCCTACTATCTAACTACTGTATTTCTCCATTTGACTATCTGTGAATATCTGATGCTATTAAGTATGATGGATTAATTACCTTAAAGATACTGATGCCTTTAATCTACTGCGCCTAATTATGTGCACACTAGAGAGTGACACGGTGGATTTTCTCTCCTGTCCCTTACAAGGACCAGTCTAACCTCTCTTTTTTGCTCTCGTTATATGTCCTTGGATCTAAAGAGCAGCTGTTTTTTTGATCCCTGCATTTGTGAAGTAGCACTCCTCAGCCAAGCTGCTGGCACTGTGCGCTCTCTAAAAACATAAATGATTTTTGTACCGCCAACTTGTACCATAATACATCATGTAATTAATCTTATCGTCCAGTTTGTCTACTGTTCCAGTGTTAAGAGGATAATATGGTCAACAAATGGGACACGTATTCCTACAAAACAACTTCTGGCCGCCTTAAGCACAAGTCTGCTAAACATTTGGTCAGAGACTGAAACCTGGCTTTAGGTCTGTCTCTCTTCCTTTCTTACTCTACCTCTCACACACGCGCACAAACACACACACTCTCTCTAACATACCAAAGATGTCTTCTGGTAGGCCTGACCAGGTGTCAGCCTGGCCAGACGAGCTTCATAATTGGCTTTCAACTTCTGGTTCAAACGGGATGCTTCTTCAATGGGTGTCAGCTCTCTGCAGAGCACACATACACACAAGATATATCAACAGCTTACTTAAAGGGTGTGTCAAAGGCAAATCAAACAGTCGTTCTTCACACCTGTCAGCAAGACATTGTTACGGTTTTTAGCAGTTTAGACTCTTGCTTTCAGTAAAGACAACTGAATATTTTAAATCAACATTGCTGACGTTCTCATAGAAAGCCCATAGAAGCACCACCAACACTCACATATGGAAGGACAGGTTTCTATAAGTTAAATCTAACCTGTTGGAGGACATTTTTATCACTTTACAATTAAGACTCGTAAAAAATTATCCTTAAAGAGGCATAAGGAGAACTGCGTGCGAGGATGGCAGTGAGAAGGAGCACACACAACATTGTTAAAACCTTGGAAAACTGTATCAAAGACTCAAATATTTTAATTGTATTACCACAAGTCTAAAAATTTAGGTAATCGAATCAACAATAAAAACATTAAGAAGATCTATTTGATGTTTTGACCTTTAGTCAGTTCAGAACATTGTGCTCTAAACTAGAAGTTCTTAGAAATCTCTGTGCTGTGTTGTACACTTTATTGAATGGAGCAATATTTGCCCTCCTTGATAAAAACCAGCCCTTACTTTTTGCTCATGTCCTGTGACACCACTGTTTGTAGTCTCTGGAAGATTTCAGGAGGCAGAAAAGGGGAGAGCTCACCACCACCGTCTGACAACACCCTGCGGTGACCGGTCTTTGTTGGGCTGGTTGCTTTACGCCCTGCATCAACAGCAGTATCAAATGGGTCGAAATGGAGAGACAAAAAGTGGTGAGTGGCTTGAGAAGGACAAAATCATGTGGCTATACATTGGCTAGTTTTGATTTATGACCCGTGAGGTAGGATCCAAGTCAGCAGTAATAAGATGGTATGTTAATAAAAACACATGTTCTGGTTGGAGGGGATGTAGTCACCAGTGTTTTCTGCATTGGCAGCTGGGAGGACAGCAGTCTGATGGGGTTCTGACTGTTCAGGTGAACAGGAAGCAGAGACAGAGGCAGAGAGGTCAGGGGGTTCAGTGCTCTTCCCTATAAATGACTTGGCTCTCTCCAGACACTGCTCAGCCAGCCTCAACATCCGCTCCACCTCTGAAGCTGGGACAGAAAGAAAGAGAAGAAAGTCATGAGTAGTGATCTTACAAAAAAAGACACTCCTGGATGATTAATCTAATGCAGATCCACTATATAAAAGGTCATCACATGGCATTTGAGATCTGATCCAATTTTGGGCAAACAATCAACCACCGTGTACAAGTTGATTAGTTCAAGTCTAGTTCGAATGATTAACAACGTTAGCAGGGGGTGCTGCTGGTGTTCTGGTTGTCCCTATGAGGCAACTCTGTGCTGGTCCCACCAACCAATCTATTGGCTGCCATATGTTCAAATCTCAGAGGCTTTTCTCTTGCTTATACATCTCTTATCAGCCTCGTTTGAAATCACCATTATGGTCCAGAAGAGAAGTGACTGAGCACCAATAATGTTTGACTATCACAGCTTGCAGGTCAATTAAGGATACCCCCACCCCAAAATACTGTACAGCACATCAAACTGGTTACCTGGCTATTGCTGCAATACTTCAGATGATAATCTGACATGTGTGCATGCATGATTTCATTACACGTATACATTTAAGTTGCATGTATGTACTCAGTTGCCAGTTTATTAGGTACACCTAGCTAAAACTAGTGCAGTCTAACGCAACAGTTCTGCAATAAATCCTACTTTCATAAAAAAAAAAAAGTTATAATGTTCAGTTTTGGTTGGAACTGTTTGTTTTTGGTTGTTTGTTGTTGTTGTTGTTTGTCCACCACATTTATATCAATGAGCGTAGGCTAAACAACAGTAACACCTCTGGAAACTGATTCTATATGTGTATCTATGCATGTATATGTAGTGTGTGCATATAATTCAATTACATTTTATTTATAGTGCTACACTAGATGGTGTATACTGAGCATAAAGAAGAGTTTAAACCACAATTAATGATCTGTTTTTTTCAACTTTTACTCAGGAGCAAAAATCAGCCTTTAAACTCAAAAGAAATAATGATTTGATACATATCGTGATAATTATTGGTATCGAAAGATGTGAAACATTTTATTGTGATAACATTTTTGACCATATCGTCCAGCCCTAGGGGAAAGATACACATTTTGTTATCCTGCACAGCTCCTTTGAGTTCAACACACACATTTGCATTTATTTTACTTAAACACTTTGGATTTGGGGGCCAGACTGAGCACAGTAACAAAGCCAGAGTTAGTAAAGTCAATAACTAGATAATACTGATTTCTTTATAAATGGTTAGGTTACTGTACAGAAAGGTTACAGTGGCTTTTCTTTAGTCTTATTGGTGCAAGTCAATTTCACTGAACCAAAAAGAACCATGTTTAGCTGTAACATTTTCACAGAAGTCCAAAGTGAACATAATACTGTATCCCTGTTTAATATCCATTATATTGTTGCAGTTCCTATTAGTTGCCAGTAGAGGCTGGAAGCTACTAATATTATTGGCCTCTGTTACAACAGTTTTCTAATAGAATTAAATGTGAATATATGCCCATGCAAGTAAAATCAAAATCACCTGAGGAAAAAGGGAAATAGGCCCAAATATTAATTAGGATATACAGTACAGGAGCCACAGCACACCACCGCTGATGATCTTTGATGTCTACAGTGTCTAGTCTGACCACATATTGGAGAATTGATACAGTCTCTACTTTGTGAAGACTGAATATGTTGTTGCCATTTGATAGGAATTTGCTTTGGTGAGCTCACATTTAATATAAGTGGACCGTAATGACAGCCCAAGCTACTTAGCCAATTAAAGGGCCTGTTTAAGCTGTAACTGATAGCTATGAGCAATAAATAAAACACTCTTTAACACTCTCTACTGTTGCTTGCAGTATAACCTAATAATGAGACAGGTACATATTTGGATAAAGGCCATCAAAAGAGGCATGTTAAGCTTTTCAATTAATCTGAATTTATTAGACAATACTGTAATAACACTGTGTCACAGTCTACTATTTGACTACAGTGAAATGTTTAAGGGCCTTCCTTGCCCTGAACTAGGCCTTTTCATGCAGCACCGTCTGCCAACCATAACAACAAGTTTAACAACCTTGCTATCACTTGCTTGCTCCGAGCTTGAACACCAGTCCAACTTTTTAACTGAAATACAGAGGAGGCGATGATCTCTAGATGTTACTTAGATGCTAGTTTCATATTTTAAAAAGCTGACTGAAGGCCCATTGGACAACTCTGTATGGTATACATAATTGGGTAAACATACTAAAGAACTAATGGAAAAAAATTGGACCTGCCGTCGTAAAGCATCTCGATACATATCTTTATCATCAGGCATGTTATGTCAGTACTCAGATCTTACTTTGGGAACCAGTTTCCTCCAAAAGTGCATGTGATATGTAGTTGATCGTCCGGAGGTATTCACAGTAAGCTTCCTGTAGAAGGACCAAAAGCATGCAGTATCTTACTATTATGGTTGTAGCAATAACAAGTCAGAATTAAAAATGAACATCAGCCATTGTTGCCATGCAATGCTGAAAAAACAGCAATAAAAACAAGTGTTTGTTTATTTTAAGTCTACAGTAATACATGATACAGTACCAACAGAGATTGCACCACATTAATCATTTCAGGTGTAGTATTTAGAGAGACAATGGTTTGTCAATGTCATGTTTAGTAAAAATGTGTGTCAGATATCTTCACTTATCAGCAAAGAAATACACCTGACAAAACCGATTGATACAGACATAACAGGCTCTCTTTAATTTGGTGTGGAAACCTATAGTATAATAAAATGATTAGAACTGGCTAGCCTCCTATTTCCACAGTGTGCTTGCACATTATGGTAGTGTGATGTTATTGTAAAAGTCTAAATGACCGGTTTTGTGTTGTGTCAACGCCACTCTAATGATTATGTCTAGCCACTGAAACATGTATTTCCCATGCTTTAAAAGTTAATTCAACACAAGAGCAAATTTTATTTATTTAATTTATTACATTGTTTTTTGCGTAATGGTGATATTACATCTGTTATTATAAAGTTGTTATGTTTGAGATAAGCTAATTGATATCTGACTTAATCTAAAAGTCAATATTTAACTTTCTTTATGCTTTTAGTTGTACAGTTCAATCGGAATGTAACATTATTATAATATTCTAAAATAAAAGTATTGTATTTATTATGAAGTTTTATTGGTGTAGTATTAAAAGTGACAAAGCTGAATAACAATTAGACTAACTTCCTTGACAAGAATAGTGAGTAGTCAGTAAAGAAAAAGGGTAAAGTAAGTAGTGCACACATTTAATGACAAGTGAAATGTATAGAATACTATACATTAAAAGCGTTCAGCAAGTTAAATGACTCTTGTCATGAACTCAGCAGGTGTGTTTACGTTGTATGAAAACAACATCTGAAACTGGGACAGGTTAGCTAGCTAACCCACTAACCGCTCTTCCCCCTCTGCCTGTTTAACGGTTTCCGGTTGTAGTGATAACCTTCGTGTTATCACTACAGTCAAACTGTGCACACTAGCTCATTACCTTGTGTTTGTTCCCTCCGTCCAGCTGTATTGCTGCTTTGGCCATTTTCATGGCATTCTGAAGGGGCTTTGCCGGACTGTCAGCCATGGTTAGCCCTCACGTAGCCGCTTCCTTGTTCTTCAATGTGTTCAGTCATGGCGGATTGTAAATACATTTTAAAGATGTATACTGCCTCCTACTGTACGGGACTGGCAGAGCACTCACTTAATGTAACAATTCTGTATTTCAAATGGTTTTTAGAAAATACTCTACTTCTCCTTGAAATGCTTGTGAGCAACTCACCAATTATACAGATTTTTCAAATATTTTATTTCTGCTGTTTTCTACTTTTCTTCCTCACCTTATCACTGTTTCTGTCCCTGACTGCATAATACTGATGAAATTAAGTAAGAAGAAATTTTACTTTTTGTCAAGTACAATGTGAGCATCTATGAGAAAGCAAACGAAATACACTAATCATTATAGTGCTTTCCACAGCTGACAGTTTGGTTGTATCGAAGGTTACGCAAATGTAAAACACGCCAACAAGAACAACCTGTTAGGCTACTGTATACGTGTCGGACATAAAAAACAAATGAGAAACTTTTTGCAGGGTCACCCAAATACAGTTTTTGGTCTTTGGTCTCATAGTTATTGACCTTGAGCAGAGGTGTTTCTAGTGACATTAACAGCAGCTAAATGAAATTCAGCCATCATTAATTGTATTATTTACACCGTTTTTCCTTCTGTGATATGTAGCCTAAATGAAAGAGCAGCACTGTAAAAGCCATGAACATGTGAAAAAAACATAATGTGTTTCAGGATTCAGGGCAAGCCACAGAAACTAAACTCTTGGTAGATAACCCTTGATGAGAGAATGTCTTGGCCAGGTTATAAAGACAAATTATACCTAAAATGGGTGGAGCCATACCTGCTATTAAAAATTGTCACTAAAAAGGGATCTGCAGAAGCTTTGGATTGTTCAGGACTGAGCAGCATGTTTGGTCTGCACACTGGTCTGTCCTGGCTGATGGTGGAGGAGTGGCTGGTGTGTAGTCTTTAGCCTTTTAGGGAATATGTGTTCTAAAACAACCAAATTGTCTTTTCTCAAGAAAAAAACGTTACTAGGAATTAGCACTATTACAAAACTGGACAAGTGACCCGCGATAAGGCAGCTCATGTATCAGGAAATCTCTGAATATGATTACCTTTAAAAACAGATTTAACAGATATTCTGACTGACACAGCTAGTGTTAGTTAGTGTTGTATAGTGAGGAAGCTTTTGGTTCTGTTTTGTATTTGTAGACTGAGTAGTTATGGACATTTGATTGTAGTGTGTACCCTCTAGTACTGATGATTGTATTACAAAGTAATAGGTAGATTAATTATGTATTTGCAAATGTATTTACTAACATTTTTATGTAAAGAAATCACATGAAATAAATGTAGTAACGTTTTTGTTGTGGCCCCACTGTGACCAGTTACTAGGCCCTAATTGACTGACTGGGTGTTTTGTGACCTCTTCTAAATAATGACATGTCTGCCATTTAATTTAGACATGAGAAAGATAACTGCAGGATTGAGTCACTGATAATAAAAAGTTCCATTTGACACTGCAGGTCCCCTTCTTTATAAGATATGAAAAGTTACACACTTCCTGTACCCACTGCAATTTAGACTCGGACACTGTCAGAAGCATTTCAATATGTCATCAATCTGGGAAAGTTCTCAGTTTATACAGCATTATATACAACAGTTATATAATATGATTGTACATATTTATTTTTCCTTTTAAAATAAAATGTAAAATAAAAATTGGATGTTTGATCATTTATGCTGGGGACAATCATTAGTTCTTGATGGGTTGCTGTTGATTGAAAGCTCTCTGTGCCCATTTCAGATTCAGGCTGACGCAGATCTCGTGCCCTTTGGCAGTACTGACCCTGCAGAAACAACAGCAACAACAGATTTAGAACTGGAAATTTTTATGTAGTCATCACAGTCACTGGCTGAACATTTTCTATGTCGCGCTTCTGTGAAATGTAATAATTGTCTTGTTTTTTGTTTTTTCATTTAATTTGATTCATTTAACTCCTTCATGTCCTTGCTAAACATGTGGCCATGGCTCTGGTGGGGATCTTTCTAGTGACATAAACAAGTAAAGCAAAGACATACACAAATCCCTTTTCACGACAGCTGCTGTGAGTCTTGATGATGTTGATAATTTCTGCCTGCCGGATCCCTCCTGTGTAGAATTTGAAGCAGCACCGTACGGGTGCTATTTCATTCACTCCATGTGCTGAAAAAAACAAAAACAAGGATCATTTAGCACCACACACAGTCATTCACTGACCTCAATACACAACAGGTCAGCATGTAGCTGCATGCTGGCAACATCGTGTACTGCTACACACAAATCTTTACCCTAACTCCTCCAACTGAACTGAATATACTGAATCACTGGTGACGGAATCAGAAGCTTCCTGCACTGAAACATTAGTCATTATCAGGCTTCAAAATTACACTTTCTCATTGTGTGTAATTTATTTTCAATATCACATTATAGAGATTACTAATTAGGGAAGATTATTGGCACTGTAAAAAAAAATGCAGTTAAAAATCTAAAATATAGGTTTATGATTTTTTTAATTAACCTTAAAGGGGAACACAATATATTATGTGCTTTGGCCATTAAATTTAACTTTGTAAGTCATCGTAGTGACGAAACAGTGATGGCAATTTACAGATTTTACTAGAAAATATATAATGGGGATACAGCTAAAAAACACAGTGTTATTAAGCTCTATAGTTTACTAGTTTAATATTAGTGTTATATTTTTTATTTAATGAATGTACATAGACACTTTATTTAATCATGTTAAGTCATTGAGATCAAGATCTCTTTTGCAAAAGACCTGAGTACAGCTGAGAGACAGAAACAAATGTGAGATTAAATGCATGATTCACATTAATTCTTGAAAACATCCTTCAAATATGTGCAGGATATCAGTGGCATATTTCAGCCTTTTGTCACATTGTGTTCATTCGTCAAAATGTTTATTATAAAGTAGTTTTTCTAAATGTAATCAAACAGTTAACTTCATATAGAAAAGTTTTTAAATAATGTGATTATATATCCAAGCTTTGCAGAAACAGCTAGTAAAGTAGTAACAGTAACCAGTAAAACCAGAATATTACAGTATCACTCAATGCTCAGAAATCAAAGGTACCAATAGTTTAACTGCCAGATACGGTAAAGTTTAAAAACCTTTTCACAGTCATATCATTTGAGGTTTACCATTCACTCCTAGTGTAAACCTTGTGCAGGAGGCAGGCGTGAGGTAATGGTGTGATAAATTAAATAATGAAATAAAAAATCACTGGTAGCCTTAATTCAGAAACAGACCCCCTAATGGCATTTCCACAAAGTAGACTGACAGACTTACGCATGGCAGTGCAGTAGGAAGCAGCGAGCAGCAGCAGGAGTCCCACTGTGAAGCTGAGAGTCTTCATGCTGTCTTCAGTGTAGAACTGATGATGCTGATCTGGCTTTGTTATCTAAAGTGATCTGTTCTGATCACTATGTTTCTTACAGCTGCTTATACAGTGTCATTTTCACATTGCATTGCCATTCTGAGAAAACTGTCCGAGGGGGGTGTTGTCACAATTGCGGGTGACAGGAAGTTTGAGGAACAACACGGCACTTAGACAAATTAGAAGTCACCATCAAGCAACACTTCAGCAGCTCTGCACTGCATCTTTTTGATCTGTTTTCTGATAAAAGAAAGAAATGCACTCAAAACAGAAGCAGATAACAAAAAGGATATACGTGCTTTTGATCGAACTAAGAACTTTTCTGAATTAATTCCACTGACAAAGACAAGAGTTCAGAAAGCTATTCTTGATATGTGACGGCAAATGTGTTCCCACATTTAAAAGAAGTGCCATCTTGTCATTCTAAAAGTATCAGTAGCCGATGCTTCAAACTTAGTGCTGGTCAGTTTGTCAAGCAACATCTGAATACGGTGGACTGTTCCCATGTACGTATCCAACCACTAAAACAGACTAAACTAAAGATAGGAACCCACTTCCTTCAATTTCTAACACAAAATTTTCTTTTTCACCAGAAACAGAATTTCCATTGAAGGGCCAGATCAACTAAATCACAAAAAAAGCTTTTGTCCTATTACACATACTGATATCTTGCATCTCTCTAGCAGATACTTTCAGTTCTGTCTACTGAGGTTTAGAGATATCCGCTTCTGAAGCTCCTTTCTGCCACAATATCGAGTCGAGATGAATGGAATTTTGTTCCGATTATTCTCTCTATTATGCTCTGTGCTGTTAACAGCTAGGTCTGTGTGACATTTTTTGTGGAAAGACACATAACTTTTGAGGTTTTTTTATATTTTGCTTGGATGCTTGGGACATATAAAATAAATTGTAATAATAAATTATTTGTAATAAATCTGGGCTAGCATCAGGGGCCTTAGGGATAACTGAATATCTGTTAGATAGCTAGATATTCCCTAGAAAAAGTGAGGATTTCTACATTGTGAGGACATTTTGGCCGGTCCAGACTACTTCAAAGTAGCACTTTTAAGGTTTAGGTTAGGTCAGGGTGCACAATTATAGAAAGCCAAAATGTGTTGTGTGTGCCACTAAATGTTGCATGCTGGGCTAAATGTTTTATATCATTAGCCCATACTATATGATGTCAGCATTACTCTGTGTTCCTGGACCCAAGTAAATATAATGGAATCACAAAATGGAATCATAATTGACACATTATTGACATTACATCAAACTTCAGTACCAGGTTGGTGGTGGTGGTGGGGGTGGGGGTGGTTGTTGCATCGCTGCCTCCTGTAGAGGAAGGGACATGTACGGCTACTGAGACACGAAGATAAAGTTTGCACATTGAACCGCAGAGCAGCAGCCTCTTTTAGAGGAGACAGAGGTTTAGTTGGTGTTAGCATATTAAAGTTAAGTTCGGTCACACAGAGGCAAAGAATAGATTGTGTGAGATCAACTGAATAAGTTTGCAAGTCCTATGACTGTGAAACATGCTGATCATAACAAGATAACAGCCTGGGGTGCGATTTTGCACAGGGGAGAGCTAACACAATGGCTGCTGATTGTTTATTAAAAACATAAATACTCAATACAGCACATACAAATATGTTGAAAATTCTGTGAATTGTGCATTTGCACATTTTTGTTCAGAAATGTAAAATACATACTGTACAGGTGCATCTCAGACAATTAAAATATGATAGAAAAGTTCTTTTTTTTCCTATAATTTAAGTCACAAAGTGAAACATTCATATATTCTAGATTCATCACACATAAAGTGCGATATTTCAGGCCTTCTTTAGTTTTAATCTGATGGTTATGGCTTACTGCTCACAGAAATCAAAATCTATATGTCAAAATATTAGAATGTCAGAATGAAGAATGAATAATACAGAAATGTTGACCTTCTGAAAAGCTGACAAGTTTAAAATAAGGTTAATTATATGCACTCAATACTTGGTCCGGGCTGCTTTTGCACAAATTACTGCATCAATGCAGCGTGGCATGGAGGCAATCAGCCTGTGGCACTGCTGAGGTATTAAGAAAGCCCGGGTTGTTTTGATAGCGGCTTTTTGTGAAGATTCTCAGTCATCCAGGTCGTAGTTATCCAAGGAAGGTTAAAGTCAAGTGCAAATGGACTTGTTTGAAGATTATCTTGTTATCTTGAACCAAGTCCAGTTGCCCCTGAGTTTGATAGCGGCCTTCAGCTTATCTCTATTGTTGGTCTGGTGTCTCTTATTTTCCTCTTGACAGTACTCAATTGATTCTCTATGGCAGGGGTCAGCAAATAAGTCTGGCATCGGGACAAATTTTTTTCAAGTCAGTAGATGGCAGGCCAGAACATAGTCAATTTATCATTTATAATCTATAGTTTGCTGTGATTGTTTAGTTCAGTCAGTACTGCACAGGACTCCCATTGAAAGGGTTGTGTCAATCAAACAAGCCACAAGCCTCTTTTGAATTTCCTTCAGAACTTAATTAAACACAACATAAAGTACTGCGACAAAGACATTCTCGAGCTTTTATTTTGTAGGCACAATAACTTAAGAGGAAGTGATTATGTCAGTAACTTGTGCTGTCATGACATGTTTTTTTTGTTTTTGTTTTGCTGCTATCAAAGTAATCTGGTCACCTATTGCTGACCACTGCTCTGAGAGAATTCCGTGGTAGAATTCTCGCCGCCACGCAGGTGAAAATTCCACCAGAAAGTGCACCGCATGCGTTTTGAGGGCTTTTACTGTTTGAAGTATGTGGACTTGAAACTGGCCAAATACCAGGTGTGTCTTCATCCTCATCCTTCATCAGCGTGTCAGTCCAAATCGCTGGCCTACCAAGCACAGTGAGATCATGGTCAGCAAACCAGTTACTAGTGGTGGCACCGTGGGCAGGTGCCAAGTCCTGCTGGAAAAGGAGATCAGCATCTCCATGAAGCTTGTCAGCAGATGGAAACTCTAAAATCTCCTGGTAGATGCTGCATGGACTCTGGACTGGAGAAAACACAGTAGACCAACACCAGCAGACAACATTGCACACCAAATCATCACAGATTGTGGAAACTCTACACTGGACTTCGAGCAATTTGGATTCTGTGAATCTCCACATGTCCTGCACAGTCTGGACCTGGATTTTCAAATGAAATTTAACTAAATTTACTTTCATCTGAAAAGAGGACTTTGGACCAGTTCCAGTTCTTTTGCTCCTTTGCCCAGGTGAGACACTTCTGATGTTGTCTCTGGTTCAGGAGTGGCTTGACATTAGCAATGCGACACTTGTAGCTCATTTCCTGGACCCGTCTGTGCCTGGTGGCTCTTGATGCACCAGCCTCAGTCCACTCCTCGTGAAACTCCCCCAAGTTCTTGAATTTGCTTTGCTTGACAATCCTCTCAAGGCTGCATCATCCCTGCTGCTTGTGCACCTTTTCCTACCACACTTTAACATTCCAGTCAATTTTCCATGAACAAGCTTTGATACAGCACTCTGTGAAGAGCCAGCCCTTCCAGCAGTAACATTGTGTGGCTCACCCACCTTGTGGAGAGTGTCCTCTGGTCAACTTTCAAGTCAGGAGTCTTCTCCATGATTGTGTTTGTGTGTACTGAACCAAACTGAAAGATAAAAAGGCTCTTCCTCAGGTCAAAATTTCTGCATTAGACATTCTTTATTCTAATATTTTGAGATATGGATTTTTGCTGTAACCCAAAATCATCAAGATTAAAACAAAAAATACCTGAAATATTTTATTTTTTGTGTAATGAATCTAATATAGACAAAATACACAATTTGACTTAAATTACAGAAAGAAATGTTCTTGATATTCTAACTTTCTGATATGCACCTGTGTAATGTAATATCACAGATCTGCAAGTTTCTTTTCGTATTTCCTGTGTTGTTAGGGTTAGTTAGTTGGGATGGGGAAAGGTGGTTTTGTGCTCAAGTTTCCCCTAGGCCGGCGTAACAATCAGAATATAAAAATATAACAGAATATAATGCAGTAATCTTTTTTTGTTGTTGTTGCTTAAGTTACTTTTTTTGGACAAGGAATATGTTTCTTCTATATTTAGATTGCATTGCAGGCTTATTGTGCAAATAAAGCTTTTACATAGCATTTTTATTTGTTAATTAACATTTGAAAAAAATTGGACAGCATTTATAACAAATGCTTTCAAAAAGTGTTGGCTACATGTTCCCAGCGTCCCCACGACCCTCCCTCCCTGCTCCCTCCCTCCCTCCCTGCTCCCAGTTCTGACCCTGCAGAAATATCAGCAACAACAGATTCAGAACTGAAAAAATATCATTCGGCATCACAGTCACTGAGTGAACATTGTATCTCTCATGCTTCTTTAAAATGTAATATTTATTTTGTTTTTTCTTCATCCCTTCCTTTCCTCTGACAAAAACTTGCTAAACATGTGGCCATGGCTCTGGTGGGGATCATTCTAGTGACATAAACGAGTAAAGCAAAGACATACACAAATCCCTTTTCACGACAGCTGCTGTGAGTCTCGAAGATGTTGACAATTTCTGTCCGCCATATCCTTCCTGCATAGAATAGGAAGCAGCACCGTCCAGTTGTGCTTTCATTCACTGTATACGCTTAAAAAAACAAAAACAAGGATCATTTAGCACCACACACAGTCATTCACTGACCTCAATACACAACAGGTCAGCATGTAGCTGCATGCTGGCAACATCATGTACTGCTACACACAAATCTTTACCCTAACTCCTCCAACTGAACTGAATATACTGAATCACTGGAGACGGAATCAGAAGCTTCCTGCATTGGAGCATTGAAACAGCAGGATGTCACAGAGAAAATCATGATACAGTTAAATTGTTGGCGGATTGCTGTGTTCAAATCAGCAGTCATTAGTCATTATTAGGATTCAAAAGTACACTTTCTAATTGTGTGTTATAGGATTTCTTTTCAGTATTACAAGATACTGATTACTACATTGGGATGAGTATTGCCACTGTAATAAAAATACAGTTAACAATAAAAAATTCTAAAATATTGGTTTGTAATTTTTTATTTAATTACCCTGAAGAGGGAACACTATATATTATGTGCTTTGGCCTGTTTCTGCCTATAGTTACCACTGGAATTTAAATAAACTAAATTTAACTCAATGAGAGTCTATCAATGCCATTTCATATCACTTGATATCGATAATTATCACGATAAATGTCACATCATTAGTTCTTTCAAGTTTAAAGGCTGATTTTTGCTTTGATTTTTGAAGAAACCAGACGGTTAATTACGTGGTTCAGCTCTTCTTTATACTCAGAATGGGACAAATATTTGATGCCAAACAGTGGATCACTTAAATGTGAGGGAGAACATTCAACAAAAGTTTTAAACAAATATGATTAGTAAATCTTTTTTCAGTCCCTTTTCCTCAACAAAATAATTATTATAATAGAAAAATTAAGTGCTAATTGTTACGGCCGCGACTGGCTGCCTTAGAGTAGTAGTAGTTGTGTTCTGGAGTTCTCTGAACAGTATGCAAATCCCAGCTGGAGTCCCTGTTGAGGTTTGTTTCCTCTGGACCTGGAACCACCCACTTCCTGGTTGCTGTTTGCTGGCGTCTGATTGGTGTGGCCGAAGATCCGACCAAACCTGCCAACCAGGACTCACCAATCAACACCAGCTGGCCTACAAATAGTTTGTGTTTCTGCAGTTTGAGGCGACTGTGAGCCAGTGATCAGTTCGCCTCGATGTTGGTTGTGCACCCTTGTGAATAGTGAATAGTGAATTTCTTGAGTGTTGAATTTACCTGTTTCTGTCGGTTGCCTGCCTAAGCGGCTTCTGTCAGTTAGAAACCTTGTAAACCACATAGTGTGAGTGGCACTCTTTAGGGTTGAGCATTGTCTGTTTGGTTACTTTGCATTCTTGTAAAGCATGTAGGTACTGACCTCCTTTCGTTCAGTGTTTTTTGAGTAGAGAGCTGTCTTTGGACAATACCTCCTTTTGTTTCCTTTTTTTTGTCAGTACCTATATAGCCTCCTTTTGTTGTGTTTTTCTTGAGACAAATCATTTAATTAAACATTTGACTTTAACCTAAATTCAGTTGTCCTTACATCCTTAATTCTATCCCAAATACCTTGTTACTGCCCTACCCTAACGAGCTGGGTTGTAACATAATTTATTTGTGATTCATATGAATGAAACCAAATATTTATTGCTGATATATTGAACAATTATTATATTGATATTTAGGAAAATTATATTGCGATAATTATCATTATTGTTTTATTGCCCAGCCCTACTCTGAGTTCTTCAAAAACTTTAAAAATGCACAGTATATTAGCTGCATATTTCAGCCTTTTGTCATAGCTATTGTGTACAGGGTTGTCCTCAGCTATGTACCACTGAGAACACTGAGGTCATGCTCTGTATTTTTCTGGGAATTTGGGCCAACAACATGGCTCATGTAGATGTCAGGTCATGTGGACAATACTGGACAGGTTCTGAAATAGGTGGACAGGTAGTGGCTGGTGGACAAATAACAGAGGTAGAAAGCTGCAAACAACATTCTAATTTAATGATAATTTTGTGCCATTGATTTACATTTGCTTCTAACACACTCTATAACGGATGCCTACTAGTTTTAACATGATTCTGTTGTGGTTTCTGAACAAACTCTATTTAGGAACATACAGGAATATTTTGTTGTGGACGTGAACATTATCTAAGCATGACAGCAGGAAGGATTAGAAAACTTATGAGAGTTGTCGAAAGTTGCAGATGTCTTAAGAGACTGACAGATAGAGCAAACAGTTCCAGTAAATATTCCACTGACGCCGAGACCAGTCAGTAGAGAATAGAAAACACTGTGCGCACTAAGAGGATGTGAGTATGCGTTTTGTAGGGTTAACAAACTCGATAGAAAGTTCATAGTTAAAATTAATAATTTGCATAAAGGCCAATATGTTTCTATGTTTAAATATGTATTTGAGTACCATAAATTGACTAAGATAGTCCCGGCAGGACAAAACTTCTATGTCTGATCTAAGCACTTCTGAAGAATCCTATAAAAGAAGAGGCCCTACAGGGTCAGTAAAGGAAGCCATGATCCAGGACAAGGATTAGTTGTAGTGAAGCCATTAAATGTAAGGCTGTAATCTCTTCTCATGTTTAAATGTGCAGCTTGTGATTTTCCTGTGTTCCAGCCTGGAGGGTTTTTGTTGTAGCACATGGTTTAGTTTTCAGGAAAGACTGGGCATTTAGCCTAGTCCACTCAAAAACAGTTTAGCTAATACCTTTGAGATTCTGCAGAGGCCTGAACAACAAAATGTTACCATGTTTTGACAGCTGGTTGAGAAACTACAAACTGAGCCAACTTTTGTGGCGCAGTTTTTATTTGAAACCATTTGTGTGTGTGTGCATTCTTTGGGTTTCTTCAAAGTATATTACTGAATGGTGGGGAAGCGAAAGTCAGTCTCATCGTTGCTCATTGACTTTGAACAGTTGTCTCTGACATTTTGCATACTTTGATCTTGTTTTCAACATTTACTGTTTCTAAGAGAGGTGTCAACAATGATTGTTAATCATGAGAATATCTCAGATCTCAAAGAGGTGATTGTATCACCTCTGATATTTTGTTAATAATTCGGTTTATTCCAACACTAATCATCTTTGACATCATTTCCTTCTTTTGTCTTTTCTTACGACATTTATTGGACCTAATGTATATAACCCATGCATTCAATAATTGCAAAAATCAGCAATATTCAATCACTTGAAATATCTGACTATCAACTTTTGTGTAAGGGAAAACCATCCCAGGGAAACAAACTTTTACAAACTAATCTCCAACATTATCCAGATTGTATTCCTTTAGCTGAAGTCAGTCATTGACCTGCTGTTATCTGATCATTCATAAAAGACCTTGGAAATGTCTGTCACTGATCAAAACACACTCTACTCATAAAATACACATAACCAGTTATATCCCTCAATAAAACAATTCTATTTTTATTCAAATACAAATATTAATTCACATATTTGAGCCTCCCTGCGATGGACTGCCGAACTTTAGCTGTGAGGAAGGTAAAAGGATAATGTCATTATAAACATGTCAGTGAGAAATCATAAAACGATTACGATGAGGCACAAACAGAGATCACTCACGCATGGCGTTGCAGCAGCAGGCGGTGAGCAGCAGCAGCCCCAGAGTGAAGTAGAGAGTCTTCATGATGATGTCGGCCAAAAGATGATGACAATGTTCTTCTTTGCTGTGATCGACTCTTAGCACTACATCTGATATAAATACTGTTTATTGTGGAGCTGAAATGTGTATGATCTCAGCCTTTCCATCCAAAATGAATCCTCCCACAAAGCATCAGGGCAGAATTTCCATACACCTCCTCAGCTTTCCACTGTGAAGAAACACTCCAAGGACTGCCCTTGTCTAGTTAGGAGAGGAAGTTACAGTAAGGGACAGACCACAGTTTGGTTGTAAACAGTGCTTGAAGTGGAAAAAGTACTCTCCATTCACATGTTGCCCTCCCACCCAGTATAAATGAGTGTATTAGTGAATAATATAACATGAACTACAAAGTATAATGTTAGTGTAATAATGATATTTTAACATTATTTTGAAGAAATATTTGATGCTGAGATATACAAGTGGAGGTCTGGGGGGTCCTCTCCCAGAAGATTTTGAGCATTAAACTCTTAAATTACTGCATTCTGGAGACATGTCCTGCACCAATTTATGTTTTCATTTATATGAAGGTAAACAAAATTCAGGTGGCAGGTGACCATTCAGAATATAAAAATATAATGGAATATAATGCAGTTATCAGTAGCTTGTTTTTCTAAAACTAAAGTTACTATTTTTGACCAATGCTTTCAAAAAGTAGTGGGAACATTCTGATTCTGACATGTCTCTAGCGTCCGCAGTGTGAATGACACCTATTTTTTAATGTCCCGCCCCATCCAGGCTGCGATTGGTCGGTTCATGAAAAGGGACGTAGACAAGCTACTTTCTATCAGATATATATTTATCTGATATGGTGAGGGCAGAGAAGAGTACCAGCAGCTTGGGAGAAGTACCGGTATGCTAAAGACTAAAATGTCGAGGTGCCGGTACTGTGTACTGCTGCGTACCGGCACACATAAAGCACTGGTTATAGGCTAAAGATTAAATGGTAGATTTATTTGTCACATTACAACAGGTTTTAAAGTGAGATTAAGTTTGTAACTTCCTTCTGCTATCATGCAATCACCTCCTGTACCACTGTTACGACCCGGCACGTGGGAAAAAGGGAAGCAACATGAAAGTTACTTATTTACAGGTTTCACACAAAAGAACGGAAAAAGGGCTCTCTCCAAAACGAGAGATAGCCACTACTAAGAAATCAAATAAAACAAAACCCTCTCTGACATGTTCAGCTATAACCAAACACAAAGTGAGCAGCACCCTCTAAGCCTAGTGTTTCTAAACATTAAATTAACCTACAGTTGTCTTTTCAGTGTCAGTGATTGACACCAAAGTCCTTGCCCATATTTCCTTTAACAAAACTCACACACAAAGTAACACAGGGAACACTATGTTTAGACTTACTAATACTAGTAGTTTTAGACTACTTCTACCAGTAAGTCAACAACAGAAGTTACCGCAGGAAACACCACGTTCACCATGAGTAGAGAACAATACAATCGAGACGAACTGATCAAGGGGGGATCACAGCTGCCAAGTGTGGTGCATAATATATGTGCATCGCAGCATTATTGTTCAGACACCACACAAGTTCAACAGACAGGCAGCTATTTAAGCAGGAAGATGGTCTTGATGGCGATAGAGGATTGGAGGAGATGGAGCTGGATGCCGCACAAATAAGGAATCAGGAAGTCAGCAGGGCTTGCTTCAGCCAATCCTCGGCAAGAGATCACACATCCTGTTTAACATGCCACACAGATTCACAAAAATGGAAATTACATATTTTAACTCCAGATTCTATGAGTATAGGCGCAGCCCTCTAAAGTGTGATTTATACTTCTGCGTCAAATCGACGGCGTAGCCTCTGCGTAGCCCCGTACCCTACGCCATAACCTGACGTGCACTACCTCAAAAATGTAACCACACGGAGGGTAAGAACTGTGATTGGTCGGCTAGGTAGCCTGGCAATGCCTCCGAGCTGACAGGAAGTGCCCCGTGATTTGAAGTAACTTTTATGCTGATGGGAGAGGACATGTCACTGAACAGGAGAGACCATCCATCCATCTATCCATTGTCAACCGCTTATCCTGCGTACAGGGTCGCGGGGCAGGAGAGAACAGTATCTGCTTAACAAAATTAGACTGGGACACACAAAGTTAAATGCATCTCTGCACCTTATTGGAAACTCCCACTGGTACTTGTGAGGCCTGCAATCAAATGGAAACATTGGAACATACAATGATAATGCTCCATCTGGTTGCAAGTTGCTATAAAAAGAAGAAGAAAAATCTTTCCCTGACAATCATACACTGCAAAAACTAAAATCATAGTAAGATTAATTATCTTAATTAAAGGCAAACTATACTTGTTCTTTGTCTGACAAGATATTTCTTCTTACTTCTTCTTTATGTTAGAGTATTTCACTTGTTTCAAGTTTTTTTGGCCTTAAGTAGCAAGTGAAATAATCTTGTTCTGTTGGCAGATAATTTTGCATAGTAAGTAATATTTCCCCCATTTTAATGCTTTTTTCCCTTGTTTTTGAGAGCTCAGTTTTTGCAGTGTATGCCACCTCTATCTCTGTGTCCTGTGTTGTGATAACCTTTGTAAGTAGTGACAGCAGCGTAGTGATTTGAGAATGTGTAAACCTTTGTTTGATGTAAGTAATTTGACCATTTGTATGGATATTGAACCCTCTTTAGCAGTTAGTAGGAGTGAGAAGTCCTTTTTGTTTGGAACATGTTTTCTCCTGTTTTTCTTTGGTAGGAGCCTAGGTTAGTGCTTTGTCTTGTCTTTAGCTTGCATTATGTTTTGATTATGGAAGTTTTAAGCTTTGCTAAGAATCTTTTCTTCGTTATTTTGGGCACTGCTCTGAATAAAACTGCTAACTTTTTTTTCGAGATGTGGAATTAGCCTTACCTGGGAGTGGGAAGAGTGGGGAGACACCTTTTATGTTATGTCTAGGTTTGCCCCTAGACCGGGGACGTAACATGAATTGGGGGCCCGTCCATTCTTTCTCTTGCCGTTGCGTTAGGTAAGTTTATATCATTGTTGCTCGTAACTCTGCTTGTCTGGTTGGCAGTTTTTCTTTTGTGGTGGTGGCAAATATGGAGTTTCAATCAGAGGATTTTGCTACTAATTAATTAAGTGTAAAAAGGCTGATTTGATTTTAGCGGGGAACTTTTTTGATGTGCTGTTGCCAACCAGTCTAAAGATTGCTACCCGACTCAAAGTTACTCCACCTTCCAGCTCAGACAGGCATGACTACGGAAGAGCTGAGTAACTCTGCAGATAAAAGTGGCAGAGGTGAGAAACCAAGAGATGGAGGTGCAAACTATGCATTTAAAGAAAGAGCTGTGGAGCAGGGCTGTGAGCAGGGTTAAGAAACTGGTGAAGTCCAGATTTTTTGTTTCTTTCAATAGAGCTTATTTTTCAACAAAAATTACACCGAAAACACAACTAGTTAGCTGAATTTTGCTCTCTTCTTCTGTGCGTGTGTGTGTGAGCACTTCGTTCGGTTAAAGAACTACAGGCTTTTCATTATGGTCTTTCTCTCCACTTATTTGCACACTAAAATTGCATAAAATTAGAGATACAAACACATTATGGTCGGTAGTTAAAATGCCAGGGAAATCTTGGTATAGTAATCTTCACAACATGCATTATGTTGTGGTGGCAGCCCGGCTGACGGTGAGTGTCCTGGTTTTTTCTCCTTTTTATCAGTTTTTCTGCTTTTTTCCTTGGTTTTCTGTTCTCTGCCTGCCTCCCTGTGTTTTCTCCCCTGTGTGCTCGCTCTCCCTCGGCTCCTGAGCCCAGCCAACTACCTGCACCTGCATCTCATCAGCCACCTCGTCAGCCTGCCACACCTGCCAGTAATCACCTCATGACTGCCTGTATTTCAACCCCGGTTCACCACACCATCCTCGCTTGATCGTCGTTGCTCCATACCCGGTGCCACCCCCACGTTAGGCTTTACCCTGTGCCTTGTCGCTGTCATCCCTAACCCTGTCTCTCTGCCTGTTTCCCTCCCAGGTACACTCACCCTCGTCCTCCGTTCAGTCGGCTGGGCTCATCCACTGGCCCACTCCTCCTCAGACTTCCCTCACGGCATCCTCCCTGTTCCCCTGCCTCTCCTCGCTTCCCCGGCTCCCTGGCCCCCTGTCTCCTTGGTTCCCCGTGCCTGTGCTTTCTCGACATCCACCTCTTCCTCCAGTCCCTTTACCCCTTTCTCCCTCAGTAAACCTCCTTCCCTCCGAACTTTTTTTGGGTCCTCTCTGTCCCCACACCACGCAATCCCACAACACATTAGGGGTTAAGTCACTGTTTGGTAGCTACCATTTCAGTACACTGGAAATGGCCCAAGCAATGTTGGCTATCATGCACTACATAGACAGGAGGTCATTGCAGCCCTCAGCTTGATGAGAGTTTCGTCATTAGTACCTGTAAGAAATGACTCAGTAAATTCATTCAAATGTGGCCTAAAACTGTCATCACAGGACTACTGTTGGAATGACATGTGCAGGCTTCATCATGGGCTCCATTATTACTATATAACATCATGAAATGCAGCAGGTCAGTAGCCTACTGAATGCACAGGATGCTCTGGTTAATATCACACGAGGACTGTTGCTTAACTCCAGACAGTTTCACTGTACGAACCTTGACTGTGCGTGAAAGCTTTTGGATGTGTAGAAGAACACAGAGCTGCTGTGCCTCGTGCGTAAATGCGCACAGCGTTTCTCTTAATGGGGAGACGCGTTACCCTATTTCATCCACCCAGAAATTCAAAAAAGTATTTAAGCTATCTCTTACCCCTTTCCAAGGTAAATGGTATCGCCCAAAACTCTGCCTGTAAACAGCACGTTTCCATGTGTTTCCACAACATTGGTAGGGGAACAGTTTTTCAAGTTGAAATGAGGGTTGCGACGGTGTAATGAGCTACGTCCGCATAAAACCTTCATTTAAGTTGATCGTGTTATCAATGTTTTTTGTTAGAATTTGTTTATTGATAGGCTATAGCCTAAATATAATTACAGAGGTCCGTAATTCGGTGATGATAATCCTTGATGAGAGAATGTCTTGGCCGGGTTATAAAGACAAATTATACCTAAAATGGGCGGAGCCATACCTGCTATTAAAAATTGTGCAAATGTATGTAATAATATTTTTATTTAAATCACACATTCTGTGGCCCCACTGTGACCGGTTGTTTTGTGACCTCTTCTAAATAATGACATGTCTGCCATTTAATTTAGACATGAGAAAGAATGAGATACAATCACTGATGATAAAAAGTTCCATTTGACAATGTGCAGGTCCTCTACTTCTTTGTAAGATATGAAAAGGGACAGACTTCCTGTACCCATGCAATTAAAAAATGAAAAATCACTATAAGAAGCATTTCAACATCAATCTGGGACAGTTCTCAGCTAATACAGCATTACAATATAATTATACATATTTATTTTTAATTTTATTAATCCATATATCAATACATTTTGTAAAATGAAAATGTGATTATCAAGAATAGAGCAAAACAAGGGTCTTTGGGATTAATCATTGAAATAGTTCGTAGCTGCATGAAAGTACTCAGCAAAAAATAAATCATTAAACCTCATCGGCTTGCTGTTGATTGAAAGCTCTCTGTGCCCATTTCAGATTCAGGCTGACGCAGATCTCGTTCCCTTTGGTAGTACTGACCCTGCAGAAACAACAGCAACAACAGATTTAGAACTGGAAATTTTTATGTAGTCATCACAGTCACTGGCTGACCAATTTCTATGTCGTGCTTCTGTGAAATGTAATATTTGTTTTGTTATTTTCTTCATTTAATTTGATTCATTTAACTCCTTCATGTCCTTGCTAAACATGTGGCCATGGCTCTGGTGGGGATCTTTCTAGTGACATAAACAAGTAAAGCAAAGACATACACAAATCCCTTTTCACGACAGCTGCTGTGAGTCTTGATGATGTTGATAATTTCTGCCTGCCGGATCCCTCCTGTATAGAATTTGAAGCAGCACCGTACGGGTGCTATTTCATTCACTCCATGTGCTGAAAAAAACAAAAACAAGGATCATTTAGCACCACACACAGTCATTCACTGACCTCAATACACAACAGGTCAGCATGTAGCTGCATGCTGGCAACATCGTGTACTGCTACACACAAATCTTTACCCTAACTCCTCCAACTGAACTGAATATACTGAATCACTGGAGACGGAATCAGAAGCTTCCTGCACTGAAACATTAGTCATTATCAGGCTTCAAAATTACACTTTCTCATTGTGTGTAATTTATTTTCAATATCATATTATAGAGATTACTACTTAGGGAAGATTATTGGCACTGTAAAAAAAAAAAATACAGTTAAAAATCCAAAAATCTAAAATATTGGTTTATGATTTTTTTAATTAACCTTAAAGGGGAACACAATATATTATGTGCTTTGGCCATTAAATTTAACTTCGTAAGTCATCGTAGTGACGAAACAGTGATGGCAATTTACAAATTTTACTAGAAAATATATAATAGGGATACAGCTAAAAAACACAGTGTTATTAAGCTCTATAGTTTACTAGTTTAATATTAGTGTTGTATTTTTTTATTTAATGAATGTACATAGACACTTTATTTAATCATGTTAACTCATTCAAGATCTCTTTTGCAAAAGACCTGAGGTGGGACCAAGTCATCGTTTTACAAGTCCGAGTTAAGTCTCAAGTCTTAGCACTGAAGTCCCAAGTCGAGTCCCTAGTCCAGACCGATCATGAGTGGCAAGTCTGAGTCAAGTCCAAATCTTAAACCTTGAATTTCGAGTCCTAAACAAGTCATAATGCACTCTTCACCAAAGGTTTTTCAAGTTAAAATAAAACAATTTATTGAATGAAGTACTAGACTGTAGGAAAGAAGGCAGAGGTGCAGTTTCACACAACAAATTTCATGAATTAAATTAAATGTTCATGTAGGGCTGCTAATTATTTTGGTCAATATTGAGATCACAATTATTTAACATGCATTACTCAAAAACCCCAAATAGCCCATGAAATAAGAAACAATAATCCAACATTATTAACTTGAAGCAGCATCTAGTGCACAAGAGGACGACAGCAGCACAGTTTCCCCCAAGTTGACAGCTTTGGGTGATGGATGGGTCACTGAGGGGGCTGTGTGTGTGTGTGTGTGTGTGTGTGTGTGTGTGTGTGTGTACCCGGAGGGGAGCAGAGCAGGTGACAGGTGAACTACTCGAGTTGACGAAGTTACGTTACAGAACGCTGAAATAAAACCGTGGTTTGTTGGGAGATGCAATGACAGAAACCAGCAGTGAGAAAACTATAAATCGCTATGACGTTAGAAGACGCAGACACAGTGGATATTTTACAAGCACCGATCAGGTAAAGCAACACTGAACACACCTCTTAGGGAGGAAACGAGAGCCTCAGCTGTGAAGGAAAGAGGTGCGCTGGATTTATAAAACAAAACCAGTGTCGTTTTGAAACAGCACCCGGCGATATTATCGTTTTATCTTAATGAACTTGTTTTTATAATTGGTGGAAGCAGCTTTCATGCAACAGCTGCAGCAGCAGTCTCTCTACACTGTTTCGACCTGACCTTTCTTTCCTCCGTGAGGTGGAGGAATTTAGAAAGTTGCGTGGTGCTGCGTCAGGGCCCCAGCTGTTGTGCATGGATTAGCCTATGCGTAAAATTCCTCCAGCCAGAGGGAACGATCACCAACCGTTCAGAGCGCGCTGTTAGCGGGCTACTGCACAACTCATTGTAGGCACCGGAGAGGGAGTGGGTCGCTGGGGCGTACAGGGCCAGGAACAGGAGATCGCGGAACGGCCGGGTGCGCTTCAGATGGTCGGTGACTGTTCCCTCTTGCTGGAGGAAGCCACACGCTCCAGTCTAATTGAGCACCGCGCTATGTTGATGCACAGTTTTATAAATCATCATTTATATTCGGGCATGGGGAGTGTCAAGTCAGCTCGAGTCAAAAGGCTCAAATCCAAGTGAAGTCACGAGTCATTCCTGTTCAAGTCAAAGTCGAGTCGCAAGTCTTCTTTGATTTTGTCAAGTCCAGTCAAACGTCATCATTTTTGTGACTCGAGTCCACACCTCTGCAAAAGAGATTAAATGCATGATTCACATTAATTCTCTGAGTTATTTGAAAACATCCTTCAAATATGTGCAGGATATCAGTGGCATATTTCAGCCTTTTGTCACATTGTGTTCATTCGTCAAAATGTTTATTATAAAGTAGTTTTTCTAAATGTAATCAAACAGTTAACTTCATATAGAAAAGTTTTTAAATAATGTGATTATATATCCAAGCTTTGCAGAAACAGCTAGTAAAGTAGTAACAGTAACCAGTAAAACCAGAATATTACAGTATCACTCAATGCTCAGAAATCAAAGGTACCAATAGTTTAACTGCCAGATACGGTAAAGTTTAAAAACCTTTTCACAGTCATATCATTTGAGGTTTACCATTCACTCCTAGTGTAAACCTTGTGCAGGAGGCAGGCGTGAGGTAATGGTGTGATAAATTAAATAATGAAATAAAAAATCACTGGTAGCCTTAATTCAGAAACAGACCCCCTAATGGCATTTCCACAAAGTAGACTGACAGACTTACGCATGGCAGTGCAGTAGGAAGCAGCGAGCAGCAGCAGGAGTCCCACTGTGAAGCTGAGAGTCTTCATGCTGTCTTCAGTGTAGAACTGATGATGCTGATCTGGCTTTGTTATCTAAAGTGATCTGTTCTGATCACTATGTGTCTGACAGCTGCTTATACAGTGTCATTTTCACATTGCATTGCAATTCTGAGAAAACTGTCCGAGGGGGGTGTTGTCACAATTGCGGGTGACAGGAAGTTTGAGGAACAACACGGCACTTAGACAAATTAGAAGTCACCATCAAGCAACACTTCAGCAGCTCTGCACTGCATCTTTTTGATCTGTTTTCTGATAAAAGAAAAAAATGCACTCAAAACAGAAGCAGATAACAAAAAGGATATACGTGCTTTTGATCGAACTGAGAACTTTTCTGAATTAATTCCACTGACAAAGACAAGAGTTCAGAAAGCTATTCTTGATATGTGACGGCATATGTGTTCACACATTTAAAAGAAGTGCCATCTTGTCATTCTAAAAGTATCAGTAGCCGATGCTTCAAACTTAGTGCTGGTCAGTTTGTCAAACAACATCTGAAAACCCCCAAAATACAGTGGACTTGTCACATTCAAGTGACAAGTTTAGCCCTCTGTGAGTTTGTGTTATATTTGATCAGTTCAGTTTCTGTTATTTAGTATGTTGTGTTTTAGGGTTCTGTCCGGTCTGTTGTCCTGAGTCCAGTCTGTAAATGTCATTGTGAGCTCTGCCTGATTTGTTATCCGTTTGGTTATTATCTCTCTGTGTTTGTCTGTTCAGTTATCTTAGTCTGTGGTTGATTTTGTCAGTGTTGTCCTGTTACCATGTCGTCCCCCTGTGTTATTAGTTCGTCCCTGTTTGTGTTGTTGCTAATGCCTTGCGTTAAACTCCCTGTTGCGGTCTGGTTTAGTTAAAACTCCAGCAGTTGGTCCATGTTTTCTGTTTGTGGTTGGTTCCTGGTCTTGTGTTCTCTGTTTAGTCTTGTGTATTCCCTTGTTCATTTACTGGTTCTGTTTAGCTCACTTTGTACCTGTCTGTCATGTATTCTGTGTAGCCTTGTTTATTATGTTATTCATCCGCATCTTTAGGTTTACTTAGTATCTGTCTTTTCTCTTAGGTTTAGCTCTGCGTCTCAGCCCTGTGTCCTAGTTCTGTGTCTCAGTTCATGTCTTAGAGTTTACTTCTGCTCTGTGTACTTATGTGTTCTAGTTTAACTGTCTCTCTGCCGGCCTCGTTAAACTGATCCCAGTCACCTGTGTTGCTCCCTCCCAGCTCATTAACCCATGTGTGCATATATACTTGTTTGTTTCCTCAGTCTGTGTCTGATCATTGTAGTGTGTACACTCAGTCGTGTTTGTGTGGAAGAGTGTTCTGTCAGCCTGTTGGATTTTCCCGTCTACTGCCTGTTAACCTCTTTATTCATTTGTATTAAATACCCTGAACTGAATTTGCTCCAGTGTTATACGTTTAGGCTCATCTCCTCTCCACTCACCCACGGAACCCTAACAGGACTGTTCCCATGTACATATCCAACCACTAAAACAGACAACTAAAGATAGGAACCCACTTCTTTCAGTTTCTAACACAAATTTTTCTTTTTCACCAGAAACAGAATTTCCATTGAAGGACCAGATCAACTAAATCACAAAAAAAGCTTTTGTCCTATTACACATGCTGATATCTTGCATCTCTCTAGCAGATACTTTCAGTTCTGTCTACTGAGGTTTAGAGATATCCGCTTCTGAAGCTCCTTTCTGCCACAATATCGAGATGAATGGAATTTTGTTCAGATTATTCTCTCTATTATGCTCTGTGCTGTTAACAGCTAGGTCTGTGGATTATTTAGGACATTTTTTGTGGAAAGACACATTACTTCTGAGGTATTTTTTATTTTGCTTGGATGCTTGGGATAAATCTGGGCTAGCATCAGGGGCCTTAGGGATAACTGAATATCTGTTAGATAGCTAGATACCCCTAGAAAAAGTGAGGATTTCTACATTGTGAGGACATTTTGGCCGGTCCAGACTACTACAAAGTAGCACTTTTAAGGTTTAGGTTAGGTCAGGGTGCACAATTATAGAAAGCCAAAATGTGTTGTGTGTGCCTCTAAATGTTGCATGCTGGGCTAAATGTTTTATATCATTAGCCCATACTATATGATGTCAGCATTACTCTGTGTTCCTGGACCAAGTAAATATAATGTAATCACAAAATGGAATTACATCAAACTTCAGTACCAGGTTGGTGGTGGTGGTGGGGGTGGGGGTGGTTGTTGCATCGCTGCCTCCTGTAGAGGAAGGGGCATGTACGGCTACTGAGACACGAAGATAAAGTTGCACATTGAACCGCAGAGCAGCAGCCTCTTTTAGAGGAGACAGAGGTTTAGTTGGTGTTAGCATATTAAAGTTAAGTTCGGCCACACAGAGGCAAAGAATAGATTGTGTGAGATCATCTGAATAAGTTTGCAAGTCCTATTACTGTGAAACATGCTGATCATAACAAGATAACAGCCTGGGGTGAGATTTTGCACAGGGGAGAGCATGAATTGGGCATTTGCACATTCCTTTTCAAAAATATAAAACATATGTACATATTTTAAAATTTTTGTCTCTGTCTGTTCTAGTTATCCTCTGTGTTTGGAGACCCTGTCTGTCGGTCTGTCTGTCTGACTGGCTGCAAGCTCACCTGACACCATTTTCTGATGACACTGCTTTCCATCCTAAACTGAGCCTGGATTCTGCCCGCTTCCCATCCATCAGTTCTTCCTTAGCACATTCCCTTGTAAATAAAACTGCTTGAGTTACCGTTCATCTGCCTTGTGTCTGCTCCTGAATCCTTTTAGCTTAACCCTAACAGATTCCCATTAGATCTCTGAGTTATTCAAAAACATTTAAATATGCGTAGTATATTAATTGCATATTTCAGCCTTTTGTCATATTGTGTACAGGGTTGTTCTCAGCTGTGTACCACTGAGGTCATGCTCTGTATTTTTCTGGGAATTTGGGCCAACAACATATAGTTCAGCAACAGGCAGTGAGAACAAGCAACTGGAACAAGTGTGCAGGCTCATGTGGATGTCAGGTCATATGGACAATACTGGACAGGCATACTGGACAGGAAATAGGTGGACAGGTAGTGGCTGGTGGACAAATAACAGAGGTAGAAAGCTGCAAAATTGTTATGTCATGACAACTATGTGCCATTGTATTTGTTTCTAACACAATATATGCTATACGCTATAATGGTTGAGATGGTATATATATATATATATATATATATATATCTTTTTATTACATAATGACATTAGAATGCTGGAAACGGGATTGCAAGCTACGGGTCTCTGGCCAGACATGAACCATTGACGTTGCAATTACATCACATCACATCTGACACAACTAGTCCATCAAGATGCCCTTTCATAACGTATACATTTACATACTAGTGGACTCATCTTAAAAAGAATAAGATTAACAGAGGTACATGTTTTATGTGATGTAATTCTGTGGTTTATACAATACAATACAATACAGTACAATGTGTTAAATATCTTGTGCGTACTATATGTATAGTTGCAGATTATACATGGTTATGATTAACGATGTGTATTTTAGATGAACGGTGACTCAAATGACTAGTTGTAATGTGAAAGATGGTTTTTGCACTGATGAATATGCAGAAAATGATTTGCCAAATCTGCAGCTCTATGGTGCTATTAAGCTTCTTGTAGCTCACTGCTGGGTTTCTTGCAGGTTTCACCTAATCATATTTAAGACTTTTCAAGACAGTTTCACAATCGCCGGGCACAAAAACACATGATTCGACTATCAGTCGACTATTGGCAGGACTTCTGATTTGTATATGTAAATCCTTAGTCGGGGACAGCCCTACAAACACATACATGTAAACTCAGCAGGGATGAAAAAGGTGACATGTTTGCAAACAAAGCATTCTGGTGTATTCTGAGAAGAAAATAAAGGATGTTATATCTGTGAATAATAAGTTGGAAAATCTAGAGCCGATTTTGAATAAACTACACCCCAAAAGCTAAACTTGCTAAAGAAGTCTACTGTGGAGGAATTACCATTAGATCTGGGAAAAGTCATTTGGTTAGTTTGATGCTTTACACAATATTTTCCATCCATGGCACAGGCCCAAGCTGTTTTGAGCCTCACAACCTAAACCTTATAAAGACAGGGGAAATCCTGTTAACCTGTTGACCTCAGAATTGCCGATAAGACTGTTCATGTTTGCCTTTTGTGTCTTAATTTACTGTTTTTTATATTTGAAGTAATAAACATAAAAAAAACAGACAACGTGAGACCACCTCGGTTCTGTATAATTACCAAGCATTTCATTTGTACATTAAAATTCTAAAGAATAATCTCATAAGCTTAAAATGTGACAGCTCCTCCGTGTTCAACACCGTCCCTTCTTTTTAATTTATTTTAACTATCAAGATGTATCGTATGTGTACAGGACAGAGCTGTAACCTGACAAATTAATGCTAATATTTTCCTCCGCTAATTTTCACCGTCACTTTCTGTCACTCTCACATTCGCTCGCCCACACACTCCGCACTGTAACAGCACCTGTCAGGTAGATGTCCTTTGAAGAATTAGGAGAGGAAGGAACGATCAACACGATTCACGGGAATGACATATTTTGATTCAAGAAGGCGATTTTTCAAAAGAGACTCGCTCTAAGCTGCCTGTTGGTCTTTGTAGTCGTAAAACAGTAAATTACATCACGGGAGGAAAAAACATTCTAAAGCGCTGGGGGTGCATTTCAATGAGCATTAGAGGTAGCACTACATGGACATAGGAAAATTAAGACCTGTTTAAAATTAATTAAGACCTAGAATACAAGACTTTTTAAGGCCTTAAATTTTGATTTTGAAAAAGAAAAATTGGGACTTTTTAAGACCCTGCGGAACCCCTGTTCTCATCTCATCCTTTCCTGCAAAACCAGACATTGGTTTATTATACAAAAGTACGTCTTCATTGCAGCTGACCGCTGCTCTCAGTGTTGTGGAGCTGATTGTAGACATTCAGAGCCCACTGGAAAGTTTGTCGGTAGCAGATCTGTCTTCCTGTATAATATTGAACTCTGCAAAAAATACAGACGATAAAAACAAAACAAAAAGTTTCAACATTGTGATTAAATCCATTTCAATTCAAATTCATTCACTGGTTGGTGGTGAAAATCAACATATCCCACAATCTATCATAATTAAACGTCAACATAATCCCACACATAGGCCTAGCTAGATCTTAATAGTCAAAACCATAAAAATACCATTAGAGACAATCACATAAGTGCTAATAATAATTTGATTGATGTTCAGTAGTTCAGTACTGACACTCTGTTTATCCACCTTCTCTTGTTCATGTTTTAAAGGAAGTGGAATTCATTATTATGGATGCTGTGATCTTGTGATAGGCAGGTGGGTAGATTTATTTTGTCACAATACAACAGGTTATAGAGTGAAAATTCCCTTCTGTTACGTAGCAGACAATATACATTAATATAGAAGCAATTATAAAAATGGCAAACAGAAATAAACTATATTCAATGGAACAGTGCTGTTTAAGAGTCATAATTTATTTATTTATTTGTAGCTTTGGCAATATTGTTGTTTTACATTCATGCCAATAAAGCTAGATTAAATTGAATTAGGTCTGATGGTTTGGGGGAAAAGCTGCTCTGCAGTCTGGTGGTGCGGCAGCAGAAACTTCTAAATCTCTTCCCAGACGGCAGCAGGGTGAACAAGCTGTGGCTGGGTGGGTACTGTCCTTTAGTGTCCTTTGGGCTCTACGTGGGCACCTCACCGATATTACTGATGCTTGCGAGATGGGTAACAATGATCTTCTGAGCAGTTTTAATCACCCGCTGCAGAGCCCTCCGGTCCTGGGCCGTGCACATCCCATGTTAGTGATGTTTCTAGTCAGGATGCTTTCTATGGCTCCTCTGTAAAAGCTGACAAGAACCTGGCACAGGAATTTGGCCTTCCTAAGCTTCCCTAAAGAACAGTAATTTCTGATGTGATTATGCCTGCCTGGAGGTGAGAGGCCCTCCATCTTTTTATTCATAATTTCATCGCCAGTTAAAAGACAAGAATAGCAAAAGAATGAAACCCAAACTTACATGAATGCCTTCTGCTGACAGGAGCTGTGGGTCTTGGTTATGCCCGATACGAGATTTAATGGTAACCCCCGAGTGTAAAACTTGAAGCAGCAGTTTCCGGGTGCTAACTGCAGACCTTTGGCTGTGAGGAAGATAAAAGGATAATTTCATTATAAACATGTCAGTGAGAAATCATAAAACGATTAATGATGAGGCACAAACAGAGATCACTCACGCATGGCGTTGCAGCAGCAGGCGGTGAGCAGCAGCAGCCCCAGAGTGAAGTAGAGAGTCTTCATGATGATGTCGGCCAAAAGATGATGACGATGTTCTTCTTCTGTCTTTGCTGTGATCGACTCTTAGCACTACGTCTGATATAAATACTATTTATTGTGGAGCTGAAATGTGTTTCCATCCAAAACAAATCCAGGTCATCAGGCAAGGATTTCCCCACCGCCTCAGCTTTCCACTGTGAAGAAACACTTTCAGTAAAGGGCCAGACCACAGATTTGTTGTAAAGATTAAAATCATCTCCGGGACCACAGAAAACAAGACTCTTCTTAGCGTTTATCTTATCTACATCTTGGTTAATTTTTAGTCAGTGGAAAAAGCATTGAAGTTCTTCACACAATTCACAGTGTACAGTCTACAACACATTGCATTGTAGCAGCAGGCGGTGGGCAGCAGCAGCCCCAGAGTGAAGCAGAGAGTCTTCATGATGATGTCGACAAAAAGATGATGACGACATTCTTCTATCTTTGCTGTGATCGACTCTTAACACTGTGTCCATTGGGAGCTGAAATGTGTATGATGTCAGTCTTTCCATTCAAAAATGAATCCTCCCTTGAGACTTCAGAGAAGAATTTCCCCAGAATGACCTTGGTCTTTTGGTAAAGTTTAACAATCCTTCCTAGCCTATTTTTGTTAACCATAGTTAGGTTGCCAAACCAGGTGATCATTTAAAAAGGTAAAATGGACTCAATTAAAGATGAATAAAACATTTTCAAAAGAAATTTATCAACGTTAAAAACAGTTTCTGATTGGCCTTTTTGCAGATGTCTGTTAGCATCCATTTATTGTCCAGGATGGTGCCCAAGTACCTATATTGGCTCACTGTCTCTATGGCTCTGCCACTGATAAAAGTCAACAAGATAACAAGAGGGTTTTGGCAAAAGTCACTAAGCATTTATTTTGTTTTAGAGACATTGAGTTGCAAGTAGCAGTGGCATTAGTACCGACGATGCAACCTGTGGAATGCACTGGGGCCCAGCTGATTACAAGGGCCCACAAGGGACATTGCCATGTAGATCATGATCAGATGGCGTCATCCATTCATTCATACTGTGTTGGCATAATGAGTTGCTGTGCTTTTCTTGATTGCCATTTGTTCAGTGGACAATGACTGTGTCAGCTACTTTGTGTTGATTTGTTACGGTAGGCTTATTTGGTTGTTTGACAGGCTGTAAGATTACATTTGGCACTTTGGCTGCTGTCCTTGGTGCTGAGCAAATGCTGCAAATTTTTGGGGTGAGGGGCACAAGAAAAATATTTGACTGGGGCCAATCACAATTATGTTACGCTGCTGATTATGAGTCACACCATTTGATGAAATTGTCAAGGACTGGTCCATGGCCCACCTCATGGTCCTGCAGGAGACTGACAATCACAGAGTCATCTGCAAACTTGATTATGAACCTTGATTTGAACCTACTCTGAGAGTCATTGGTGTAGAGCACAAATAACAAAGGTGACGAGACGCACCCCTGGGGTGATCCTGTAGAACACGTCAGGGCTTCAGACAAAGTGTCATTAATATGGGTTCTCTGTGACCTCATTGTCAGGAAGTCGACCAGCTAACATCCTATTCTGATATGGTGCCAAAGTCAATCAATGTGTCTTGTTGGCCTCCAGGTGCCCAACAGCAAAATTCAGCAATACTGTTGTGGCATCCTCTAACGCTTTCCTTACTTGATACGCAAATAGTGGGTCAGTTACACTCTGTGTCATGGCCACAAAACCTGTTCAGAACCTTTCATGACTAATGAGGTAAGCAAGTGAAAAGGAAGGGCTGCCCAGGTGAAACTTTAGAATAGATAACTTTCAAATTGGTGTAGTTGTTTGTGACAGAAACATTTTATCTGTGTAATTTTCATTAAAGTTGTAGGTAACATCAATGAGCTTGATGTCTGAGATAGTGTGAGTTCAAAAAAAAACTTGTTTTAATTATATTAAGTTATTCATAATTAAAGGCATGGTCACTTTGGGTAACAGGTGGGTGCTGACGCTGAACTTTAAAAATCTCCCTGTATGGGTGACGTCACGGAGACTACACACACACACACACACACACAGAAAATTGACTATAAATGAAAAATTTAGGCTATGTTAAAAAAAATAAAAATAAAAAAGCTTAAGAAATGTCGACATTACAGAAAGATCAAGGTCCAGAGTTCCATTAGAAAAATGTCTGGTGAAAAGTTTTATGGTTTCCGCCTCCTCGTGGGTAAACTACATTACAAGTTATCATCAGATAAGATCAGAGTCAGAATCAGAAAGAGCTTTTTTTGCCAAGTATTATTTTACCCGTACGAGGAATTTGCTTTGGTGATAAGGTGCTACATGTAGAAAAACATACAGTTGACATAAATATATGTAAAAAAATATATAAATATGAAATAAACAGATGCAAGTTATAAAACAATAAAAGAACTATGTGTAGAGAAAGAAAATGTGGCAGATATTTACATGTGGATTACTCTAAGCTTGTGTTGTGCTGACATATTCCAGGGTCATCATGAGTCAGTTCCCCCTGTTATGCAAATCTGGGTGATGCAGATCGAAGTGATGGAGATAGCATCATGTTCACAAGATCTTATCACAGCTGTTTACAGATATGTACATAAACCCAGATTTAGCAATGCATCATGTTCACAAGATCTTATCACAACTGTTTACAGATATGTACATAAACCCAGATTTAGCAATGCATCTGTGACCTATTTAGATCACTTCTGTGCATGCTTTTGAAACCCCATCAATTTCCTCATGATTATCATCTATAATTTTACTTTCATATATCTGTGACCTGTTCTTACTTAAAGATGCATGTGAGAGGCAATCTGCAGAATGCTTTGACCTCTGTGATATGTTCACAAGTCAGTAGTTGACTACTAGAATATTCTACCACAGCTGCAGTAACTTTGCTGATATTTTACATCAGATGAAGAAACATTATAGGTATTACAATATCCAAATAATAAAGTCGACACTGTGGAGTTGAGTATTATCAACAAAAAAAATATCAAAAGTAAAATGAATCAAATCTCACATGGATAGAACAACTTGATTTTGTGATATCACAGCTGTTTTAGAATTTGTTCGTGGTTCAATAATGCAATTTACACACTAGATGTAATTTGAAGAATTTTTAAGCAGGTATATACATTAATAATCAAAAAAGTCAAGTATTTTTAGAAATCTTTAAACATCTAGAGGGGATCTTGAAATATGAAATGTAAAAATATTGAATAATCTTTTTTATATATTTCCATATATCTTATTCACACAAATTTTATTTATTTTTATTTATTAACACAAGTGCACATACACACATATCAGGACTATAACCAGATAAAACAAGGATAAAATAGTACATTGTGTTGCATAGCAACCAGCTGCTCCTCCTACTTCACATTTTTTAATTTGTAGTTTTAATTTCTTTGCAGGCTAAATCAACACTTTGACGTAATACTGGTGGTACACAGGAAAGTAATATGGGTCGCGTTAGCTGGTGAAGTAATGTGGAAGTTATAATATTACAACTATAGTATTTTGATAATGTTAGTAACTGGTTGACGTTAGTGTGTGAACTTGTGTTGACTGTGTTTTCACCAGATAAGTGAGGTTAGAGCCTATTGACAAGTAAAAAAGTGATTTATTAAAGCCCCCCTCCAGTGTATTTTGACATTTCTATGATATTTCATATTTTTCTGAGTCATTTCTTACAATGTTGATTACCCACATAGTTCGTCATATTTTTTTTGACAAATGGCTTAATTTTGTGCTCAAAGTTGCAAAAGTTGCTTAGTTGTTAAAACGGGGTTGTGACATATGACTATACTAATTCCATAAGTCATACGTCATTCTCCAAGCTTGCGCAGGCGCACTGTCATGCCTCGTTAAGTCAGAGCATCAAACTGATAAACATCGTTGTCAGCTAGCTAACCAATTTATCATGTCATTTACTTAGAACTTACAATAGGTATGTCTCTCTGTGTCTGATTTTTGGTTTGTCTTTCTAGTTTAGTTAGCTAAGTTAACTAAATTGTAGTTAGCCAGGTGTAGTTAGCTAGCATAGTTATCGCAGAAAGGTGGCTAACAGAGGGTCTTCATTTTATTTTTTAGTTTCCTCCTCTTGGTTTAGTGTGTTATTCATTTTCATTATGGCATTTGTGCATGCGGTGTTGGAGGACAGATGACAGAAAACACGTCGCACTTTCACCTGCCACCGTCTTATATACAGTCTGCAACATGCATTTTACTGACGGCCGTTTTACCAATGCATCGGCGGAGGCACCCCCACAAGTAAGCACACCATAAAATGTGGTGGGAGTTATCGAGTGCAGTGCGTGACAGGACCATCAACTGTGATTGATAACAGCTGATACGCACACATTAGTTTCTATCATGGGTAAGTAATAGCTACTCCTGCCAGACAGTAAAGTGTACTAAACTTTACAGTGTAGTGGCATATCGTTAGTGAACAGTTTTTGGTTGTCATGGTAATGTATTACGGCCGACTATTAACCACACCCCCATTCTCTGTTTGTGAAACTGGTTGGAGGGGGGCTTTAACTATTTATAGCTCCTTTAAGAAGACAAACAATAATTAAATAATGCAAAAATAAAATTTAAATATTAAGTTGCATAGCAACGAGCATAGCAGCATCATTCCAAAATGCTGAAATCAGCAGAATATAAGAACAGGCACTGAACACAACTGTCACATTTACCAAGACCTCTGGAGAGGTAAGTCCTCTTTGGTCCATACTTTGCCAGTCTAAGCTACACTAATAAGTTATCTAAGCTAATTAGCCTTGAATTAGCATTTTGGCTAACGATTTTTGTTGAAAAAAATATTGTGTCAGGGAGAGAAGAAAAGTATTTTTACTGTCTTATTCTGTCAATAATTACTTTTTTCAAATGAAACACATCACTAAGTTACGGGTCACATTAAGATTATTGGCAGTGATTACTAGAAATTATTATTTGAAATGCAGCATTTACATTGTAGTTACCAAGGAAGAACTGTTACTTTGGTATTTCGGGAGGTCGGCTTGTTTGTTGTCTCACCAGAAGGAGATTTGACATTAATTGTTGTTGCTGTGTTCAGGGAGGTGATTTATGTCAGAAAGCTGTCGAATACACCTGCCTCTGTTATTATTACAGTTTGTGTCTTATCTTTTTTATTTTGCCCAAAATGCGCATCTGTCGTACTGAAGAGATGCTAATAAGTTTATAGTGTTACATAACATAATGATATTTTTGATAATTTTATCTGTACATGTAGTTTTTCCCTTGAATTGAGAATGAAATCACAAAAAGTCCTTGTACTTCTGTTAGGAGTGGGCTTTTGTGTTCATGTCTTTCCTGTTTTAGGTTCTGTGTTTCTCTGTGTAGCCTTGTTTATTATTTTATTCATTCACACGTCCTAGTTTACTAGGTATCTGTTTTCATGGGTTTGGTTTTGGATTCTGTGTTTCTACAGCTTTATTTGATCTTGTCATGTTTAGGGTTTTGTAGCTAAGTTTAGTCCTTTGTTCATTCGCATGTTTAAGTTTTCTTGTCTCGTATTCTAGTTATGTCCTGCATTTGTTTTCGTGTCTTGGTGTCTACTGCTGGTCTGTGTACTTCTGTATTATTTTGTCCATGTTTGCTCTGTGTTCTGTTCAATCTTAGTTCAGTCTGTTTTCCCTGTTAGTTGTAGTTTTTTGGTATATTACTGATCTGTCTGCTTAGGTTCTGGTTCAGTTATTTATATTCTGTTTCTTTCTGGTTATTAGTTTCCCTATGGCCTTATTGGTGTGTGTCTCTCTGCCTGCCTGTGTCTCATTAGTCCTGATCCCCCTCACCTGTGTTGCTCCCGCCCCGCTCGTTAGCCCCTGTGTGTATGTATGCCTGCTTGTGTCTTCAGTCTTCATCATGTCCTTGCGTTGTTTATGTTGAGGGTTCACTGTGCCTTATTCTTTGTATCTTTTGGATAACCTTGTGGATATTCCTTGTTTTGGGATTTTTCCCTACGTTTTCAGTTTGCATTGCTTTTGACTGAATTTTTGCCATGTGCCTGCTTCTTTGTTGTGTTAATAAATATCTTATTTGAACTGAAACCACTTTGCCTACTGTCTGCATCTGGGTCCACACCTCAGTTCTATGCTCTTGCACTCAGCCACCACATGACAACTTCACGTCACTTCACTTTTTGCACCGTTATCATGTGAATTAAAGAGTAACTACACTAATTGTTTTCTTTTTATTAATGCTAAACTTTACTTACTTGTCACAGAAATAATAAAATAGTAGTCACTCTTTCAACAGTACTAGCTGTAAATGTACAGTAGAAGACAAATTCTTTGTGAAGGGGAAGGGGAGCAGAAGGGGAGAGAGAAAGACAGGAAAAGGTGGAGAGAGAAACAGGAGAGGGAGGAAGTTTAAAGACAGGAAAGGGTGGTGGAGAAGAAGTTAACAAGTTAAAAGGCAGAGGAGAACAGACATGATTCTTACAATTCTTCTGTTCATGTACATGCTTTTATTTCACACTTGTTTTGGCATTGTAAACGTCTGTTTCCCACACCAATAAAGCTCCACTGAACTGAATTGACAGGAGAGGGAGGAAGTTTAAAGACAGGACAGGATGGAGAAGAGCTGGATGAGGAGGGAGGAACGAGATAGACAGGAGGAGAGAGAAAGACAGGAGAGAGAGAGGCGGAGGAAGAAAAAGGACAGAGTTTTCTCTCTACAGGAGTGTGAAAAAAAAGAGGATGGAAAAAGTGAAGGAGAGAAGGCGGACAAAGAGAAGACAGAGAGAAATGAATCAGTTCCAAAGAAGAGCCTCATTTCAAACCTGATAATGTGGTACCTGGAACACCAGAAGGAGCAAATCATCAAGGCCATCTCCAGGACCAATGAGAAGGAGGTGACCATTGATGTTGGTGGTAAGAAAGTCAGCATATATAGATCTAGGATATATTTCACATAAGTATGTGTTGCATCCCGTAGTTACATGGTCACATGTTTTCTTTAGCATGTTTGAAATAAGCTAAATCAGAGGTTTTCAAAGTGGGAGGCGGGCCTCCCTAGTGGGGTCCAGACAGTTTCATGGGAGGCTTAGTAAAAAAATATTACATTAGTTATAACATTAATTATCAGGAGAGGATACAGAATAGCCTAAATGTGTGTGATTTGGTAAAAGGGATAGTTCAGGGATACAGTAATTTTGGGGGATTTTTCAGTTTTTTCCACATTCCCAGAGATTCACAAACACCATAAGACAGACATTTATTATGTATTTGGTGTGGTCTGTACTGTCAAACAGCAGTATTGGGCTGTCTTGGCTTATTTTGTCTATCTGTGATCACATAACATAATCCTGATCCCTTAGGCATTCAGCACTTGAGCAAAACTGACCAGGTAAATTTAGAGAGGGGAGCCTTTTTCCAAGTCCACAGCCTCAGACTTTCAAAACCCCTGAGCTAAACAATACTGTACTCAGTAACAGCCTGCAAAACTCAAGTTGATGTTTTTTTTGTTGCACTACAGGCTTACCTTTGATAGCTGTTTCTTTCTCAGATGACACTCCTGAAGTAAAGGAGATACGATCATGGAGGCAACAGGCTAAGAGGAGGAAGATGCTGAAGAAACAACAAACAATGGAGGACAGATTAAGATACAAGAGGGAGAAGGGCAAACATCAAGAACAAGGGCATGTGGAAGATGAAAAGAAAGTGGGAACGTTTTTAAAAACAGTTAAATGCGTTCCTTAATGGGTATGGTGATTTAAACATGACTGTTCTGTAAAGCACAAATTATTCTTTATCGGCATTGCTGCAAGGATCCGCAGGAAATAAATTTAATGTCAAAATGTTAGGCAGATTATGTGCTAGTAAACTTCTGCACAAATCCAACTATGCAGACATGTAATATAAACGTCTGCTGTCTGTCAGTTTGGAAATCAGTATACAGTATAACAGTGGTGTTTGTTTGGCCATATTGATTCCTATAATAAAATGTGATTTGATTGAATATTATCTCATTTACTCTAATAGATTATCACATAATAATTATTAGTGACTAACCAATGACAATGTAGTCATATTTGTCTTTATAATTTAATATTTACTTAATATTTAAATTTAAGTAAACGGGAAGGAGTCTCTGAAATAAGGATAAGAAGCTTGCATGACAACTGTTGTGTGCATTGTCCGCTACAATCTAATGCAATGTAATCAAACAAAATCAGATCACATTGGATCTAATATAATATAATTTGACAAACTAATTTATCTAATGTAATTCATCATTTAGGTTTAGCAAACAGATAAATCAGTAGAGTTGTTAGAAAAAAGTATTAAGATAGGGGAGGGGTGGAGGCTGGGTAAATCTTTTTAAAAGTAATGACAAAACATGCAATATAGTAGTGTGTTTTCCTACACACTTTCCCCATTATGTAAATTTTAAACTCTAATGAACATTAATATCTGATATATTGGAAGATTTCCTGAACTGACGTTGGCAGCGCATCAAGTTCATGGTCAAAGGAAGCTGTCTATGATGTCCTGCCAAGCTCAGCGAACCTCCATGCCTGGGCCAAGAGTGAAACTCCATCAAGACCTGCATGTCCCTGAAGAGTTTGTTTTGGCTAGTGTACCAGACATCATTAAAAGTACTGATTACACCTGTGGTTTTCCCACTATAAAATGTATGACATGAAAAAGGTCTATTGCAAATGTATTGTATTCAATAGGGTCTTCTGACTACACAGCCACATACTGTCTAAACTTGTTAAATTTGTTGATGCAGTGTATGACTGAGATTAGAAAAGTTAAAATTTACCTGTTCACTAAAAAGTCACATAATCACATAAAATATTGTAGGAAATTGCAGTGGCTGAGAATGAGAGGGACGCCTCTATGAGAAAGGAAGTCACTGGGGGGAAGGTTCTGACTTTTGTATGTACTGGACAGCAGCTCAGAGTACCCTGCCTGCTCAGAGTCTCCTCACCTGGAAGGGATTCCATCTTTGAGACTTCAAAACTCACATGGGCAATGATGGAGAAGCCAGGAAGGGGGTGACTGGGAGGAACAGCCTGTCTAATCTGAACCAGAGTGATGTTTTGTTATTGGACTTCTGTGCGAGTCATACTGGCCATAACAAATACCATGTTCGAGCATAAGGTCGTTACTAAGTGTACTTGGTACTAGAACACCTTAGGCCAGGGGTTTCCAAAATGTGAGGCGGGCCTCCCCAAGGAGGGTCCAAACAGTTTCAGGGGAGGCTCAGTGAATGGAAGTGAAACAATATTACATTACTTATTGCACTAGTTATCAAAAGGAGATCACACAGAATAGCCTACACATGAGAGTAGTTTTGTGGAACTGTTTTCCCCCCATCATAGTCAGAAACTAATAAATGCCTTAGGACAGACCTTTTTATAAACTATTTGGTGTAGTCAGATGTTATGTCAAACAGTAATCGGTTATCTTGGCTAAAATGTTGAGTATGGGATCAAATAATATAATCATGATTACATAAGCATCCAGGAATTGAGTGAAACTTACCAAGTAAACTAAAGATGCGGGGGCCAAAGATCGATCATAGACTCAGCACCTGTTGAGTTGTGAATTGCAACCAACGGCTCACTCTGCATTCATGTGCTACTTGGATGGTCCCATCACTCGAGTTGTGAAGTTGTTTGTTGTCTTCTGACTTCAGTGTGTTCATGTGCTCTTAAGTTGGAATGTGGAATCAGCATGGACGGATGGACAAAGATGTGTTGGATTAGCGTTAGTTCACTCTACATGGACAGCAAACTAACCGTTATAACCATATTAAAAATTGCATGTTATTATTTACTCACCATTCTCTATTTCAGTGCTGTTCATACTGTTATATTGTCATATTGTAGATACTGTATACCAAATCCACCTACCTCAAGTCATAACTCCTTCACAAAATACTTATTCCAGCATCCTTTGCACTATGCTTCATTGCACTGTGTACCTGTATATCACATCCACCACCGATATGTACATACTCCTGCATCCTTTGCACTCTGCTCACTGCACTATTTGTCAATATGTCTATATTGTTTTTGTTCATAGTTTGCATATTTGTGTTGTCTACACTGATGTCTGTGTCTGATTTTATCTTATTTTTGTTGTTGTGATTTTGTATTTTTGTATGAGTAAGCACATCATGAACAATGTACTATCAGAGTCAAATTCCTCGTATGTGTACACAAACCTGGCAATAAAACTGATTCTGAATCTGATGTTAGCAAAATATGTATGTGCAAGATGTGATTTTGCAGTAACCAAAAGTTTATTACAATGAACCATGTTGTCCGCCATTTTTCTACGTGTATGACATCAACAACTCGGCTGTCCCAAAACTTCTACATGGCATTGTTTTTATTATTTGTGTCTAATATATTTGTGTACTTCTTTATGTTCCATGTACACAATAATATGTGTGCTCCTCTATTTGTCCAAATTTTACTTCTCTTCTTACTTCAACGACAACTACTACTGCTTCTACTACTTCTTCTTGTTCTTAGAACGTATATTTATTATTTATTTTATTTTATTTATTATATATTTATTTATATTTATTTACTACGGTAAATACGTATTTACCGTAGTGACGAAACGCGATCTGTAGAGCAGTTTTTCTGTTTGAGCTACTGTAGAAACATGGCAGCGCAACATGACGACATCAAGGGGGCCTGTGGAATATGTAGATAGAAATAGCTTGTTCAGGTATTAAAAAAATAGTTAATTCAGGGGTGGAAATTAACTTTTTGGCTCACCTTCCAATGGGGCTGGTAGATGGAAAAATCCACCGGCCAAACATATTTTTTACCGGCCAAAATAATAACTTGCCAGTACAGTAAATTGTTTTATAAACTGCTTCAGCCTCATTTTTGCCCCGTAAATCATGAATTCATTTTTCTGATTCACGTGTATCTATTTTAGTTAGTTTAGTTTAGAACTTCGTGGCTCAGAACCCAGATGCAGACAAGAACACAGCTGAGGAGGATTTTAACAGTTTATTAACACAAGATATAGTGAGGTAAGCTTGATGCTGGGGGTAAGGTTCCTCCGGTGTGGCAGGTAAGTGCGAGGCCTGGCAAGGCCGGTGTCGCCTTGGCACGACACCTGTAAGCAGGGCTGACAGAGAAGTGGCGTTCTCCGTAACAGAGCGGCACGAGAGCAGAGCAGGGGTTTCCAAAAACAAAACTAGACTTAATAATCCGGCGGGAAACTGAGGAGATGGTAGTGTATAAAAGCCATTTCTGATGATGACAGGAGACAGGTGTGTGAGCAGCAGATTACCTGCAGCTGGGGAGAAACGCCCAGTGGTGCAGCCCACAACTCCGCCCTGAGGGAGAGGGAGGAAAGGACAAGCGGGGGAGAGAGAGAGAGACAGGCCATACACAGATAGACAAAACCAAAACCCACCAAGCACCTCTCACACGCTCAAAAAGGGACAAAATAAACACACAACACACCAACTGTCACCTCCCTGCTTGCAGCAGTGTAACATTTAGGGGCAAATGCATGTGAAATACTCTGTTTAGAAACGAAACGCATCTTCTGTCCCGAACCCGTCGCGCTGCTTTTCTCCTTCCTGTCGACTTCACCGAGCTGTTCTACATACTGCCACCGGCTTTAATGGAGGGGAACGTAGTGGGTATAAATAAAGGAGATTTACGGGGACATATTTTAACGGGAGGACGTGGGAGATAACGGTAAAATACGGGAGTAGTCCGAGGAAAACGGGATGGTTGACTGGTATGCATGTTACGCTGGTTGCTAGCTAGCTAAATGCTAAAAACACTCGGGGAACTCGTAGCATGACCTGACGGCTCCCAACTTCAATCCCCTAATGCCCACCCCCTTACATATCTACACCAATCAAACACAAGAAACCTGAACTGAACAAACAACATAATCCCTTTGTACAGTGGGGGCCAATTTAAGTGTGACACACAACAAAAAACAACACTGATCCGCTGTTAGCTACCGTCAAAAAGTTATTATATGGCGATATCGCAATGAATACGTTTACCCGCTAATGTGGCGGGTGGCCTTCTGTCATTTAGCCAAACGGAAAATCTACCCGCATTTGGCGCTTGGCAGGTGTTAATTTCCAGTCATCAGTTCGTTATGTTAGGTCTTTATACACCACTGAAAACATAGTTATGGATATTATATTGCATTTCTGTCAATAGATCCTCCTAAATATTACACACTGGACCTTTAAGTATCTCGGGATCTTGTTTATGAGCAATGGTAAAATGGAGCATGAGATGCACAGGCAGAGGGGACATGACCCCCGCCCCAAAGAATGTGTGGTTACGCCCATGGAAATAAAAGTCCCCATTTATACATTTATTTATATTTTTATTGCCTCATTTTTTTATTTTTTAAATGTCATTTCATATCAATCAAGCACACACAGGATGAATAGATAAAGTCCAAGTCCTATCTTCCTTCTCACATGGCCTGTATGGGTATTGCTTGATCCGGCAAATATTTATCACACTACAGTTAACTCCCAAAGCCTCTATATCCCCAACGCACACAGAACAAGACAGAGCACTGCAAATACTCACCAAAGTCCACCTTAGCACACCCAGTATTTTAAGGGCGCACGCAGACTGCGTATAGCATAGATCGTCAGGACACCGGTCTGTGCTCGCAGCAGCTCCCCTCCATGACCACAGCCACTCCGTTAAAATATTATCTCCATGCATACATTACATTTAGGCAGAGCACTTAGTTCGCTACATTGTTTTGGTAGTTACAGCAGATACTTTCTTCTTAAATTATTTTCCCATTGATGGTGGGAGGCGCTGTAGAGAGAAGCGTTTCTATATGGTGGCGCTGTAACGTTAGTAACGTTATACTTTCCTCTGGATTTAGTTCCTATAGCACTTCCGGGTTCTAATGTTTACAACTGGGAGCAGCATTGAAAACGCAGAGCTGTTTGTTTTGCTCAAGAAAACCACCTTTTACGTGAAAAACAACATGAACATCAAGTGCTAGGATTTATATACTGTGACGGTAGGCTATGGCACAGGATTGCTTTGGTCATCACGTTAAGGCAAACATTTTGACACCAGCTAGCAAACGTAGCAGGCTACTCAGGCTAACCAGCTAGCCAACATTAGCTTGTGGAAATGAACACTTGTTAGTGAATAGAAATTTAACTTCATGTAAAAGTTTGAATGGTCCAGCAGCTTTTGTGTTTTAGTTGTCCGGAAATAAATAAAAATAGTATATAAAAAACAAGGGGCTAATGTAAAAAAAAATAACGACGGTAATAAAAGTATATTTAAAATATATAGATACTCCTACTACTTAACGTTATTTTTTTTCTTTGTAACGTTGTGTAATTGTACAAAATGTTGCTGATAGACTGTATTTTTAAATAGCTTTATCACTGGGAGAATGTGGTCAGCATTGTGATTCAGAAAAGAAAATGGAAGAGTCAGACCATATGGGTTTTTATATGAATAATATTTTATTATTTTAGCCACTTCACTGACTTAAATACAAATAAGTAACTAATAGAACTAATGAAACTTGGACAGTCATTTAAAGATAATACATAGTTTAAATCATTGTTTGTTATATAAAAAGAGAGATCATTGAAATTTGGCTTCATTTGCAAATCTTTACAATGGCACAGGCAGCAGGGCTCCATCATTGAGATCAGCTGCTGAGAGACCAAGTGTAGAAAAGACTATGAAGAAGAAAAGCAGACGTCCAAAGTCATCTGAGACTTCACGACAGACCAGCCGTGCACAGACAAAAGTGAGCGTCAGTGAGGAGAAGAGGCCTCCGGGAAACAGAGGGAGACCTCAGAAGACTGTCCCTGTAACCACGTACAGTTTCTACAACACTGCTAAAGACAAGACTGCTAACTCAGATTTCAGTCAGGCAGCAGCTGATGACACACTAAAACATCCAGAGTGCAAGTCCAGATCTTCAGGTGAGTGGCTCATACCAACTCTAATGTGTTGTTTCTTGTCTTGTAAAGATAGAAAGTCACACCAACCTACATTAAAATGTATTTATAGTTGCTTTGCTTATCGGCAAACATTTGTAACATTTTCTTCATCATTGGCTTCCACTTATGAATTCTGTTGTGCATAATTCAAAACAGTGTAATTTTTCTGCTATGTTTTCTGTTCCCCCGTAATGTTCTGCCGTCACCAAAATCGGTCGGTGGTAGTACACAGCGAAAAGTGGTTTCTTTTAGCAAAGTGCTACTTATTTGATCAGATGTACAGAACTGTGTAAAAGTTTTAGGTAGTTGTGTAAATAATGCTGTAAAGCAGTTGCTAAACAGCTGTGTGACTTTCTACAGAGCAATAGTTTATTTGAGGATTTTCAGTCAGGATTTAGAGTTCATCATAGCACAGAGACAGCACTGGTGAAAATTACTAACGACCTCCTTATTGCATCAGACAAAGGACTTGTCTCTGTACTGGTTTTATTAGATCTTAGTGCTGCATTTGATACCATTGACCATCAGATCTTATTGCAGAGACTGGAACATTCGATCAGATCGATTTCAGTTTGTACATGTTAACGATGAGTCCTTCATGCATGCCAAAGTTAGTCATGGAGTTTCTCAAGGACCAATCCTCTTCACTTTATACACTCACCTAAAGGATTATTAGGAACACCATACTAATACTGTGTTTGACCCCCTTTCGCCTTCAGAACTGTCTTAATTCTACGTGGCATTGATTCAACAAGGTGCTGAAAGCATTCTTTAGAAATGTTGGCCCATATTGATAGGATAGCATCTTGCAGTTGATGGAGATTTGTGGGATGCACATCCAGGGCACGAAGCTCCCGTTCCACCACATCCCAAAGATGCTCTATTGGGTTGAGATCTGGTGACTGTGGGGGCCGTTTTAGTACAGTGAACTCATTGTCATGTCCAAGAAACCAATTTGAAATGATTGGAGCTTTGTAACATAGTGCATTATCCTGCTGGAAGTAGCCATCAGAGGATGGGTACATGGTGGCCATAAAGGGATGGACATGGTCAGAAACAATGCTCAGGTAGGCCGCGGCATTTAAACCATGCCCAATTGGCACTAAGGGGCATCCACACCATTACACCACCACCAGCAGCCTGCACAGTGGTAACAAGGCATGATGGATCCATGTTCTCATTCTGTTTACGCCAAATTCTGACTCTACCATCTGAATGTCTCAATAGAAATCGAGACTCATCAGACCAGGCAACATTTTTCCAGTCTTCAACTGTCCAATTTTGGTGAGCTCTTGCAAATTGTAGCCTCTTCTTCCTATTTGTAGTGGAGATGAGTGGTACCCGGTGGGGTCTTCTGCTGTTGTAGCCCATCCGCCTCAAGGTTGTGCGTGTTGTGGTTTCACAAATGCTTTGCTGCATACCTCGGTTGTAACGAGTGGTTATTTCAGTCAAAGTTGCTCTTCTATCAGCTTGAATCAGTCGGCCCATTCTCCTCTGACCTCTAGCATCAACAAGGCATTTTCGCCCACAGGACTGCCGCATACTGGATGTTTTTCCCTTTTCACACCATTCTTTGTAAACCCTAGAAATGGTTGTACGTGAAAATCCCAGTAACTGAGCAGATTGTGAAATACTCAGACCGGCCCGTCTGGCACCAACAACCATGCCACGCTCAAAATTGCTTAAATCACCTTTCTTTCCCATTCTGCCATTCAGTTTGGAGTTCAGGAGATTGTCTTGACCAGGACCACACCCCTAAATGCATTGAAGCAACTGCCATGTGATTGGTTGATTAGATAATTGCATTAATGAGAAATTGAACAGGTGTTCCTAATAATCCTTTAGGTGAGTGTATATCCTCTTACCAGCTTAGCAACATAGACTGGAGAAAGAGTTTCAAAGTGGTGAGTTATTAATCTGTAATAAATGTATGTTTCATCCATAAATCACAGTAACAACTTATGTCCATTGGCTGCCTGGAGGGTAGCTAGTGTTTGGAAGGGAGAGGAGAGGCAGCAAGTGGTAGTCTTGTCACTCAGCTCACATCTCAGAGTGTTTTTGAGGGCGTGTCAGACTACCCACTACCCCGCATTTTGATGTGACGTCACAGGGAACAAAGGGAAGCGGCTGGACTACAAACGAGCTGTTTTCAGTCAGTTCAGAGCAGTGTTTTCTGTGGGAGATGGGAACTCCCTTTGGGCTGGACTTTGGGCTTTTTCACTTTGCAAACCTATTACATGCACAAAAAAGATATACACTGCTCAAAAAAATAAAGGGAACACTAAAATAACACATCCTAGATCTGAATGAATGAAATAATCTCATTAAATACTCCTTTCTTTACATAGTTGAATGTGCTGACAACAAAATCACACAAAAATTATCAATGGAGGTCTGGATTTGGAGTCACACTCAAAATCAAAGTGGAAAACCACACTACAGGCCGATCCAACTTTGATGTAATGTCCTTAAAACAAGTCAAAATGAGGCTCAGTAGTGTGTGTGGCCTCCACGTGCCTGCATGACCTCCCTACAACACCTGGACATGCTCCTGATGAGGTGGCGGATGGTCTCCTGAGGGATCTCCTCCCAAACCTGGACTAAAGCATCCGGCAACTCCTGGACAGTCTGTGGTGCAACGTAGCGTTGGTGGATGGAGCGAGACATGATGTCCCAGATGTGCTCAATTGGATTCAGGTCTGGGGAACGGGCGGGCCAGTCCATAGCATCAATGCCTTCCTCTTGCAGGAACTGCTAATGCACTCCAGCCACATGAGGTCTAGCATTGTCTTGCATTAGGAGGAACCCAGGGCCAACCGCACCAGCATATGCTCTCACAAGGCGTCTGAGGATCTCATCTCGGTACCTAATGGCAGTCAGGCTACCTCTGGCGAGCACATGGGGTGCTGTGAGGCCCCCCAAAGAAATGCCACCCCCACACCATTACATTACTTTACCCTGGGTGTAAGCATTTCCTCTGTGGAATTAGTGGACATGACCATATCTGACCACAGATGTATTGTTTTTAGCTGCGATTCGCCTGTTACTCATGCCGCCTCACCAAGTAGCCTAAAAAGGGAATGCAGGAAAGCAGAGCACAGATGGAAAAAAATCCAGTCTCCAAGTCCATTACCTCAGTCTGAAGGATTTATTAATTAACTACAATAACTTGGTTAAGGATGCGAGAACACACTATTTTTCTGAACTCATTACTACACATAAACACAACCCCAGGTTTATGTTTAAGACTGTGGATCAGCTGGTAAACCCAACCCCTCCTTGTGCCTCAGCTGGAAGTAATGATGACTGTAAATTGTCAGTCAAACATCTTATTTTACCAATAAGGTGGTGTCAATCAGAGCCTCTATTACCCCCGCGGCCTCTTACTCAGAGGTTCCTCACCAGCAACAAGAGAGTTTTAACCAGTTTTATCCCCACGACTTGTCTGAGTATCACAAATGAGAGTGTCCTCCAGCCCACTTGATGTAATACCTACAAAGTTTTTACTGAAAGTAATAGATTCTGTTGGGCCCCATTTGATCTGTTTTCAACAGCTCCCTATCTACTGGTTGTGTCCCTGATTATTTTAAAACGGCTTGCGTGAACCCACTTTTAAAGAAACCTGGTTTAGATCCCTCCCTCCCACATAATTTTAGACCAATTTCAAAACTGCCTTTTATTGCAAAGATTCTAGAAAGAATTGTGTCCAAACAGCTGCTCACTGTACTGGAAAATAACAAATTATTTGAAAAGTTTCTATCTGGTTTCAGGAAGTACCACAGCACTGAGACTGCCCTGCTTAAAGTCACCAATGACCTTTTAATGTCTGCTGATGAAGGTATGTGCTCAGTCCTGGTACTCCTGGACCTTAGCGCTGCTTTTGACACCATTGATCACAACATCATATTAGACAGACTGAGGCACTGGGTGGGGATCTCTGGTACTGCCCTAGAATGGTTTTCATCCTACCTGTCAAATAGGAAGTTTTGCGTGTCTATGTCTAACAACTATGTCTCTTCGTTCTGTCCAGTTAAATATGGTGTGCCTCAGGGGTCGGTCTTAGGACCCATTTTGTTTTCCTTGTATCTGCTTCCCCTTAGACGACATATCCATAAACATGGCATTTCTTTTCAAATTTATGCTGATGACACACAAACATACTTGCCGGTCAGATCCACAGACCCTGGAATGCTGAGTTCACTTAACAACTGCCTTTGTGAAGTTAAAAATGGATCAAATAATTTCCTCCAGCTGAACTCAGACAAAGTAAACCACATTAAGCCTGTGGCAAAGAACCTTGGTGTCTGGTTTGATAGTAATTTATATTTCGTTTTTATCAACTTAGAGATATAGCAACAATTCAATCTATGTTAACTTTTAAAGACCATTTTACACGCCTTCATCTCATCATGCCTGGATTATTGCAACAGCCTTTTCACCTGTTTAACCCAAAAATCTACTGATCGACTCCTGACTGTCCAGAACTCAGCTGCCAGGCTTTTAACCAGAACAAAGAAATATGACCACATTACTCCTATTTTAGCTTCATTACACTGGCTCCCAGTATGTTTTAGAATTGACTTTAAAATTCTATTTTTCACTTCATGGCCTCTCGCCTTGTTATGTTTCTGAACTTTTAGTCCCATACGCACCAGCATGTACCTTGAGATCCTCGGGCAGAGGTCTGTTGTCTGTTCCAGAGTCTCGACTGAAAACTAAAGGGGACAAAGCGTTTGCTGTCAGGCCCCCAGGACTCTTTTAAGTCCCTTCTTAAAACATACTTTTGTAGGAGAGCCTTTCCCGATCTTATTTGACTTTATTTTATCCCTTTTATTTTATTCTATTTTACTAATTTTATATTCATTTTTTTTGGGTATTATTGTCTTTACACTTGTTAAAGCACTTTGTAACTTGTTTTTGAAAAGTGCTCTACAAATAAAGATTATTATTATTATTATTATTTGTGGCCTGCTGGAGGTCATTTTGCAGGGCTCTGGCAGTGCTCCTCCTGCTCCTCCTTGCACAAAGGCGGAGGTAGCGGTCCTGCTGCTGGGTTGTTGCCCTCCTACGGCCTCCTCCACGTCTCCTGATGTACTGGCCTGTCTCCTGGTAGCGCCTCCGTACTCTGGACACTACGCTGACAGACACAGCAAACCTTCTTGCCACAGCTCGCATTGATGTGCCATCCTGGATGAGCTGCACTACCTGAGCCACTTGTGTGGGTTGTAGACTCCGTCTCATGCTACCACTAGAGTGAAATCACTAACAGCATTCAAAAGTGACCAAAACATCAGCCAGGAAGCATAGGAACTGAGAGGTGGTCTGTGGTCAATAATAATAATTTCCACCTGTTGTCTATTCCATTTGCACAACAGCATGTGACATTGATTGTCAATCAGTGTTGCTTCCTAAGTGGACAGTTTGATTTCACAGGAGTGTGATTGACTTGGAGTTACATTGTGTTGTTTAAGTGTTCCCTTTATGTTTTTTGAGCAGTGTATAACTCAATAAAGGAGAGGAGAAAAGCCAAAGGGTATAATATGACCTCTTTAAATGTAAATTAAAGGTCTATAGCCATGTTTTGTATGAACACTTTTGACATAAAGAAAGCTAAGTTTAATAACCTCTTTGGGTTATGACTGACAGTTTAGAAAAATACTCATCTATTATTTCTCCCAGCAGGTAGGCTGTCAACGGCTATCTGTCGGCTCTGCCATGGAAAGTTCTCTCCACGCAGCCTGCGGCATGCCTTCAACAAGTGGCCTCAGCATTCCATCGATATTGTTGATGATGAGTCAGATGCCACGGCCCAGTCGCCCCTTTTGTTCCACACAGACTTCCAACAACTGGTTGGGGTCCAGCTAGACCGTGACCCCCAGTTGTCGGAGTTTATCTGCAAGAAATGCCACGCCAAGTTCTACAAGTGCCACAGCATCCTGATCAGGTTTCTACAGAGAGTCAACCTCCCACCAGTTGGGAAAGTGAATCTCAAAAGCCAGTGAGTCCAAAAAAAACCCCTACCTGAGTGTGACTTTAAAAGTGTGTTCATTGTAGGATTTGAAATTGTGAAGGCAGAAAATCTACAAATATAAGCAACTGTTTGTTTCTTTTTTTAGGAAGAATGCAAAGTGTCCAGAGTCCTCAGTAAACTATGGTTCAACAAGTAAAGAAAAACATTTCCTTTTTAGCTTTTGCTTACAGATATTACATGAAAGTCAAGCTCACTGACTGCATTACTCTATTGAGACATTGTGCTGTTTTCTTTCAGCACCCCCGTCGTTTACCTCAGACCCTAAGTGCCTCCACAACCTGGTGTCCTGGGCTCACCACCACGGAGAGGCCTGCAGCTCCTGCCCCAACTTAAAGGAGGTGCTGGAGGGTCAGTGCTGGGGCTCCGTTAAGGCCGTTTGGGGTTGCATTGATGGCCACAGATATATCATGGACACTCAGTGCACCACTGCTACAAACCCAGGATTCACGATGAACATCAGCAGTAAAGCATTTGGGAGCGGCAGTGGTGATGGAGTGATGTCAGAGGAGGAGGAACAGGAGGAGGAAGATGAAGAAGAGCAGCCCAGTGGGAATGGAAGGACTCCAGCAGGAAGTATAAGCACTCTGGCTCAACACAGTCCACCTGAAGTCACAACACAGACCCCGAGCTCGGTGCTGGCTGACTGGACCAGCAACACTGAAGGTGAGACTGTAGCTCATGAGAGAGGGTCTGAGGCAGCATCAGCTGTAGATAAGTGTTAAAATGTTTGAAGGCCACACAAAGAGCAGGAACCTCCGGGCTCCTTCGACTCGCCTCTACTCGACTCGGATTTTTCCATTGCAGATAGTACCCAGAGATAGTAGTCCTCAATGTAGCTGGTCGTCATAGCAACGCCACACACAACTGCCGCAACGTCATTTTCAGTGCGACACACACACCAGCTGTCTCTTGATTTAAATTAAAACGTTTCAACATTCCTCAGAATGTAAAGACAGATAAGCGGTATGAAAACCTTCCAGCTGTGTTTTCCTCTGCCGTTGTTGCTGCAGCGGTCTGTGTGACGGCGGGAGCAGAGGGCTATGTGAGCGGGCGGCTGGCCGACCTTGTGAGCTGCTCCCACAGGTTGGCGCAGGCTTCCCCCGCCGCCACTTGCAGAGCTCCTCAACTCCGAAAACTTTCAAACACATTTTTGTTCCACCATCACTTCTCGTAAAACTGTCAATATTTGAAATCTACACAGCTGATTTCTCACCTCAAAACTTCTCAGAAGTGGATTTAGTGATGAAATAACGTGTGAAAATTGTAAAATATAAAACTGCTGGCCTCTGTCTGGCGCGCAATGATGATGCAGTGAATAGTGACGATTCTCTCCGACCAATCAGCAGTCTGCTGTGTTTTCACGTTACATTTTAGTATCCCTCAGCTCGCTTGGAACCTCGGCGGAAGTGATACGAAAATAAGTACCTGGTAGCAGGTACAGGTACAACTTGTTCACAATGGAAATCCAAACAAAGGCGAGGCGAGCTGGTACCATGCTGTGGAAAAGGGGCTATACACAACTTTCGTACAGCCAATACTACCTTTTTCTCCCTGTGATGGATGTTTTGGGATTTCTTAGGTCTAGCATTTTATTATTGAAATGCCTTTTCCTCTTGCGCCACCAGCAGGTTGACATTTGTAGTTTTGAGTGAAATGTCCCAATGCTTTCCTTTTATGAGAAAATACCTGCAAAACGAATGACATTCCCATCAACCTTTTTTTTTTTTTTACAGCAGAATGAATGCAAATAAGGGCTGTGAGTTCAGTTTGAAATCAATAGTGCAATTATTATTAAAAACAAAAGGACTTTATGCAAGTAAACCTCACCTGTTGTCTGTGGAGATAACATCACGTAAGTTGACTCTAAGTTAACTGTTGTAGAAACAGATGTGTGGTTATGTTGATGTTAAGGAGGTAGTTTGTGTGAAATAAGTCTGTCATTGCCTGTTTGTTATTCGGTGGGGAGCCATCTAAATCCCTCATTATAACGAGCATGCTAAAAACACATTTGTAGCCCATTTAGATGTGATAAGAGTATATTATCAGCCGGTAAACGGCTTCCTTTGTCCTCTTCCCTTTTCCTTTTCCTCTCTTTTTTTTTTTTAATACTGGCATTATGTTTCCAGGTTGTCTGTCCGTTCGTCCGTCCCGTTCTTATCAACGCATAATCTCAGGAACACATGGAGAGAATTTCTTCAAATTTGGCACAAACGTCTAATTGGACTTGAACTCATTTGAATTTGGCCACTCGTGGTATTGCAGCAAAAAGTTCCCTTGCCGCCCAAAAAGTATTTTCCCCATCGGCCACCATTAGAGACATTTTTACAACTGTTGAACTCAAACTGCAAACCATATCAGTTATGACTCTATTAGCAATTTTTAATGCATGGAGGTTTTATATTTGTAAAACTCTGCTTGAGCTGAGAAAAGAGATTTATGAACCTGACATCATCACAATGTAAAGTTCTATGGACAGGCACCATCTCCTGGGTCCAGTATCCAGTTCTAATAATACATCCATGAGGTGGTCGAACAGTGAATTGGTGAAAAGTTTTTACTCCTAGGTCAAAGTCACTGTGACCTCAAAATGACCATGACAAACACGTTTGTGGCCATAACTTAAGAGTTGATGTGGTAATTATGACAAAATTTCAATACGACGACGATACAATGATGAAGTGATGACATTTGGGAGGACAAAGGCCACTGTGACTTCAAAAAAACCTGTTTTTAAAATTTAAGAACGAACTTTTCCCCACACATGTTGACTGGGAAATCACAATGAGTGAACAATAACTCATTTCACTTCCTGCCTCATTCTGAAAGTGGAGCATCCTCGTAATCACATTTCTGCAGACAGTGTATAGGAGCGTGCTTAGCTGATTGTGATCTGTGAGTGAGTTTCATTGACAGCTCATGGAGAAGCTGAAAAATGCCAGGAGCAAACAGTACCTCATTTTGTCTAGCTACGATATACTACTATAATCCTAATTAATCAGTTCATTTTATACTCACTGGAATACATACGTAATGTGTCATCAATATCGTGATCCATTTCACAGTTCCTTCCAAGCATTCACTGCATATGTTAGAGTATATGAGTGGACAGACACAGATGGAAACTGTAACATGGCTGGCTGGCAGAGGTATACAACTGCAGGGTGGTTAGTCTGCTTTTCTTCTCTTTCTTTATATACATAAAGGCTACATAAATAAATGAAATTCATGATTAAATATAACATTTGACTAAATTGTCAATAAATAATGCCATTTATATACAGTAGATTCACAAGTTAAGTCAAAGGCATGGGCTGATCTCCCAGGCTAAACAGCTGTGAAATAAGTCCTTCCTATAGGTTATAATGTTCAGTTTTTGTTCAAACTGTTTTAGTGAGGTGTTTATTCAACATCATGGTCATTTTAAGGATGCAGTTTGTGGTGCTGTTGAAGTCTATTGTAATATTTAGTGTGACGTAAATGGGGTTGGCATCAGACAAAGTATAGAACCATTCTTAAGACCATTTTGACTTGGCCGGACTCACATGGTTGTGGATTCTTCTCTATTACATCCTACAGGTCAGGAGGAGGCGCTGTCTCCTGCTCCAGCTCAGCTGGAGGACAGGGCTGCTGACAGCGATCTATCTGACAGGTCAGTCAAACAAATCTTTCTCATCTGTGTCTTCTGTACCTGTTTTTGAGGGTAGCTACGCCTTTAAAGTGATTCGATTGAGACGGATAAAAGGCCATAATAACATCTACTAGAGCTGTAACTGTGTGTGTGTCCAGGGTAATCTCTGAGGATGACTTTGAGGAGAGTAGAAAAGGAGGGTTAACAGAGGATGAGTTGTTTGAGCCGTACTCGGATAAGAGGTGGGTACAGATATTCTTCAGCAAAGATGGTTGAAATAGACAGAAAAACTGAGATGGACAGAAAATGACTGCTGCCAGAAATCCAGAGTGTCTTTAGTGTACCTTTCTCTCCCCTTTCCAGAGCTCACAGGATGACCGTCCCCAACAAGAGAAGAAGAAGCCCAAAAGTCCCAGAGGAGCCCAAAATCAAAAAGAAACCTGGTCCCAAACCTGGCTGGAAGAACAAGTTGAAACCCAAAGGGCATGTTGGCATATATTTGACACAAATTGAGGCTGACATTTCCTTTATTACAGAACCTCCATTCAGCATAGTAGTTAAATATAATATTTAAATGTGTAGTAGGAAACAGATTATAGTTTTAAATGTTTTTAGTTCATTTTAGTCAGCTGTTTTAACTTTTATATAGCATGCATTGAATGAATTGAGCTAATTACGCCCAGCATGCATGGGCTTACAAGACACCAAATTCAGTCTAGCCAGGACCAAAGTACAGCATACACAGTGTCAAACAATACAGAAAGAGGAAAAACAATATAATAATAAAATATATATACACCCGCATATACAGATATATACATACAGGTGCTGGTCATATAATTAGAATATCATCAAAAAGTTGATTTATTTCAGTAATTCCATTCAAAAAGTGAAACTTGGATATTATATTCATTCATTACACACATACTGATATATTTCAAATGTTTATTTCATTTAATTGTGATGATTAAAACTGACAACTAATGAAAATCCCAAATTCAGTATCTCTGAAAATTAGAATATTACTTAAGACCAATACAAAAAAAGGATTTTTAGAAATGTTGGCCAACTGAAAAGTATGAGCATGAACAGCACTCAATACTTAGTTGGGGCTCCTTTTGCCTGAATTACTGCAGCAATGCGTAGTGGCATGGAGTCCATCAGTCTGTGGCACTGCTCAGGTGTTATGAGAGCCCAGGTTGCTCTGATAGTGGCCTTCAGCTCTTCTGCATTGTTGGGTCTGGCGTATCGCATCTTCCTCTTCACAATACCCCATAGATTTTCTATAGGGTTAAGGTCAGGCGAGTTTGCTGGCCAATTAACAGGGATACCATGGTCCTTAAACCAGACACTGGTAGCTTTGGCACTGTGTGCAGGTGCCAAGTCCTGTTGGAAAATGAAATCTGCATCTCCATAAAGTTGGTCAGCAGCAGGAAGCATGAAGTGCTCTAAAACATCCTGGTAGACGGCTGCGTTGACTTTGGACCTCAGAAAACACAGTGGACCAACACCAGCAGATGACATGGCACCCCAAACCATCACTGACTGTGAAAACTTTACACTGGACTTCTGGATTCTGTGCCTCTCCTCTCTTCCTCCAGACTCTGGGACCTTGATTTCCAAAGGAAATGCAAAATTTACTTTAATCAGAGAACATAACTTTGGACCACTCAGCAGCAGTCCAGTCCTTTTTGTCTTTAGCCCAGGCGAGACGCTTCTGACGCTGTGTCTTGTTAAGAGTGGCTTGACACAAGGAATGCGACAGCTGAAACCCATGTCTTGCATACGTCTGTGCGTGGTGGTTCTTGAAGCACTGACTCCTGCTGCAGTCCACTCTTTGTGAATCTCCCCCACATTTTTGAATGGGTTTTGTTTCACAATCCTCTCCAGGGTGTGGTTATCCCTACTGCTTGTACACTTTTTTTCTACCACATCTTTTTCTTCCCTTCACCTCTCTATTAATGTGCTTGGACACAGAGCTCTGTGAACAGCCACTTTAGCAATGACCTTTTGTGTCTTGCCCTCCTTGTCAAGGTGTCGATGGTCGTCTTTTGGACAGTCAGCAGTCTTCCCCATGATTGTGTAGCCTACAGAACTAGACTGAGAGACCATTTAAAGGCCTTTGCCAGGTGTTTTGAGTTAATTAGCTGATTAGAGTGTGGCACCAGGTGTCTTCAATATTGAACCTTTTCACAATATTCTAATTTTCTGAGATACTGATTGTGGGGTTTTCATTTACATTTACTCATTTGGCAGACGCTTTTATCCAAAGCGACTTACATTTGAGGAACAACATACAAGCATCAACAGAGCATCAGCTACAGATCTCTAACTGACAATATATACTCTAGCAAGAGCAGCAATAAATACTAGGAAGAGCTCATAGTACATATCACATCAATGGGGTAAATACCTAGGGAAGGAAGTAAGAGTTAACAAAAAGTGCAATCAATACAAGATCACTGTAGGGGATAGAGGAAGAAGAGCACAGGAAGTGCATGTTAGAGGAGTTAGAGGTGTTATAAGAGGAAGTGTTCTCGGAAGAGATGAGTTTTCAAGAGCTTCTTGAAGTTAGAGAGGGACGCCGCTGCTCTGATGGCGTGTGGTAGCTCGTTCCACCATTGTGGTATCACAGATGAGAACAGGGACTGGGATTGCTTTGTGTGAAGGTTTGGCAGAGCCAGGCGGTGTTCGTTGGAGGAGCGTAGCGGCCAAGAAGGAACGTAAGTTTGTATTATGGAGTTTAGATAGATGGGTGCAGACCCAGTAGTCACTCTGTATGCAAGCATTAGTGACTTGAATTTGATTCTGGAGGCCACGGGGAGCCAGTGGAGGTCACACACCGTTCTGAACCATTTGTAAGGGTTTCACTACACAAGCTGGGAGACCTGCTAGGAGGGCATTGCAATAGTCAATGCGAGAGATAACCATGGCCTGTACCAGAAGCTGGGTGGCGTACTGAGTGAGGTAGGGCCTGATTTTCCTTATGTTGTATAGAGCAAAGCGGCATGAGCGAGAGACAGCAGCAACATGGTCTGGTCATCAATCATGACACCCAAGTTTCTCACCACCCTGTTTGGAGTGATGGTTGAGGAGTCAATTTGTAGTTTGATGTTATGGTGGATAGATTGCTTGGCTGGTATGACCAAGAGTTCAGTCTTAGAGAGGTTTAGTTGAAGGTGGCAAGCCTTCATCCATGCAGATATGTCCAAGAGACAGTCCGTGATCCGCGCCGAGACGGTGGGATCACCTGGCGGGAAGGATAGGTAGAGTTGTGTTTCATCTCCGTAGCAGTGGTAAGAGAAGCCGTGTGATCGGCCCCAGTGAGGTGGTGTAAATTGAGAAGAGAAGGGGCCCAAGCACTGAGCCTTGGGGCACCCCTGTGGAGAGGCAGTGGGAGGAGGATAATTGTCCTTGCCACAAAATATTGTAGGAACGCCCCGAGAGGTAGGATTCGAACCACAGGAGTGCTTTGCTCGAGATGCTAAGTCAAGCAGGATAAGAATCGAGGATTGAGCTGCAGCTTTAGCTGACCTTAGGGCTTCTGTTACAGACAGAAGAGCCGTTTCAGTAGAGTGGGCACTCTTAAAACCAGACTGATATGGATCTAGGAGGTCATTCCCTGGGAGGAATTCTGAGACCTGTGTGACCACAGTGTTTCAGAGAATTGGCTAGTTATAGCCTCCACTTTGCCTGTGAAGAAGGCAGCAAAGGTATCAGCAGACAACTTTGTGGGTGGTGGAGGAGGATTTAGTAGCGCTTTAAAAGTGGAAAATAATGTCCTTGAGTCAGTGGCACTGCTTATTCTGTCATTATAGAATGCAGTTTTGGCAGCACTGATGCTTGTTGAGAAGGAGGATAGGAGCAATTTGTAGCCCTTAAGGTCGGCGGGGTCTTCGGTTTTTCGCCATTTTCTATCAGCCGCTCTGAGATCAGTACGGAGCCCACGGATGGTATCAGTTAGCCACGGGTGGGGCTGGTTTGGGCGAGCAGGCTTGGTGGATAAAGGACACAGGCTATCCAGGCACGAGCTTAGTGTAGAGCACAGAGATTGTGCGGCATCATTGACTTCAAGTGAGGAAAATGTGTTGAGGGAAGGTAGAGCGGAAGCTACCACTGAGGCAAAGTGAGCGGGAGACAGGTTGCGGCGGTGTGAAACAAATGGTGTTGGAAGAATGGGCTTTTCCTGTAGGCATACTGTGAACTGAATGAAATAGCGGTCAGACACATGTAGAGGTGTGACTGTTAGGCACTCTGCTGCACAGGTCAAGCACCTTGCCAGCTTTGTGGGTCGGGGGGCTGAGAACCCGTGTTAGATCAAAGGACTGAATCAGAGACAGGAAGTCTGCAGAGTATGAATTGTCTAAGTGAATGTTCATGTCACCGAGGACAAGTAGGGGACAGTCATGCTCAGGGATTGAAGACAGCAGTGTGTCTATGGCTCGTCCACAAAGTTACCCATTTGTCCTGGTGGACGGTATATGACAATCACAGAGACCTTTACCGGAGCGGACACAAAGACATGCACAGTTAAATCTAATAACAAACTTGCCTTCTTTTCCAAACCTTTGAGACAAAATTATCAAACTTAAATTCATCATAGTTATAATTTTTATATTTATATATTAAAATGTTTAATCATCAGTGTCGCGGGAATTCAAGAAACATCATAATTTGTGCAGTACAAAAAAAAAAATGCTATTCTCTTTTCACCTCACACAATCTGTTTTCCTCTGGAGTATTTTTGAATGGATTAATTGAATTGGATTAACAAACTATTATTGTGTTTTTATTTTCAGAGAGGAGCTTCCCAACATATACAAGTGTCCGTATCAGGGCTGTACGGCTGTCTATAGAGCTCCTGATGGCTTGAAGGTCAGAATTGATGCCACCATATCACAGTTATTTAAGTGATAAATGTTCTGTAATTGGATCAATAATTATATATATTACTATTAGGAATGCTTCAGTACTTAGTATTGGCTGTCCAACCTATAGCAAGCAAATTTCACTTCATTTTCGTCACCAAAAGGGGGTGGTGATGGCGCCATGGATAAGGCACATGCCAGTGGTGTGAGAAACCTGGGTTCAATTCCCCAATGTGACGCATCCACCATTGTGTCCCTGAGCAAAACACTTAACCACTTTAACCCCTAGTTGCTCCTGAGGCGTGCGACCTCTGACATAAGCAATTGTAAGTCGCTTTGGATAAAAGCGTCAGATAAATGTAAAATGTAAAAGAATGATATCCCATATGGTGTAAAGAAACATATGTACATTATCAATAATATTAATATATTACTATTATTAATCTATTATTATATAAATGTACAGCTTTTGATTGGCCTTTGGAAAACCGAAGATGTCATTTTTAATCCACCCCAGGACGAGACAATTCTTGTTCTCCATACTACTGCAGACTGGGTGTGGACATTACAATTTGAACTGAAGGTGCAGCAGTGCTTTTCTGCCGTAAAACATTTTATGTGGCGTAACTGCATCTGTTTTGCCAGTTAAAAAGTTTTCTATAATAATATTAATAATATAATATAATATAATAACAATTTTTCACTATATGAATCAGTAAAAATGAGAAGTCAGTATTTGACACCTGTATGAAGTATCAATATGCTCTGCCCTTTACTGTGTGAATGACTTTTTGGGTTTTTAGAAGCACATCAAGGAGCATCATGAGGAGGTGAGAGAGCGACCCTGCCCTCATCCTGGCTGCAACAAGGTTTTCATGATCGACCGCTACCTGCAGCGACACGTCAAGCTCATCCACACAGGTGAGGTCAACAGAAAGATGTTTTTGTTTTTAGAAGTGTTTCACACGTGATGTTCTTGCCATCTGGTGCCTGTATCACAAAACGAGCAGATCAGAGATGTTGATCAATTGACTCAGTTAACTCAGGGTTTAACTATCCAGCTGTGAGCGTGTGAGGAAGGTCGAGTTCTTAATTTGAGGCCACACACACAGGAGATCATCAGATCTGACTGATGTCTTTTTGTAATAAAATCCTCTGCTGCGCAGGATCTGGTGTGTTAATGTCAGCGGCAGCTCTGCAGGGGAATAAGATCTAGAGAAAAAAGGGATCTGGCTTCTCCATGCCTAAATAAAATCCCCCGAAAACATATCAATGTGTAGTTAGCCACAACGTTAACACGAGGAAGAATAATCACAACATATAGCCTAATGTAAGTAAGCAACCATGTTATATTTATCACTTCTCCAACAATGTGAGCATAGGCCACCACCAGAGTGAAGATTTTCTGTCATACTGAGATATATAGTGTTACAGTGTTACATACTCAATGTGGCAAAAGATTCAAATGAGGTTAACATATTTAATAGTATTCACTGTAAGCAAAAAGCTCAGATTTCAGCCCGCTCTGAATACTAGATTTCCAACGTTTCTTTCTGCTTTCGTGCCGAGCTGATGTCAGCTAGACGGGGAGAAATGTCCTTATACGGTTGTTTACTCGTGATCTGCTCCAGGCACTGACAGCGAAACAGGGCTACAAAATAATCCTTCTGGTAATCGCGCCCTGTGAAAGTGATTGTTTTTAAAGGGTTAAAAAAACACCAAAGTCACGCAAGCTGCAGTAGACCAGAGAGGTAAAAATACTATTTTTGTTAAGGGAGTCTGTTGGTTTTTAATGAGAGCGATTTAGTGACAGTTTGTGGTTAAACAAAAAAGATCTCGCTCTGCAGGGATCCTTTTCATTATGTTGTGCTTGTAATAATAATCTGAGCCCGTCAGTGGCAAAATCGACTGCAGCACGCTCGCCTAGTACTGGACCAATTAAAAGAAAAAAAATGTCCCAATTAGTAAGATGGACATAAAAACATGGACAAATAAAGTTGAAAAATACCAAAGTTAGCCTTTAAATCATAAGTGTTAATGAGTATTTTGGCTTGTACTTAAGTCTGTCATCTGTGTTTCCAGAGGAGAGGAACTACATTTGTGACCAGTGCGGCCAAACCTTCAAACAAAGGAAACACCTTTCAGTTCACCAGATGAGACATTCAGGGGCCAAGCCACTACAGTAAGTACTGATGATGTAATTTGGCACTTTAAAACTTCTGTAGCTCATGAACAACTATTTAAACTAGTTGATATAAAATAAAGCTTAAAAATAAAATTCTGAGACTGCACTGCATTTCCTCAGGAACAAATGTCGGTTTTTAATTTGAAAATCACAAGCAAAGAAAGGAGACACACTGTAAATGCTATCCTCCCCCTTTTAGATGTGAGGTGTGTGGCTTCCAGTGTCGCCAGCGAGCATCACTAAAATACCACATGACCAAACACAAGGCGGAGGCTGACCTGGAGTTTGCGTGCCTGATGTGCGGGAAACGTTTCGAGAAGGCCCACAACCTGAACGTCCACATGTCCATGGTCCACCCGCTAACTCAGGCTGAAGCTCACAGAGGCAGCAGCCAGCAGCAGCCTCTGTACTCTGACCTGCACACCATCACTCTCACCGGGGAAGTGGTTCAGCAAGACCAGGACAGATGACGGCAGGGAGTCCAGATCCTGGTCCCTTGCACAGGGACATAAACTGTGGGGCAGGGACCAGTTCAGTCAACCTGTACTGTGCTTTTTCTGTTTTCACATTCAGGTCATGGACTCAGATGGGACCTGCTGTATGGCTACTGGCTCCTCTGGGCAACACAAAACAGATGTTTATCTCAGTTCGGTACCAACAGAGCAATTTTAGCATCACAGCAACAAAGTCACACTGCTGCTGATAATTACTATCTCATGGAGCGCTCTTTACAGTTTTCAAGAATCACTTTTCATTCCAAAATTAATCTTTCGTTGTGACTAAGTTTAGGTTTTAGTTTGGTTTTGGGGAAGCATTTCAGTTTTATTTACAGTTTTCTACCTAGTTTCTAGGTCAACAGGTGGAACGTTTTGCTTCCACACAGCATGGACACAAGAGGAATGTAATAAAAAGTTCCACTGGTATACTTCCTGTAGTTTGCCAGAGTAAAACACTTTCTTCTCGAGGGAATAAAGGCAGAAAAGATTCTTAAAAGGTTATCTTGGGTTTGAAAGTTTTAATCCTTAAGATTTTCAGTTTTTTTGTTTGATTTGGTGACACCCGTGGCTACCATGGAAACACCAAATTTAATACTACAGCAAATGCTCATTGAGCAGCTGGTTTATCTGTTTGCAGTGCAGCCAAGAAGTCAGTCAATAGTAATTACTTCCACAATCAGGTTTCATGCTGTAATTACAGCAGGGCAGAAAATGACCTTGCTGAGGAGTTGGGAGTTGTGCAGCTCACGTTGGCTGCTCCTTCTTATACCATTACTCACTAAATATTACAAGTAAGTAATTATTATTACTTACTAATTCTTGTCTTGTTGACTCATTTAAATGTACGACGACTGGCTATAACCTCAGTGACAAATACATTCCATCAATAAAAGCCGCCCTGTGTTTCGCCAGTTAACTGCTTTTACTATGAAGCAGGAGCAGTAGGAAATGTTGGGTTTGATTTGGCACTAACTTAATACAACTTGTATTAAGTAATTATAGAATGTAAATATTTTCAATGGCTATTGCTGGGAAAAAAATGATTTTTAACTTTGAAAGACAACAGCAGCTTCTGGTGCCTCTGTTGCAGATCTGCTCAAAAGGGGATTTTACATTGCCCACGAACTATATGGATCTACATTTGCATTTGATAGCTGAAGTACACAGTAGCAGTTTTCCTGTAATGCAATATTCTTGTTACACAATTCAATGTAAATCACTTGTATGTGCTGTGTAACCTTCTCACAGTACAAACAGTTGTGCAAAATGATTTCCAAGAACATTCACATCAGATTTATTGGGTTACTGTTTTTATTAAGTTATTATATTGCTATTTCTGTATTGTAAACCAGGTACATGTATAATAAGTCCTGTGTGCATTGTGTACAAAAAGACATGTAAATAAAATGTAGCCTTTTTTTTTTTTTTTTTTTTTTTTTTAACAACACTTTACGGGGGGGGGGGGGGGGTTGTTTATTTTTTTTAGGCTTTAGCAGTAAATCTGAACAGTGAAGTGCTGTTCATCAGTATTACAACAGGAACATGTTTCTGTTAGATGCAAAGTATAATATATCAATAAAGTACCTGATATATAGTCAGTTAACCATTACTGTCAAAGAGACACCTTCAAAGCTCGTGGCAGTGGAGAAGATATTGCTCCAAAGTGGATGTTCAGTTTAGACAGCTTTTCAGAGGAAGTCCATCTCTGGGCTGAGGCTGTGGGGGTCGAGGTGCACAGAGAGAGCAGCTGCCACCTCTGGGTCCAGGTCTGTATACTGGGACTCCAGCTAGATCAGGAAACAGGAAGGATCAGGAAACCCCCCAGCAGAAAGGCCAGACAGGAAGGAGTGATGACGACGAGGTAGAAGAGTGGGTGTTGTCAATAGAAGATTTTACCAAAAGGCATAATACTGCACATACAGTACACATCTGTATCTGTTGGTTGGTTACCTGTCTGAGTTGGCTGGAGGACAGAGCAGCTGGAGGTGTCTGTGAGATGGCTCTCAGAAGAAACTGCTTGGAGTGGCTCAGAATCTGGAAAGGCTCCATCTGCCAATGCAATTAAATAGATTTGACATCAGAGTAATGTCCCAGGTTTGAGCAACATTGAGCATCATCTGAGGCTCAGTCACCTGATTTTCTGGTGCAAGTGTGTATCCTTCCAGGAAAAGCTGCAGTAGACTGATGTAGCAGAGGACAGCAGTATGGAGGAACCCAGGACAACACATAGCTCTCTGTAGCAGCTCAGCACTCTGCTGGAGCACCAGACTAAACACACATGCACATTACAGAGTGTAACTGCAACTTTTTTTTTATGTCATGTACACAACCGTTTCACATTGTGGGGTCACTTTCTTGTTTGCAGAAGAAAGGAAATGTTTTGTTTATTAAACTAACATCAAATTGATCAAAAATACAGTGTAGACATTGTTAATGTTGTAAATGACTATTGTGGCTGGAAACAGCTGATTTGTAATGAAACATCTACAGAGGCCCATTATCAGCATCCACCAGCCCTGAGTTTTAATGGCACGTTGTAGTAGTCATTTACAACATTAACAATGTCTACACTGTGTTTCTGATCAATTTGATGTTAGTTTAATAAACAAAAATTGTGCCTTTCTTTCAAAACCAAGTGACCCACTACAGCATGAAGCAGCCATTCAGTTAACTTCCTGTTGTCCAGTTGTTTTATTGGCTGACTGTCTTGTGAGGGTAACTACAGGTAGTATCTACAGCGACTGTAGAGGTAGACATATGATTTGAATAGGATTTTTAAAAACACTACTTTAAAAACTAACCTGTAGAAGGCCCAAGGCATCAGTCGAGTACATTCATCTGATGTCACCATGGTAATGGACTGGTAAACACCTTGTTCTAGAGTTGGGGAAAAAGATATAGCCCAATAAAAATGAATAATAATAATAATAATAAATGATAACAAATGAATATACACAAGACAAAATCATTTAATGTCAATGCTGACATTAGATTGCATCTGCATATAATGACTACCGGGCTAAACGGACTTACTATGACACTATCAGCTCTGTGTTGAGCGTGATTTAAGAGCATATTCACTGTACCATTTGATTTAAAGATGAGCAGCCAGTCACCAGAGTCCACCAACAAAGGCAGAAGGTCGTTGCACAAAGTCCTGGCTTTCTGATGGCTCTTCTCCTACAGAAATAACATCAGACATAACGTCACACAGAGACGCTCTCTCAATTCCAACTGTAATCCACCAATGTGTCCCTGAGCAGGACGCTTAACCTGACATGAGAGTGGCTTCTCATCTAACTTGGTAGGAAAATGTGTATTTTTCTAAATGTCTAACTATTCCTTTAACTATGTAGCCATGTTCTATTTCTAAACAATGTAATTACTACACTAGATAAACAACTGAGTGAGACAGACATGTTTTTCCTCTCGGGCTTTGAATGTCAGTGTGCAACTTGCTCATTAGGTCTATCAACCTGAGGTAGGCCTCAAACACAGACCTGTCTCTAACTGCATACAAGTCCCAAAAGCTTTGCTACATCTAACCTACACCTGTTACCTGAGGATACAGGAGTCCTGACAGATGGTCGCTCACACACAGGAAAAGCAGAAAAACTAGCACCTGGAAGGAGAAATGAGAACTAAATGATCCACATCTGAAATGTGCATTTCCAGAGAGCAGGAGCACTAATGAGGCCCTCAGGTTCAACATCGCATGTCCAAAGGCTTAGAGAAATGGTTCAATAACATTAATTAGCATAAAGGTAAACTGCCTATTGTTTTTATTATTATCTATGATCAGAGACAATGTAACAAAGAACAAACCTTCTATTATTTACAGAATACAGTTTACCCACCATCACCAGCTGCCATTACCTACAGTATATGACATGAAGTATGAAGCATTACACCAACTGTAACTCACTGTATATAAAGATTATGTTTTTGAATGGAAACAAAAATATACAAACACACTGGCTGGTTTTGATGGACTTGGTGGTGAAATCCCTCTCACCTGTCGGTACTGTATGCCCTTCTCTGGTTGCAGCATCTTCAGGGCAGTACTGAAGTCCTGGTTATCACACCCACAGCCTCGCCAGGCACGATGCAGGCTGGCAGCCAGCACCAAAGCTGCAGCTGCAGGCACTGGCGATGACGGCAGGCCCCTTCTTAAACTGAACACCAAACAGAATTAAAAATCACTTTTATATGAGCCAAGGGAACCAACCAACACACAAACCACCAGAAAGTCAAAAATGACACTGAAATGGAATCTGGCGTTTAGCCAGTTCTTTTTATCCCTTAAAATGGAGAGAGGTGGATCAGGGATTCAGAGATGGTGATTTATAAGAATCAGGTTCTACCTGCAGGCCCAGTTCTGAGAGTCAGTGAGGCGCTGCAGCTGCTCTGGTACAGGCTCTCCATCACATAGACGATGCCACAGTGACAACAGCACTGGAGACAGACGTTCCCACCAGTGCTACACACACACACACACACACAAAATGATCATGAATTTCTTACTCAGGGATAATAACCATATCATGTAATCATGATGTCATGTTGTCATCAAAATAATGCCGTAAGGATGTATTGACGGTAAATCAGTACATGTGATTTTAGTCGCACACTGAACCTTCAAGATTTACATTTTTCATAACACAAATGAAAAACTGGAGTGAAATAATTTTCTACAGTCTCAGAAACAACAGAAAAGGGCAAAATGATGCCTTCATTGAAGAAAAGAAAAACTTGATATGTAATAAATACACTTAAAGCTGGAGCGCAGGACTAATAATGAATGTCCGTTACATTCAAGCCCGTGTCACAATGCTGATTAAGCCTATCGCTGGTTGGTGTCTGTGGTGACGTTCTCATGCTGGCGAACTCGTACTGATGTGTTTTATGCCAACCAGCGATGATTTGTTAACCAGAGCTAAAGGGGGAACAACTGTAGCAATAGCAGCAAGTATGGCAGAGTCCATCATCTGCATGTGTCCACAGTGCTATGTAATTATTCTCACTGCCAGAAGGGGGAGACAAAGGTTCCACACGGCAGCCTTAGGGCCCAATCAGACAGAACGTGTTTTTTGCAGTGACAGGCCTCTTTTTAAATGGTTTTCTATTGGCAGTGAGTGTTTTGCGGGTAGCCTTGTGTTTCGAAGCAGCGCTCTGAGCGCACAATGTTGAAAAAAATTCAACTCTGAGCTGAAAAGCACCCGACAACATTCGCGTTTTTCTCCATTGTCCAATCCAATGAATGGAGAGACGGGCCCTCAGTTGTGGTGACGGAAGTTTACAGTTGCTTAGATTGTCCGGAGAAAAACGCACTGTCCCCGACTCATCCTAAAATAAGCCTTAAACCGACCAGCATTAAGACGAAGCTCCTGGACCAGCTGATGGTACGACCATGGTCTCCCCTTTCTGACGGTCTCATGTACCCACACAGATCTCTGTTTCCATGTCTCCTGCGTGTTTGCACACCTCTCACCCTCAAACAATGCCAGAGCAGGCGTCCTCTGTTTCTCTGTTTTTTTTAAAGCAGATGTTTTTAGCAACAAAAGACACAGACCTGTGAGCTGTGATCAAGTTTCTGCTAATATGACAGTTATTACTTAGCAGCAAACCAAAGATTACAGATCGCTGGTGCGACAATCTTTGATTAGACTGACAGGACAGCTGATTCTGTGGTTGCCTAGCAACATAAAAAAACGAAGCGCACTGCTCTTTTCCAAATTCAACAGAAAAGGCGCCTCGCTTTTTCAAACCTGCAAAACGCTTTCTGTCTGATTCGGGCCTTATTTCTGTTTTTAACTGGTCTGTTCTAGTCACGTGTCCTAGTGAGCCACTACAGTGTGACAGTCAACCGGCATGAACAATACGAGGACCCAGAAATTGAAGCAGCTACATGGAATTCAGCCACCTTTCATTTTATTATTTGCACCTGTGCTTTTCCTGCAGTGACAAATCAGAATGTCTAATCAAAACCATCAGTGTGCGTATTTAACCATAATAAGCATACTCATTGAAGCCAGGTGTTCAGGACTTAAGGTCAGCATGGAAAAGTTAATTAAGTTCATTAGCAGTATGGAGAACAAACAGTACCACTGTAGAGACCAGCAGCAGAGGACAGCGGAGACTGATCTGAGACCAGGCTTTGTTGACTTCTTCCCCTGAGCGTCCACAACGTACACTGGCACATAACACGCCCTGGAGAGGAAACACAGACAGCAGAGTTATATTCGTGGACATACAGTACGAAATGTATCTGAAATTTGATTTCTCTTTAGATTTTAGCAAAGTGATTCTCACTTTGAGGAGGTGTGCTGTTAAATGGCACGACAGCAAGCCGGCTGGAGAACACACCTTCCTCTGTCCCATGAGCAGAAGGAGAGGAACGAAGACAAAGAAGGGTGTGAGCACTAAAAAGTACATTTTTTCAGAAACGGACATTTCTCCATTTTTCCAAACAGCTGATCAGATTTAGGTGAGAAATGTATTCAAGCCTGGTTAGAAAAATAATTCCACAGCTCACCTGATGCTGGTTGACATGTTCTATCAGGTTGTTACACTCCAGAGTCATCCTGCCTCCTTCAGCCTTTACTTTAATGAGTAACACTGCTGGGAGAGCCAGCAGTACTCTGTGACACACACACACACACACACACACACACACACACACACACACACACACACACATTTTCAGGGGCTATACAAATACAAATGATAGGGGTGATCTGCATGATATATTTGTGTGTGTACCTGTTCCAAGTGTTCAGTGTGTGTTCCAGGCTGAGCTCGATGCTGATGCTCGGTGAAGCTGAGGTCGCTGTGGAGGAGCATTTCTCAGACACCAACTCGAACAGGAAGTCACACACATCAGCTCTGCTTCCACGGCTGCCAGAGAGGTCAGTCACTTCCATCTCATAGACAAACTCCTACACACACAGGGATTGTTTCTTCAGATTAAATGGCACCTTCATGACGACTTCTCTGCTTTTTCCCCATGAATGTATTTAATAGAAGAACATCAGGCTGATAGACTGTTTTCACTCCAGCTGTACTGAAGTCACACACACACAGCACATCCACAGTGTACACACCTGTAATCTGGACAGGATGTCTGGCAGACAGGTCCCGGTTTCTGACACTCTGTAATCTAGCTTTTCCAGGCTCTGGCTACTGTTGACATAAAATACATAGAAGAGTTACATTTATACTAATGTGTGTGTGTGTGGGGGGGGGGGGTATATTTACTTATATTACATGTTTTTTATTTTATAATTAGATAAGGTTAGATAAGGAAGGAACTTGTATATGTAATAAATCTCTTTCAAGTCATTCAAGTCGACCTGCTCTACATGCAGTCTTAAGCACACTTTCTGTAAGGTAACAGCACTTGGATCTTGAGCAGATTTTTTTCATACCAGATGAGTAAAGACTTTTGAACTGCACTGTAAATGTGTCCTATGGTGTGATGACTTGTGAAGACTTTTTTTTCATATACTGTTATTTACTGGATTAGAAATTTTGAATAATACTATTTTTCCCCATGAATTGGACTCGGACTTGCACCGTTTGAATACAAGTGAGTTAGACTTTGATCTCATCCTTTCAAAACTGTTGAAAGTTATACAAATGTATGATGAGTGATGACTATATCTCCCCTAATGAAATATTGAACTGTTTTCATTAAAGATATTTGGAGATAAACACACATATTTGGTTCTTTTATGTGTGTCACACTATAGAACATTACATCACACTAAAGGACAATAATGGTTATTTGATTAAAGAGGAAGTAAATGGTATTACATTAAAGCATTTTTACTTAACTTTCAATATGTAATGTCTATACAAACAATATCAGAGGAAAGTGGTAGCGTAGTATAATTATGTACTTTAACAAACAATTTTGAATTTAAAAAAATTTTGCCCTGTCACACCAAAGGACAAAAAACCTTAACACTTTTATAGTGGTTCGGAAAAAGGGCTTCTCAGGGGGCTTCAGTACCTTTAACTTTAATGTGGTCTTTCAATTAAATAAGGTTGTCTGTTGAATTGCCCGATTAAAATTAAGATATTGTGTCACACCAGAGGACATGGTTTTCAGTGACCAAATGTATCAAGCTCCTACGCTTTCAGAAATATATGGATGAAATAAATGATTGCCATTTACTAAAATAGACACGTGTAACATTATGCCTGAGGTATTTATCAATCATTTTATTTTATAAAAGTTGTAATTTATTGAACCATGCACCATCAAGTCACACCATAGGACAATTTTGAGATTTGGCTCACAAATGTAAAAAATCTAATAACAAAGCTGTTTTTACAACAACAGGTCCTTGTAAAACAAACACAGTTTTAACCATTTACTGCACTTTAAATCATGACAAAATCATTGTTATTAACTTTTATCTTCTGTGACTGTGAAATTGCCATGTCACGTCAACAGCCCACACTACACGCTTCACGTGTTGTTCATGTTAACCTCAAAAGTACCCTTTTTTGGAGGGTTTCTATGGAAAACAATAATCTGTGTCTGAATTAAACCTGCCGGCAGCATCCAGCTACACAATGTGGGGGAGGGGGAATCAGGTATATGTCTTATTTCACCATTTAATTCTACTTCATTCTCCACCTTATTTATTCACTACTTAAATCTGCATTGTTCCTTTCAGTTCTCTTTTCCCCACGCACATATCTACACCTCTGGTCTCTTACTGCAAACACCCCGGCTTGCCTTGCCTCTTTCTGTCTCTCTGTGTGTGTCTGCTCTGCTGACTTTCTCTATCAGCAGTATGTTTTATAAATTTCTTGTCTTTTGGATTTTTCCAATTTCACAGCAGCTGGTGCGTCGCATGTGTCGCCAAATATACCTGGGCTGCTGTTAATATACCTGGGCTGCTGTTCATATACCTGGGCTGCTGTTCATATACCTGGGCTGCTGTTAATATACCTGGGTGGCTGTTCATATACTGTACCTGGACGGCTGGGCAGCTGTTAATATACCTGGGTGGCTGTTCATATACTGTACCTGGACGGCTGGGCAGCTGTTAATATACCTGGGTGGCTGTTCATATACTGTACCTGGACGGCTGGGCAGCTGTTAATATACCTGGGTGGCTGTTCATAAACTGTACCTGGACGGCTGGGCAGCTGTTAATATACCTGGGTGGCTGTTCATATACTGTACCTGGACGGCTGGGCAGCTGTTAATATACCTGGGTGGCTGTTCATATACCTGGGTGGCTGTTCATATACTGTACCTGGACGGCTGGGCAGCTGTTAATATACCTGGGCTGCCTGCCCAAGTAAAGTGTGGGAGACACTGTTTACCCACCTTAACTGCTGGTTCATGATGGCATTAAGCAGATGAGAGCAGAGGCTCTTCATGTCTCCTCCACAGCCTCCCTGCTCCTCAGGACGAGGCAGGTAAAGCTCCAAACATGCCCACTGCTGGTACTCCTGACTACACACACACACAAAAATTTACTATGTGTCCTGAATTTATTTCTTCTGTATGTCTTATGGCGTCTAATGTAATAGAGTGTGTGTGTGTGTGTGTGTTTGTTTCCTGCCTTACCGTTCTGGGTCTGACAGAGCGTCTTCACTCCTCTGTACTCTGAGCTCGTTAGCCAGCCAGTCTGAGAACAACAACTTGACAAACAATAAGATCAATTCAGCATTTTATTTAATTTAGCATACAAACAATATTAACAAAGCTCTTTGATGCTCACTGAACATAATATTCTACACACCATTCAGCACTAACTAAGCCATTCAAACGGCCCAGTGGACCATTTTACCTTATACTGTGGTGTGTGTTCTAGCTGACAGAAAGCAGGGTGCCTCCACAGATACCAAGCAGTCTTCCTCCAGGTGCTGCTGGTGTCTGTGGTACTGCTCCACAGGCCAGCCAGGTTCTCCTCCTGGGATTCACTAACAGGACCAGCAGCAGTGATGGGAGTTCTTCTGGCTTCAGGCAACAGTCTTGGGATGAGGTACAGAAGCTGAAAATACACACAGTGTTACATGGAGAGTTTAACTAATACAAATATAATGGAATAAGATCTAGAACGTAGGCATGAAGGTAGAAATATGCAAACATTTGATATTATGAGGCAGGAGGAGCTTTTATTAACTTTACCAATAAGATATGTGTGGGAGGGTAACTGTAGAGAGATGTTGTATGCATCAGGCCAGGTGAAACGAGATGAACGGATTAATCAATCGACAGACAATTAATCATCGACAATTTTGATAAATGATTAATCTTTTCAGTCATTTATTAGGGAAAATGGCCAACCTGTTATCTGTTCCAGTTCCTCAAATATGTAAATTGGCTTTATCCCATTTTATATTATATCATCATCATCATCATAAATTGAATACTTTTGGGCTTTAGAGTGTTACTTGGACAAAATGCACCATTTGAAGATGACACCTGCATCTGGGGTTGGGACTGCATGACGTGCTGACGTATTGCGGTAAGCGTGTCGACTCATTTCCGTTTCCGGTGCTTGTGTGTTGGTACCGTGTTGTGCTGCTCTCGCTAAATAACAGTTACATTTGTTTGATTACAGCGGCCAACTGTTCGCTAAACACTTATTCTTTACAGTAATTTTGCCTAAGCACTCACAGTTCTTTCCATCTTTTAGTGACTGCTGTTCAATCTCATAGTTGTTCTAAAGTTTTGGTAACTGACGCTACAGTACTTTAGCTTAGCCGTTAGCGACTTTAGCTTAGCAGCTAGCGATGGCTTCTCCTTCTCCCTCTCTCTCTCCTACTTTCTCCTGCTTGGTGTGTCAGATGTTTAGTTACTCCTCTGCCTCCTTTAGCGGTAATGGTACATGTAATAAGTGTAGTTTATTTATAGACATGGAGGCGAGGCTCAGTGAGTTAGAAGTCCGGCTCCGCACCCTGGTAGATCAGTCTTTAGCTACTGTAGCTAGCCAGTCCCCGGTAGTCGGTGCGGAACGGCCTGAGTTAGCCTCTGGTAGCCGTCCTCCGGCATCCCCTGTGCAGCCAGGAAAGGGGGGCTGGGTGACTGTCCGAAGGAGGAATAGTAAGCATTCAAAGTCCACGGGGCATCATCAACCTGTTCACGTTTCTAACAGATTTTCCCCACTCAGCGACACACCCGCTGAGAAACCAACTCTGATCATTGGCAGCTCCATTTTGAGAAACGTGAATTTAGCGAAGCCAGCGGCCATAGTTAAGTGCATCCCTGGGGCCAGAGCGGGCGACATTGAGTCTTATTTGAAACTGCTGGCTAAGGATAAACGTAAATACAGTAAGATTGTTATTCACGTCGGCGGTAATGACTCCCGGTTACGCCAATCGGAGGTCACTAAGATTAATGTTGAGTCGGTGTGTACATATGCAAAAACAATGTCGGACACCGTAGTTTTCTCTGGACCCCTGCCAAATCTGACCAGTGATGACATGTATAGCCGCATGTCGTCATTCCGCCGCTGGTTGTCGAGGTGGTGTCCAGCAAACGATGTGGGCTTTGTTGATCATTGGCAGACTTTCTGGGGAAGACCTGGTCTGATCCGGAGAGACGGCATCCATCCCACTTGGGAAGGAGCAGCTCTCATTTCTAGAAATCTGGCCAAGTTTATTAGTGGACCAAATCCATGACAACCCAGAGTTGAGACCAGGAGGCAGAGTCGCAGTTTAACACACTTCTCTGCCCTTCTTTTTCAGCAGTTACCCACCCAAAACCCTACGCAGAGTCGCAGTCTAACACACTTCTCTGCTCCTCCATTTCAGGAGTTACTTAGTGAAAATCCTATAGTGACGGTGTCTGTCCCCCGACCATCGAAATTATTTAAAAAGGTAAACAGAAGAGGAGCTGTGCATAAAAACCTTATAAAAATTAAAACCACAAGAGCAATAGTGCAAACAATAGGAGAGTTAAATGTGGACTCTTAAACATCAGATCTCTCTCTTCTAAAGGTGTACTAGTAAATGAACTAATATCAGATTATGATATTGATTTATTTGGTCTTACTGAAACCTGGCTGGGTGATGGAGAATATGTTAGCCTAAATGAATCCACCCCTCCCAGTCATATTAATACTCACATTCCTCGAGGCACAGGCCGAGGAGGTGGAGTTGCAGCTATCTTCGACTCTAGCCTATAATCAGCTCTAAACCTAAACTAAACTATAACTCATTTGAAAGTCTTGTTCTTAGTCTTTCGCACCCAAGTTGGAAATCACTGCAACCAATTCTTTTTGTTATAGTGTACCGAGCACCTGGCCCGTATTCTGAATTTGCAGAGTTTTTGTCAACTTTAGTCCTTAAAACGGACAAAGTTATTATTGTAGGGATTTTAATATTCATGTGGATGTTGAGAATGACAGCTTTAGTACTGCGTTTATCTCTCTGTTAGATTCCATCGGCTTCTCTCAGAGTGTTCATGAACCGACTCACTGTTTTAACCACACCCTGACCTTGTTTTGGTGTATGGTATTGAAATTGAACATTTAGTGGTGTTCCCACAGAATCCCTCTTTATCCGACCACTGTTTGATAACTTTTGAGTTTGTATTGCTGAACTACTCGCCATTGGGCAAAAATTTCTATACAAGATGTCTGTCTGATAGTGCTATAGCTAAATTTAAGGATGCGATTCCATCAGCTCTAAATACATTATCTAGTCACAAAGTAACGGAGGACTCCTATGCTAATTTCAGTCCCTCCCAAATCGATCATCTTGTTGATAGTGCTGCAGGCTCGCTGCGAATGACACTCGACTCTGTAGCCCCTCTAAAAAAGAAAATACTAAAACAAAGACGGTTAGCTCCATGGTATAATACTGAAACTCGCAAATTAAAGCAAATATCACGGAAACTTGAGAGGAATTGGCGTTCCACCAAAGTGGAAAATTCTCGTTTAATTTGGCAAGATAGTCTTAAAACTTATAGGAAGGCCCTCCGTAATGCCAGAGCAGCGTACTACTCGTCATTAATAGAGGAAAATAGGAACAACCCCAGGTTTCTTTTCAGCACTGTAGCCAGGCTGACAGAGAGTCACAGCTCTATTGAGCCAAGTATTCCCATAGCTCTCAGTAGTTACGATTTCATGAGCTTCTTTAATGATAAAATTCTAGCTATTAGAGACAAAATTCACCAAGACCTGCCCTCAACTGGCACCGACTTATCTCTAACTCAGGAACCTTAGAAACAGCTGTAGAACCAGATACATGTTTAGACTGTTTTGCTTCCCTCAATCTTTACCAACTAACTTCAATAATTTCTTCATCTAAACCATCAACCTGCCTCTTAGACCCCATCCCGACTAGGCTGCTTAAAGATGTTTTACCCTTAGTCAGCACCTCTATACTAGATATGATCAATCTATCTTTATCAACAGGCTATGTACCACAGTACTTTAAAGTAGCTGTAATTAAACCTCTTCTGAAAAAGCCCAAACTTGATCCGGATGTTTTAGCCAACTATAGACCTATATCTAACCTTCCATTTCTCTCTAAGGTTCTGGAGAAAGCAGTTGCTAAACAGCTGTGTGACTTTCTACAGAGCAATAGTTTATTTGAGGATTTTCAGTCAGGATTTAGAGCTCATCATAGCACAGAGACAGCACTGGTGAAAATTACTAATGACCTCCTTATTGCATCAGACAAAGGACTTGTCTCTGTACTGGTTTTATTAGATCTTAGTGCTGCATTTGATACCATTGACCATCAGATCCTATTGCAGAGACTGGAATATTTCATTGGCATTAAAGGAACCGCTCTAAGCTGGTTTAAGTCCTATTTATCAGATCGATTTCAGTTTGTACATGTTAACGATGAGTCCTCCATGCACGCCAAAGTTACTCATGGAGTTCCTCAAGGATCTGTCCTTGGACCAATCCTCTTCACTTTATATATGCTTCCTTTAGGCAATATTATCAGGAAACATTCCATAAGCTTTCATTGTTATGCAGATGATACTCAGTTATATCTATCGATCAAGCCAGATGAAACTCATCAGTTAGCTAAACTTCAAATGTGCCTTCAGGATGTTAAAACCTGGATGACCTGTAATTTTCTATGTTAAACTCAGATAAAACTGAAGTTATTGTTCTGGGGCCTAAGCACCTCCGTGACGCATTATCTAAAGATATAGTTTCCCTGGATGGCATCGCCTTGGCCTCCAGCACCACTGTGAGGAATCTTGGAGTTATCTTTGATCAGGACATGTCGTTTAAGTCCACATTAAGCAAATTTCAAGGACCGCCTTTTTTCACCTACGTAATATTGCGAAAATCAGGAACATCCTGTCTAAAAATGATGCAGAAAAACTAGTCCATGCATTTGTTACTTCTAGGCTGGATTACTGCAATTCCTTATTATCAGGCTGCTCGAAAAAGTCCATTAAGACTCTTCAGCTGATCCAGAATGCTGCAGCACGTGTTCTGACAGGAACCAGGAAAAGAGATCACATTTCTCCTGTTTTAGCTTCTTTGCATTGGCTTCCAGTAAAATCCAGAATAGAATTTAAAATCATTCTTCTTACCTACAAAGCTCTTAATGGTCAGGCACCATCTTATCTTAAAGAGCTCATAGTACCTTACTACCCCACCAGAGCACTGCGCTCCCAGAATGCAGGGTTACTTGTGGTTCCTAGAGTCTCCAAAAGTAGACTAGGAGCCAGAGCGTTCAGCTATCAAGCTCCTCTCCTGTGGAACCAGGTTCCAGTTTGGGTTCAGGAGGCAGACACCATCTCCACATTTAAGAGTAGGCTTAAGACTTTCCTCTTTGATAAAGCTTATAGTTAGGGCTGGCTCAGGTAGTCCTGAACCATCCCTTAGTTATGCTGCTATAGGCCTAGACTGCCGGGGGATTTCCCATGATGCACTGAGCTCCTCTCTCCTCTACTTTCTCTCCCTCTGTATGCAACCTTATCCCATTATTGCATGTTACTAACACAACTTCTCCCCTTTCTGGTAGTCTTGTGCTTTCTCGTCCCTCTCCTCTCTCCTCCTATCACTTCCTGCAGGTTTTCTGGCTCTGGAGCTGTGGAGTCTGGATCTGTGGCTGCGGGTCGCCTGCTGCCCCCGTGTTCCTGCTCGACACCCTCTACTGCAACGACTATTGTTGCTAGTCTTATTGTTATTATAATCATTAACATTACGATGGTTACCATTAACACTATTATAAATATCTGTACCATTTTTCATTTAGTTATAGCAACATTACCTTCGCTGTCTGTACCTCTGTGTGTATATTGTGTAGGCTGCCTCCCTCCCTCTCTCTCTCCTTACATCCCTCTCTCTCTCTCTCTCTCTCTCTCTCTCTCTCTCTTTCACTCTCTTCTCTCTCTCTCTCTCTCTCTCTCTCTCTCACCCCAACCGGTCGAGGCAGATGGCCGCCCACCCTGAGCCATGGTTCTGCTCGAGGTTTCTGCCTCTTAAAAGGAAGTTTTTCCTTGCCTCTGTCGCCTAGTGCTTGCTCTTGGTGGGAACTGTTGGGCTTCTGTAAATATCATCACAGAGTACGGTCTAGACCTGCTCTTTTATGAAAAGCGCTGTGAGATAACTGTTGTTGTGATTTGGCGCTATATAAATAAAATTGAATTGAATTGAATTGAATCTCTGGGAAACTGTGATGGATATCTATCATTATTTTCTTACAATTTATAGACAAAGTGGCAAATCAATTGATCGAAAAAAATTAAAAATGCAGCAACTAACAAAATAGTTGTTAGTTGTAGGCTGGAATTGACAGATATGATCAGAGTAGTCATCCTCCATTTAGCAAAAGATTGGAGACAATGTGGCAGAAAGGCCTACATACTATGATACACATATTCACTTTCTTTAAACATAACGCATTTACATTTTCAACTAGCTTTTTTGTACAAGGAAATGGTGGGAATATTTCCCCGTAGCTCTTTCATGTAAACGCCTGTAAACCTGTAAAGAATTTCAAGACAGAAAAAGATACCTTCTTATAGAGGCTGCTGACGATGTAGTCCTGCTGTTGTTGCTGCGAGTCCCCTCTGCAGATTCCATAACACACAGCTGCCACACACAACCTGGACAGCAATAAGAAGTCTGTGAGTCAAGGTGGCAGCCAGGCCAGACACATGTATCACATACCGATGCCAACACAACAATGTTAAATTAATGACATCAATAACATTATGGTCACAATAGTCACATCAGATACATATTTTCTACAGTAAGTCTATAATAAGTGGTGTAACCTCACCGAACACAGAAGAGCATGTTAGTGTGTGTGCTGCAGAACAGCGCCGAGCTCAGAGCTTCTCCGATAGGTACGGGCTTAGGCAGAATGGGTGGGATCAGCTGAACCAGAGGGCCGTGTGACGTGGAGGCATGGAGATGGACCACAAATGCTCCCAGGCCGAGTAAGTGGGCAGGACTCAGCGAAGACCACTTTTTGACAGAAGAGGTTTGTAAAATGTGAATGTACAGATGCAAGTGACATGGAAGAATAAAGAGGTCAAGTGATTTGAACAGAGTCTAGAAGCTACAAACAAAACAATCCAGGCAAGATGTGAAACAGACAGAGAGAACGGTGAAAGACAGATACAGAGAGTGTATATGGACATGGATTTATGTACCTGGTTATGAAATAGGTCCCAGAGTCTGTGCATAAGGCTGGAGAGGAGGGGTGTGTTACCAAGCAGCACGCTGACAAACCTGGAGGCCCACAGGCTTTGTCTGGAGAGACAAAAAAATATCTGGTGAGCCGCACACCACAAACAAAGAGGCGATCTCATAATACAGACTGGATGTGTTCATTTCCAGACCGGCCTACTGAAAACTGGATTTAACGACTTTGGCGCTAAGTTTTACTACTCACTTATTAGGAGGGTTAGTTCGGGAAGCGTCTAACAAGCACTGGCAAAAGTTTCTCAGGATCATGTTGACGGCCTGAAGATTTCAGGGAGAGATTCGTTAAATAATACAAATTGTTACTGACATACATGCAGCTAACAGACACAGCAGAATTGCCAATATATAAACACATGAAAACCAAGAAGACAGTCAATTTCATCAGTGCATACTTTGACGTGGAGCTCAGGGGACAGAGGAGTGTTTATGTGAAGGCTGATGACTGTCTGTCCAATCAGGTCATTAGGACCGCCAGGAAAGATGACGCTCAGAGTGTATGAGATCCTGGACAGCTGGGCCGACATCTCTGAGGATACATGACCAACATGACAGGTAACAGGGATTCAAAGAGACTAGGCACAGTGTTAGTAAGTCTTTGTGAGGTTGGGGATGTGCCAATGTGCATGTGGCTGTGACTGAACAGGCTGTGGAAGACACTGAACATCCAACACGTTCACACATTCATTCTATATTGCAGTATTGCATTGTTCTGGACCAGCTGGTTTTGTGAGCAGTGAACAGATTTGGAGACTACACAGTCAAAAGCTGTACCATCAGCTGCATCTAACAATCCCAAGGATTCTGCTGCTAGATCACCAATTTTTAAAAGATCTGAAGATGTTCGACAATTAGCTATATTTAAAGCTGGGGTAGGCAACGAAGCAAGAGAAAGCGAGATTTTGAAAGTATCCAGCCAAAAAAATTCAAAGCCACTCCCCACTTGGGGGAGTGCACGGACGGATAGCGCAGAAGTAGGCAGGCAGGCCAGCCAATCATTTCATTCAGCCTGTGACAGCCACAGATACTGGATTTTTCCAAGTATTTGATTAATTGGTCACTGTCAGGTAGAGCTGCAATTGGATTAATCAATCTAATGAAAATTAATTGGCAACTATTTTTGAAGCAAAAATATTACAACATTTGCTGCTTCCAGACTTTTAAATTGAAGCGCTTGCTGCTTTTCTTTGTCATTTCTGAGTCTTTGGGTTTTGGACTGTTGGTTGGACAAAAAAAGCAATTAGAAAACGTCACTTTTGGTTCTGGATAAACATTATTTACACTTATTCACATTTATTTCAGCAGTTATGGAGCAATATTGCCATTGATTGAGTCGTGTTTGTGTCACTCAGTGAAATATTCTCCCTTAAATGCTCCACTATATTCACCAGCTGGTCTCAGTGGCGCTGAGCAGGTAGTGTACAGTGAAGTTTTCACTGAAAACAGCTGTCTGCTGTATGGAAAATTTTATTGGAATTTGTAACCCAACAGAAGCGGTTGTCTCCTACAGATGATCCTGGGTTGCACTGGACATTCTTACAACTCTTGAGAGGTTGCCACCTGCTGGTGTAGCTAATAAACTGCTCTCACATTTACAGCTCTCTGTGGAACAGAGTGGACAAAATTCCACAAATGCGTATAAAGGAAGTCACAAATGTAACGTGACCTGCATATTGACAGGAAATGATCCGCTATTGTGCAAATACTGTTTTGTGTGTAAAAATAGATCCACAAATGCGTAAACACTTTTTATGAGAAATTAAAATGTGTGTACATATTTGAAAATTTATGAACATGATTTTACACAGCACAAACGTAAAAATACATGTTTTGGGTAGTGACATATTTGTGTATATTTTTTTTACAGATCTCCGCAGTATACATGGGGCAGCTGTGGCTCAGGAGATAGAGCGGTTTGGCCGTTAATCGGACGGTTGGCGGTTCAATCCCCTGCTCCCCCAGGCTGCATGTGGAAGTATCCTTGGGCAAGATACTGAACCCCGAATTGCTGTTCCGCCAGTGTATGAATGTGTGTGAATGTTAGTTTCTGTTTGAGCTCAGTGTATGAATGTGTGTGAATATTAGATGTAGTGTAAAAGCGCTTTGAGTGGTCGAAAAGACTAGAAAGGCGCTATTGGACAAAATTCCTCAAATGTGTGAAAAGGAAGTTACAAACGTAACAAATTGACAGAAAGCAATGTGCAAAAACTGTTTTGTGCCCGAAACAAAGCACAAGCTTAAAGGGGGCTGTGCTTTTGCTGTAGCAGCCCCTAAACTGTGGAACGATCTACCTCTGCACATTATACAGGCATCTTCACTGTCTGTTTTTATTTTTTGTTTATGGGTCGTGTGAGCTTTGTATTTAGTGTATTTTATGTATTCATTTATTGTTTTACTGTACAGCACTTTGTGTCCACTTTGGATTTTTAAAGTGCTCTATAAATACATTTTGATTGATTGATTAATTTGAAGATATTTAACTAGTTATATTTAAGGAGCACACACGCTTGACTACTAGCTGAAATTAGGGAACACACACTTACAGTACGCAGACACCTAACACTTAGATTTAGATACATATGTTACTGAAGTTTCAATACTGCAAAACAAACAAAACAAGCTAAAAAAGATTTTACAAAAGACATATAAACTGTACTTAAACTAGAATATAAGAAATCTTTTTTTTTTTTTCAAAACCTTGTATCTTCACATCTGAACTGAATAATGAGCGTGTGTGATGTACTGTATCTCCTTTCTCGTTATCGGCCTACCTCCATCATTTCCCCCAACAAGCAGCTCTGTGAACTCCTGCAGCTGAATCTTCAAGACCTCCAGAGGATCATCGTGAGTGTCCGAACATACCATACTCCCTAAAAGCACATGTCAAAGCACAACACATTAAATGTAAAAGCAGCAATCTGTTTCTCAGCATTAGATCTGTCTTTGACAGCATTAGGAGACTTCCACTCTCACTATTGTACTGTTTGTATGTGGTTCTTTTTCCAGTAAGTTAATTAGAATTATGTGCTTGAAAAAGAAACCAAATACCAAAAGTAATTATGATTATCTTTGTCTGTATCAAGTAAATGAATGTAATAAAGAATACCCACTATCCTGCTGCCTCTGCTTCTGGCAGGACTCCACATAAGATGAATACTGCGCAGCAGGGATCTTATCTGCTCTGAATACAGACAAACAACTGGCATGACAATCATTACTAGTAAAGTATAACATTAACAATCTGATGGTTACTCTTATCAGGCCCACAAACACAATCAAAATATTATCAAATAAATGTAAATTTGTTAAAAGAATACATTTTGGGACGCAATAAATACATGACAATATAAAATTATATAAACTCAAGTCTATTAAGTTTGCATAGAGAGACGTGATAACACAACACTGTACTGGAAGAGCTATAATGCACATTTTACAGGCATCTGATAACTCACTTTTTCAGAGCTTCTATGAAACTCATTCGAGCATCAGCTTTCACGGGAAGCTGGAATTGAAACACAGGTAAACTTGAAGTCGTGCATGTGATGTGGAGATTTGTGACAAAATAATAAAAGGCTGTCACATCTGAAAATGTGTAGCTCGAACAAGGAATAATAGTGAGGTGAAGGTGCTCACCACTCTCGATGTCAGCAGGGCAGGGAGGAATCGTGTCAGGAAATACGGCCTCCGGAAAATGCTGTGAGGACAGAGGTGTCAATAACCTGCCCATCGATTTTTAAATTTACATGAAACCCAGATATTCCAAAGACCCTCATATACTGCAGTGTACTGTATAAATGTGCTGCGGGTGAGCTGGTAATCTGACTGAATACCTGGCCTCCATGACTGTGGCAGAGATTCTTCCTGTGCTCTCAAACAGAGACACTGCCTTCTCCACATCCTGGACAGCCTGGCACTGCGGCTGCAGACAGACAAACATTATACAGTTAAGATATTAAAAGCACAGCTTAAAAAACATTTGGCTTTTCAATAAATAAATCACATTTTGCCCAATAAAAACGTGCTGTAACTAGAGCTAGGTTTGAAACAGCAATAAGCTTTTTCGTACTAACCAATCAAGCATCAAGTTAAATTGTTAAACTGTGCTCATAGTCTGGTCAGACCAAATTTAGTCAATTGTAGACAATTTCAGTCAGCCAAAGGCTGATTGTAATTAGACAACATTTAACATTAAAAACATTTTGTTAAATAAAACACAGAGCTTTTAGCTACTGATTGTTTTTTTGTTGGTATTGCAACCAAAACTCAGGAACACTATCAGAATCAAAACATTTTAAACATATAGGTAAGCTTCTGAAACTGGGTTGATTAATTTATTTTACTGCCTTAACAAAATGTTTGTTTCAATTCACTCCTCTCCTCTAGTATCTCCCCAACTCTCCAAAATAAGGGCATTCTGTACCTACATCTCTCATTGGCCAGAATGCAGAGGCATTAACAATTCATCAAACAGGTATCATTATACAAACAGACCACTGTGTGTCACTGTTACCTGCACTGATGCTCCACCCGCACCAGAAACATCCTCATATAAACCCATGTCCTCCATTGACTCCTGCATGAGATGAAAAAGACACACACAGAGATGAAAAAAGACATCACAAAACATTTGGGAGGGCTATATCTAGTACAGAGTTTAAGAAATGTACTATAATATAATCATTATGTCGCGTCGTTGTCATACTGTTTCAAATTGAAAAATTTGAAATAATGCAGTAATGATGCATCGAGGACTTTCCATTTTTACACCTTTTACCTTGAGGTCAGCCAGTCTGGTCTTAGCCAGAGAGACATACTCCATCAGGAGGCTGCGGTGTTTCACAGGTACATATGGAGGGTGCAGGATGTGAACCTACCACGTGAAAATCACAGTAAAGTGTTAAAAATCACAGCTGGCTCATTTCTCTGTGTTTTCGTGGAGCTTACACTGTAACTGTGTCTTTCCGACACTGTTCTGAGTCTAGAAGCAGACAGCAAACCAGTGGTGGAAGAAGTAATCTTTTACTTAAGTAACAGTCCCAATACAAATATCAAAAAATACTCAATTACAAGTTAAAGTCCTGCAGTCAAAATGTACCTTAAGTAAAAATATAGAAATATTTGCAGCTAAAAAATGTAAGTAAAAGTAAATGTTCCTGTGACTGATATATAATTCCATTAATGCTTGTTAACACTGATGCAACAATGGTTTGTGAAATGATTAATGGGGTAGAAAGTTATTCTACATAAGTTTGTGCTCATTTCTCTCATTTTTTCTTCTTCTGATTCATGTTACTATTTGCTCATGGGGATCATTAAGGGTTTATCTAATATAAAAGACAGCGAGTATCTTGTCGTTAGTGAAGTGAGGTTATCAGTAATGTTTCAGAGTCAGAGACATGTGCAGACTGTCACCTTGAGGTACTGTGGGGGTTCAAAGGGCACCAAGTCAGACAGGAACTTCAGCAGAAACACCAGAGATTTCTTATTGGCCGCATGGTAACCACTGCATCCGCCGAAAGACATCTGAAAAGAATAATGCTACTAGTAACAGTGATAAACCTAAGGGTGCATTAAGAAAGATTAAGCTCTCTGGACCCCTGTTTATGACAAGAACAAACCGCAACAACAGACAATCCCAAAATCTTGGAAATAATTTGATCAACAACCCAATGAATCCATACACACACAGTCCACTTTGTTAACACAACCTTACAGTGCAGGAAAGATAAATGACTGATTGATCAAAACTGTGTTGAACTACAAGATGAACTACATCTGGTGCCAGCCAGTGTCACTCACTGATACAGTGTGTATTATGCAGTGTTTGTTATACAACTGGACACCTACTCCACATTATACTGGCTGTCCCCTGGAAGACCTTAACAAGTATTGTTTTTACTACTACTTTTACTGAGTTTCAGTAAATGCTTATTGTGTCCTGTGGTCTAGACACCATTTCAGAGGCTTTTTCCCCCCATCGTGACTAGAAATTAAATCTTCAATATAGTTTACATGGTGAATGAATCAATAAACTATCAACGTTCAATACGGAACCTTGAACCAGTCGCTGTAGGAGGGGAAGATGCCGGGTCCCTCCAGCGCACCCTGTCGAGCCAATAGGAAGGCAGTTATCATGTTCTCCAAGTCATAGCCTTCAAATGCAGAGCTCAGCAGTCTGGACAGCAGCTCTGATAGAGACAGGGAAAGACGACAAGCCTTGTTACACTGGAGTGTGTAAAGTGTTTACTGATATATTACTGGTTTACTGTTTTAATTTTACAGTAAAATTAAGATTTTATTAAAAAGGTAAACTGCTAAATAAAATCATCATCTATGAGAAACTGCTTACGTAAGTTACTTCTAATGTGACGTGTATTTTTATTATACTGATTTTGAATGAAAATGTAAACAAAGCATTGGCATGAATGATGGTCAAGAGTAGCACAATAGTGGATGAATCATTTCAATATATTTATACCAAATTTATACTCAGCACAAACATTAGGCAGTTTTAATGCAATACAGCAGGTACCAGTAAAATCCGGTTGCACCCTCGTGTTTACCTCTTACGCTGGGCTGGGCACAGGGGTTGTAAACTAGAAGAGTGGAGAGGAAGCACAGGACGTGTTTCCAGTTGACCTCGTGGGTCTCCAAAACCTGCTGCAGGTGACAGAGCAGTTGCTCCACACTGAAGATCACAGCCAGCTTTTACAGGAACAAAGCAACAATACAGACAGGTTACTGCTATTCCCATTACAACAGACCCTGCTGACTACAGATCTGAAGACACAAAAAGCACTTGAAGTAAGCTTTTTAGCTCTGTGAAACCAAATAGTAAATAAAAAGAAAATGGCATCTAAACACAGGGGCTGACCAGCACACTGACATACAAGTTGTTTGTTGCAGCTAAAAACATCATAATGGATAAATCAATACTGTGTTCCCCTGAGCTGAAGGCCGCACACCTGAAGCCTGAAGTGATTTGACTGCTGTTGCATCTGCCTACAGTTTAACATTCAGGGATGACATTCACTGTGTACGCAGCAGAGGAGTGAGGCTTGTTGTTGCTGAAAAGATGTACAGCTTCACTTAATTATAATGCATAACATAACACAGACATAAAGAGACAGCCATATGCAGAGACACCAGCTAACAGTCATCTGTCAGTCAGAGAAACCACAGATGGCCGTGAAATCCAAAGGCAAGTGTGACATTTTATGAAAAGCTAGAAAACAGTTTAATATAAATACACCCTCTTACATTTAAAAATGAATTTTAATCTTGGCAAACTTAATCATATGTGAAGGTTTACAAACCTAGTTACACGGGCTATTTGAAACATTTACCTTACAGAAAACAGAGGTCAACAGCCGGCTGGCTTTTGCAAAGGTCCACTCGTTCTGCAGAGTGATGGCATCTGAAACTAAGGACGTACGATTTAGTTGTTACACTTCGGGTTTTTAGACATTATTTTTGTTATCATTAAAAAAGCGGCATGTCCTGTACATCAGGATATTTATACCCAAACCTGAATTTCCTGACCCCATTTGAGGTTCTTACCAGATGAGTGTAGGCATTATGTTTAAAGCTTAAGTATCAGCATTTTCAAGCAAAGGCAGCATCAAGCTGTTAAAATGGCTTATAACGTGTCTTTACCTGTTAGTCGAGGTTTGTAAGTGAGAGTCTGTGTGAGGCAGTGTGTGAAGAAACGTTGAAGGGCATCCCCTGATACTGAAACTCCACACAACGACACATCAAATATCTGAATCCTGTACCAAACACAGGGTAGAGGAGTAAGAAACAGAGACATCCACTATCATACATGTTGTCAGAGCTGAGGAAATGGTCCGAAATCCCCAATGACACCACTGTTTGTTCACAATAGATTAAAAATACATTATCTAGAATATAACAATGTTGAAAACCTTCATTAAAACTGGGATAAAAATGCATTGTTCACTTTCATGACCAGTGTCTTGTGTTTAATTACAGGAGATACATTCCCAGTCACAGCAGCCGCTTTCTTAGATTAGCTCTTGGTATAAATGAACAGCTTACTGATGCAGACAGAATCAAATGGCTGTGACTGTGCGTAAGAGAGGGCCAGTTACTGTTACACTGATTTAAGCAAACACAGTCTGATCATAGGTGCCAGGTGCTCTGCTTCAGCATTTCAGGACCAGACAAGCGCCAGGAATGTTCACACTCCAGTGTCAGAGTTTACTGAGAACAGCGCAGAACGGAAAAATCATCCAGTCAGCTGCCGTCCTGGTGCATTAAAATGTTCAAAAAAATGCAGTGAAGCTACCAGACAAGCAACAAGTCTACAGAGAAAATCTTGGCAAGGGCATCTTTTGAAGTTTATCAGCTACAGCAGCAGATTAAGCTAAAGTGGGCGTGAGCTCAAAACTGGACAGTTAAGGAGTGCAGAAACATCAGACCCACAAAATCCTGGTTCCTGTTGTGATGTGATGGCAGAAGCTGAATGTTAGTAATTAAAAAAAATAAAAAAATTTCTAGTCCTGTAACCTCGATATTTTGAAAGTTTATAGTTTTAAAGAGGTCATATTCTGCTTTTTGGCCTCTTCCCTCTCCTTTATTGAGTTGTATCTTTTTTAAGTGCATGTAATAGGTTTTCAAAGTCCAGCCCAAAGGGAGTTCCCGTCTCCCACAGAAAACTCTGAACTGCCTGGAAACAGCTCGTTTGTCGTCCAGGTTTGTAGTCCAGCCTGTGACGTAAAATGCGCGTCACAATGCTCGCCAAGCGGCTAGTCTGTATCTCAAAAACACAGGTGGAAAAACAGTGAGCTGCAGCACACAGCTCTCCTCTCCCTTCCAAACTCTAGCTACCCTCCAGGCAGTCAGTGGACATAACGTTGTTACTGTGATGTAGAGACAGAGCTCAGTTAAAACTTTCTGGATGAAAGATACTTTTGTTACAGGTTAATAACTCACCACTCTGAAACTCTTGCTCCAGTCTATGTTGCCAAGCTGGTAAGGGGAACATATACAGCTGAAACGAACCTGTGTTTACTGGCTTCTCAGGACCCACCCTACTCTGCTTCTGATTGGCTAGTAGTACTTAACTAGGAACTGCGCATGTGCAACTCCCAACAAAGATCATGTAGAGGTGAGATGTATCACTCCATAGCTAAAACAAAGCCTTCAACACAGGGTGAAAAGAGGAGCTGCAGCAATGTGCAGTATGAGAAAGATATGGTGTTTTTTGAAAATTAAACCATGTAAACCTGTTCTGGTACAACCCCTAAATAAGATTTTGAACCTGAAAATGATGATCATAATACCACCTCTTTAACTAAACCTAGAAAGAAATATATTAATGGTCTAGCCTGCATAACTCCTTGTAAATAGATTTGGACTTTTCAGTGATTTTATGGCATTTATACAGAATATCACATTTTCCAGGATGTCCGCAATTGCTATTTCATACAGAAGCGTCCTTGTGTATTGCCAAATGTCTGTGTATGTTCTCTGTCATGTCTTGCATAACTTGACTCAGGTGTCATTCTTTAGACAGAGACCTCAATCTCAACAAGACTATCTGATTTCCTTAATATTATTAAGCGAAATAAAAGACAACAAACCATAGCTTGGCTCCTGTTCCAGCAGACTGCAGCGTCACAGTCTTTTCCACAGTGTCTAGAAGCCCTGAAGAAGACAGACAAAACAATGAAATGTTAAAAAGCAAGACAAAAAAGGGAAGTACTGAAATGCTACTTAGATGTCTAGCAGTTAAAGAAGTAGAAAATAGCTTTCAGGGTCCAGAGGTGTGAGTCAAAGTGCTTTACTAAATATTTCATCAACACAAGACAGGGTAAGTGGGACAGGGACATGTAGACTCACAGAAGAGCATGTCATCCAGCACGGAGGAGCAGAGCAGGGAGATCCTCCTGTCTGCAGCTGCTGGCTCATGGCTCAGCTCAAATCCAGTGCCCACCAAGACTGAAGCCACAGCTGAAACACAGATCTTTTATTAGTATTACCCAAAGCAGCAGCATGTCATTTGGTGAATATTTTATAGAGTGTACATGATTGACTTTTATGTAGCTTGCGGTTGCAGTTAAAACCCCTAACCCTGGAAGTGCATGTGACTTGCTCTACCAAGTAAGCAAGGTACTAAAATCACAAAAGACATAGTAAAGGAACAGAGAGAAAAAAAAGTAGAAACCGCTCACGTTTACTCTATACATCTATTCTTTCAAAATAGTATGAAAATGTCAGGTAGCCAAAAATTACAGTCTGTGTTGCCCTTTTTTGAGGCAATATATAAGTAAGTAAGTAAACTTTCCATATACACTGCTTTTCACAGAAACATGCTTCACAAAAACATTAACATAGAAGAATGAAAACAATGAAAATAAAATGACCACCCGAGCCAAGTGAGGAGGAATTGAGCTAAAAACACAGCATGTAATAAAAATACATAATAATTACACAGTAGGTAATAAAATACACAATGAATCCATAGTACGTAATCAAAAACGGAAATAAATACATAAGATGTTAACCTGCTGCAGACAGGTTACCCAAACGTTGTGTCTTTAACTGCCTTTATAAAACGTCTACAGAATCATCAGGCTGTAAGGGTGCAGGCATGGCACGCCAACGTTTGTGTGCAATGGCCTCAAAAGCTCGATCACCACAGGTCTTACGACAAGCGCGTGGGACAGACAGTATATTTTAATTATTTTGACCTAAGAGAACGGGTTGATGAATAAGGGCGTAGTAGTTCAGCCACATGTGTGGGAGTCTGACCGTGCATTGCTCTGTAAGTAACTCCTATATGTAACAGGGAGCCAGTGAAGACATCTCAGTGTAGTGATGTGAGACCGTCTATTTGTCCTAGTGAGAAGCCTTGCTGCAGCATTCTGGATTGCCTGCTGACAATCCAGTGCAGACATGCTAATAGATGTTATTAGTGTGTTACAGTAGTCTATGCGAGATGACATGTTTGTACAAGCATCTCTAATTCAGCAGTTGAGACTACCGATCCCACTTTACTAATATTTCATACTTGGGAAAAACAAGATCTGGTTAGCTGCCTAACGTGGGTGTCAAACGATGCGGATTCATCAAATCTTACGCCTAAATTCTGCAGGTTGGAGTGGGCAGTAGAGGAAAGAGTAGCAACCAGAACCTCTGTCTTATCAGCACTGAGCTGTAAAATATGTTCTGCTGTCCAGTCCCTGACAGCGTTTAGACAGCACAGGAGAAAGGCAACAATGATGATTTCTGAGGAGGTTAAACCTTTTTAAAGGTATAGTCAGATGATGAGTCAAATGAGACAATTAATAGCACTATCTATAAGGCTACAGCAACTCAACATGCTATATCTTGTTTGTTTAATTCATATAAAAACCAAAGTGTTTAACGACAGGAGCCAGGAACAGAAACTCATCATCAACATCACATAAGAGGTGCTGGTTACCTTTGGAGACAGCCAGGCTTTTTGGTGGATAATGGATTTTACAGATGCACTAAATTAGTCCCGACTTTCTCCGTGATTTGTTTGTATATAAAGCTAAATGTTCTGAACAGAATCAACTGGGTGACACTGTCATGGTAGTTAGGAAAATCATTGGTGAGCAGCTGCCTTCTCTTTCAGGCACTTTAACCAGTAAATAATCCAGAAAGCTAAATCCAAACCATCTTCTCTTTAAGGAATTTGACATCCTCTCATCTGGTTAGGGATAAAGCTTTCTAAAAAATTAGACATAGCAGGTTTAACTTTTCATTCATATCACGTGCAAAAACGCTCTTATGGCACAAAAAAACAGCCCCATGGTTCCCCGCACAGTTAACAACTTTATCTTACGGTTGAAGTTGTTCTTTGCTTTTATCACATGAACCTCTTATTGTATTCTGTACTGCATGTTTGGTACCATCAGTTGTATCATTGTCTTATAGTTTTTTCATGGTGCATGCAAAAGAAGTTATTTTTGAGGGATATCAAATGTCTGAAGTGAACTAAATTGCTGGGACTTTTTATAGGAGAGGAATAGGAGGAAAATATATAGATCTGCCTTTTTCCTGGTATGGCTCAATTTGAGAGGGAACCATAATCACTCTAATGAAACTGGTTTCTAGGGGGAACAAGCTGATCAAGATCAATTGTCCCAAAACTAAAGCAGCCTTTATGTGTAGGCTCTAGGTGATAAACAGGTTTAGGTATTGCCATTGTTGATGAGTGATAGAACCCACATTGTCCTTGAAGCACAACTACAACCAGACGAGTGAGAGAAATGTGTGTTCTTACTTGACAACACTTGCTGTTGAACTTGTTTGGTCTCCTCTTCTCCCTGTGGCGGTGTCCAGCCGCACAGTGCCTTCAACTGAGACACCAACCACAACCTCACTCCTTCATCGCTGAATGGAGAAAAAGCAACAATAGGACCGAACTGAACAAGGCATTAAAGATCATTTCCTGCAGATAGATGTAGCTGTCAGCCATGCTTTTAACTTTCACTATCCTCGAACCCCAGCTTACATTTGAGTCCTTCTGTGAACTGAACTCTGTACAATTGAAAGATGGCTCCTAATACATCCACAGAGCGGCACTGCAGCAACAAAACAGACAGCCAAGTGTCTTTTTTTGTGAGTTTGGTAAAGTTTTCAATTTGTAGTATTGAATGTTATTACTTTAAAAGCCATCTTTATGAATTTATGTAGTTTGTTTTCCCATCTCTAATATTACTAGAAAGTAAGTAAGGAGTGTTTTGTGGACTTGAAGAAATCTTACAACCATTTTCCCCGGGGAGCATTGTCGGGGTCTGCGGGAGTATGGGGTGCCGGGGCCATTGCTCCGAGCCATCCGGTCCTTACGGTTGTTTTTATATTCTTTGCAGGAAGTCAAACAATAGTGGGTGTTGGGCTCCGCCAGGGTTGTTCCTTGTCACCGATTCTGTTTGTGATTTTCATGTTCAAGTCTCTCGGGGTCTTGTTCACAAGTGGGAGTAACCTCACCTATGTTCGTGAGCTTTGGCCAAAATGAGTTTCCTCTGCAGGGTGGCTGGGCTCACCCTTAGATCGGGTGAGGAGCTCTGACATCTGGAGGCAGCTCTGAATTGAGCCGCCGCCCCTTCGCATCGAAAAGAGCCAGTTTGTTCGTGCATCTAATCAGGATGCCTCCTGGGTCCCTTCCTTTGGATTTTTTCCAGACATATTCAACTGTGAGGAGACCCCAGGTAGAGCCAGAAGATACTAGAGGTTAAATATCTTATCTGGCTTTGGAACGCATAGTGATCCCCAGGAGGAGCTCGGAGAGGGGCATCTGGAATATGCCTGCTGCTTACCCTGTTGCTATGGCGACCTCCAAGTATATTACACACTTGAAGGTTCGGGAATCTGAATTTGTGAACCCTAAAGAAATTTAACCTAAAATCTTGTTTTTGAAATTGCACAACTTTGAACCCACATACATTAAGATATTTGTTTTCAAAGTGAAATATTGTCAATGCTTCATATGAATTAGTATTTAAAATTCAACATAAATTCCACAATTTTGTATTCAGTTGCTTGTAAGATCCAAATTCCTAAAGGGCTTTAGTTGCATCCACAGTGTTTGTAGAAGGAATAATACTTAGTTGCAAATAGTTCTCTGCCTTGTTATCCTATGCAGCTGCTCCAGACTAGCTCCACAGCAGCTGACTGACCCTGATACCAAACGACGGCACAAACCAAATTTGCCTCCAATATTATATATATATCTAATATTGCTTACCTCTCTAAAATGTACTTCAGAGTGAGGATGTTGTAAAAGTGAAGATGATACACCACCTCCAGCTTAGGCAGCCTCTGTAAAAACACCACATTTAATATTTGTAAGAAAGCCAAGCTCAGTTTGGTGGCAGTTTAGATCAACTGTAAAGGGAGTGAGAACTTTGTTTGTTTTATTTTCTCCTTAATATTTTAAACCCCTTAACAAATGCATTTTCAAGTAACTTAATGGAATTAAATATTGAGCAAAAACATATGAGAAGAAAATACCTTTTAAGGCCTCATATATAGTGAATGAACATGTAATCTAACATGTGCACGCACCCACACACACACACACCTGATCTCTTCTGTACTCCTGCCAGAGCACTTTCGGGCAGAGGGCCCCCTGTGACAGCAGTTCTTTGCTGGACTCCAGCAGGACACACAGCTGGACCTAGAGAGAACAGCAATGGCAGTGGTAGCTTTGAATGTTATATTTGACATGCTTTCTGTCCTCTGAACAAGAATCCAGCAGTAATGAAAGACAAACTCAGGGTGGAGACCTCTGCGGCTTCCACTGCAGCTTAAAAATGTTGAACCACAGAAGTAACAATTTGCCAACAGATCTGCTGCACAGATGGGATGAAGCAACCACTTTCAATATGAAATACTGGTAGAAGAGTAAAGTTGTGGCGCCAGGGAGGTAACCACAAAACACTATGTCACTGTGCATATGACACAACAGATACAATACTAAAGGTGTGGCTGACCTTTTAATCAAAATATTTCTGAGGCCACATTCTTTGAAAGAAGAGTGCATGACCACTTTCAGATGATGATTTATTGGCATGTTTAAAGCAAAACAACAAATGAAATATCCAACATTTATCCAATTAGTTAACCTGCTCAGAGATCAGGATCTTTAAGAGAGTACAGCAGAGAAAAAAACGACAAAAAAAGATGTAGAGCAAATGGATAGGAATAACCACAGAAATCTCTACATTGGTCAAAACTGTAAAAGTTTAAGAGACGTTACATTTTGAAAATCCTTGTATTTCTTTCTGTCTATATGGTACACAGTAATGGAAGGTGGTCTTTCCTAATTCAGCATTGCCAGTCATGGGAATTACAGTGTGTTCCTAAACTACACACTAATTATATGCTGTATGTACCACATACTCATTGTCAGAGTGTACTGTTTTAGCAGTTACTATAAGAAAACAGGAAATGATACAATACATTAAACATTATATGTCAATCAAACTGTGAGAGGTATTATTTACACAGGCAGCTTCAGCCAGACAAAATGACTATAACCCACTGTGTGACTAATATGAGTTTTTGAAAGCCAAAGCTGATACTGTAGAATGAACATGCTGACAGCCAAATAAGACTATGTTTTTGCTTTTGTTAGTTTTCTTCTGTTGGACATCAGGAGGAAACAAAACATAACAATAAACAGATTCTTGTGAAATTTAGTGTGCAAGTATGCCTTAGGTGAAGACAGCATCACGGGTTGTGCCTAATTCAACATAAAATTTGTGATATGAGCAACCATCTTCATAGTTCCAACCAACACCATGTTGATGAGGTGGATGGTAAAAGTTCCAATAGTCATTTAGATTAAGCAAATCCTCCACAGTCCACAATTTGCAAACTAATACTTGTTGTTGTTTATTGCACTTGAATGTAGGCACTGATTGTATGGTCACCTTGGTTGATGCAACAAAGAAATACAACGTCAAATCCTGCCGTCAGATACTTACTCGCTGAGAGGAAGTGAGCAGCTCTCTCCTCTTATCCTCTTCCTCCTTAACTTCCTCAGTTCCGGTGATCTCCATCAGTCTGTCCAGCACCATCTTCACTGACAGCACCGCTACTGGGACACCCAAATGCGAGGCCTGACGCCTCAGCCCACCCGCTGGCCACAAACAATACAACACATCTTGTAGTTCACAGCAATTACTTTGTGTCAAAGTTAGGTTATCACCATGTGGCACTCCTGTTGTGAGCAGAGACCATTTCCATAAGTCTCCTTAAAAGCAAGCAAAAAACATCTGAAAGTTTACAGCTGTCCAGGAGACAAACAATGGACAAAGAAGGACCTCATGAAAGGGTTATGTGAATGTGTTCATGTTGGACAGTGTCACTTTTTCATCTGCCCATAGGCTATTTATGAGACTTTGTATCAAACGCTCACCCAGCAGGGAACCTGTAATGGCAGATGAGATGCCTTCAGACTCTGCCTGTTTCTGCTCTCCATTGTGAGAACAGAAAATGTTGCATAGATCTGGATTCTGCAAAATGTGGGGAAAATACAGTAAAGATACATCAGCAACATATTAGTGTTCCCTTGTCTAACTAGTTCCTACCAGGAGTAGCACGTCTACTTTCGAGGACATTTGAGAGTGAAGAAGCTTTTCTAAATCTTTAAGCTCCACAGTGTATCATATATGTAAAATTCACCCAGAAGCATTTGTAGGTGGGTTTGTGAATTTTTTTGTAAATGTGAAGATGTATAAATGTGAAGATGTATATATATTCTGACAGTCATGACAATTCACTTGTTACACACCTCTTGCTCAGTCTACAAATTAGCATTATTATTGTGTATTTAATGTTTGTTCATTGGCTGTGCAGCCCACTAGGTTCTGCCTTCATCCTGAAGTCCACTCGCTCACCTGGACCTCCCTGAGCAGACTGCAGATGTTCTGCTGCTGCTCCAACAGCTGGATTGTTGCCTCATGCAGATGCTGACCATCTCCCTGCTTCGGCCTCTTTACCACACGACCAGCTGGAAATAATACAACAGCAAGAAAACACATAATGCTGAAATTTAGAAAGTTCATATCGTTAGATGATACATACTGTACATGTATCTTTAGTAGGTTATGTTGTTTAAAGGTAAAGTAAATATGGATATTTTCCCCTTAGGGGTCACGCCAAACTTCACTTCAAAAGCTGCCAATTTAATATATCCATGCTAACAGCCAAAGTTGGTTAATTTGACACAAATGTCAATGAGTAACGTTACAAACGTCAAGTCAGTATTTATCGAGACAACACGGGGGTAATGGACAAGATTTAACATTAGTCTGTGTAGATTTTGAGTGTGTGTTTTACTTTTATGATAATGCTCCATAAGTAATGTAAACTCGGTCCAGCGGTCAACTCACCGAGGAGGCTCGACAGAGTCCTTTTCTGAGAGACCGATTCACACGATGCACTCAGTGACATTTTACTTGAATGTTTAAAAACGTTTCGAGAGAAAGTCGACGTTTTAGCCAGTTAGCCGTTTAAAATAAATACGTTAACAGTGTTTTTTTTTTTCATGAATTGCGCTAAATCGTACTAAATGACTGCATTCATTCCTTGGTTGTTTTTTTCAAGTTGCTGCGACACTGTTTTGGTTCACCTTCTCCTCCATGTTTCTTCTCGCGCTCTTGTCTCTCATTGGTCCGTGCTAGAGCCAATTAGGATAGAGCATTCTGCTGCAGGACAAAAAAATAACCCGGAGTTTTGAAGTCTGTATCTGTTTTTTGTTGTTGTTTTTTTTTGTAGATGTTTGTTTTAAAGGCTCTGGCGGTTGTCCAGAGGAAGAAACTGATCAGGAGAGATTGATTCGTAAATCAGTTTTCTATTGATCTATTTGTCCCTTGTCCTGTCAGGAGAGAGAGGTATGCAGTTAATTAGAGAGATATAGTATGCTGTCTGCTAAGTACAAAAATAATTTTATTTAACTCAGTATAGGTTTTTTGTATCCCCAAATAGGCTACTTTTGTTAAATAAATGGGTTTTTTTTAAAGGTAGTAACTCAGCTAGGTTGTTCCTCTGTGGCCCTGGCAATAAAGTGAGCTCCACATGAACTCGTTTAACAACAATTTGTGTGCTCTTTGAGAACAGTAGAGGGGACAATTGAAAGGGAACTGGTTTTGAAACTCAGCCTGAACTTTTGTTGTGTAACCCACTTCCCCACCTTTGAAACATAGCTAAAGAGAATAGGAGCATTAGTTTACTGCACCCACATAGCAACATCTCTGTATTGTGTATCAATTTTTATCATCCTGTGAAGTTTATGTTCTTTTTACATGATCCTATTTATTGTTCAGTGTAAATGTTAACAGGGCATTGCTGTAAAATAGTATGTATTGTCAGGAACTGTATCTTTATTTGAACATGTTTAACAAATAAAACTGTTAAATAAATATGACTGCTGCAGGAGAATTGGGATGGTGACATTCAGATAGTTTGGCAGGGTTTCATCTGTGGTCTTATTATGACGTTGGTTTCCCATGATTTGTGATTGCGCATTAACCTATTTAATCTCACTGACAAAGTATTCTGCTGCAACATCTTATTAGGTTTATACACATAATAAAGGAACAATCGTGTAGGCCTTTAAAAAAAGATTTGTTTTTTAAGCCATCTGACCTTCTAGAATTAGCTTGATCCACACAGAAAGCAGAAATGTAACATAATTAAGTGAATGAAAACATGACCGAACGTCAACAGTATATGCCAATACTCGGTAGTGGAAGAATTCACGAGAGCAAAAGTTACAATACCACAATATAAATAAACTGAAGTAAAAGTACCTACGTGATATCAGCAAAATGTACTTCAAGTATCAAAAGTACAAATATACATTATTGGGACAGGATGGCCCCTGTCACTGTTACTTAACTACATACATATTATAAGATTGAATTGCATCTTGTTGTTTAAGCTGATGATTCATTTTGTATGCAAATTATTCATCTGTAACATCACTAGTAACTATAGCTATCAGACCAATGTAGTAAGTAAAGTTGGCAGAAATGTTAGCCAAGTTAAAGTACAAGTACGTTCAAATTGTACTGCACTGGAGTAAATTTATTACATTCCACTGTTGTTAATATACTGCGATGGACTGGCGACCTGTCCAGGGTGTACCCCGCCTTTTGCCCGATGTCAGCTGGGATTGGCTCCAGCCCCCTCCCCCCGCGACCCTGTACACAGGATAAGCCGTTGACGATGGATGGATGTTGCTAATATAATAAAATACAGCTATTGTAAGATAGTTAACTATTTTGCGGGTGCAATCCAAAATCAATGTACTTTGCTGCTCTGCTGTAATGTGAATAAAAAAACATGTCAAGACCAACTACCTAATCATGCTTCACTATAAGAAAGGAAAAAAGAAAATCTTTTTGTAGATCAGTTCCAAAACGTAATAAGAACAACTAACTTTTAGGCGTCAAGGTTGTGAAAAATCTGAGTATGCATTAAGACATTTGAAAGTATGCTACAGACTAATGCACAGTTACAACTGGCATGTACAGCTGCAGTGTTTTTATCAAAACTTAAACTATAGGTTGTGACGTGCCTGATTAAAAATGTTGAGAAATAACATTTTATTAATAAGATCCATCTACCCTTGAACAGATAAGATTCGCTCTCAGTTTAATTGCATAGTGAGGGCCACACCTTGCTGAATCACACTGAGTGACCATGACTGTACAGCAGCAGGCTCCATCTTGCCATCGGTGTGTTGGAGTGCAGATCATTCCTCACAGTGTATATAGAGTGCGCTCCTCTCTCTTCAGACACCTATGTATTTTCTGGACTTCCCAGCTTTACTGCTGCAGGCAGCAGGAAAACTGTCTCATGGGAAGCAGTGAAAGGAACTCATGAAATCTTAATGCAATGTGTCCTCATGAATTTTTAAGAGCCCTCTCTTCCTATTGTGCAACTAATGAGTGGGAATCTAATATAAACAGGAGAGCTGATGTGCGAGGCTGAGTGCAAACCTACCAGCGAGGCACAGCATCATCACTTGTCAGCCCCATGAAGAACAACACACAGTGACACCTGAGGACACACACGCACGTTCAGTTACAGCGGCAGCCCGTATCTGAATCATAAGCGAGCCACTGTCACTGGAGGGAAATCTTCTGATAGAGGACTGACTGGATCTGGACCTCAGCAGGATGTCCTGTGTGTGTGTGTGTGTGTGTGTGTGTGTGTGTGTGTGTGTGTGTGTAAAGAATGGTGAAGAAGGCAGGAACACATGAAAAAACTCTATGTAGTTACAGTTACACCCATGAGGTCAGGGGACACCTCTGCCCGAGACACGCCTCTACAAAAAGGCAACATAACATATGAGGAAGAAAGAAGCGGTCATGACTTCATCCTGTTGCTCTTCTTACAGTTATCATTTTCTTGTGAGGCAATCAGCGGTGGAAGAGGTTTCTAAGACCTTGTATTTAAATATAAGTAGCAATTCCACAGTGTAGAAATACTCTTGCATTCAAAAACAATTTTAGTAGTACAATATATGTAAAGTACCAAAAAAGTATTAATCATGCAGAATGGCCCATTTCTGAATAATATGTATTAGTGAATGAAGCATTAATGTGTACATCACTAATGCTGCAGCTGGTAAAGGTGGAGCTTGTCCCAACAGAGATCAGTAAACTTTTAATCTTAATCTATAACATTATCTCATATTTTATTATGATTTGTATGGTTAATCTGAATCTGTAAAGGAACTAAAGGTATCAAATATATGTAGTGGAGTAAAAAGAGTGACCTCGGAATTACAGTGAAGCAGATGTATGAGGTAGCAGAAAATGGAAATACTCAATTAAAGTACAAGCACCACAGAATTGTACTTGAGTAAATGTACTTTGTTAACGCCACCTCTGAAACACACCAGCACTGCCTGAGATTCAGCTCAGCCTGGAGGCTTTACAGCTGTGCTGCATTCCTGAGAGCTCAGTCCAACGAGCAGGTCTGAACGCTCTTGTTTTCCACTACAAAACTCCCTCAGAAGAAACGCACATAAAAGCTGCGCTTGACGCGAAAACAGGAAATGCAGTCGTGACATAAAAATGCCTGCGTATAAGGCCTCCCCCATCACTCACTAGAGCTGTGAGCTGTGAAGACAGGAAAGGGAAGGCTGTTGTGTTGACTGTGAACAGTGAGTGCACAATCTGAATGTTGAGCCTGCTGTCAACAGTTCACCTAAACAGTTAAAGAGCACAGAACTGTGACCTGCAGTGTGCTATTCAACAAGGGTAAGCTGATAAAAACTGGACCTTGTCCTCTTGTACAATAAGTTACTAAACTGAAGGCATGTCACACAGACATACTGTTCATACGGGCTTTTTGCATGTACTTTTCCAAAATATTTCCCCCAAAAACTAAAGTACTACACTCAGTGTAGCCATGTTTGATTTGTTGATTATGCTGCCTTTAGTGTGAATCAATCAAAATACTACACGTTGCCTGGAAAAAAAAGTGTTTCACTCAGTGTTTAGTTTCTCACGACACTAAATACTGTCTCAAGAGGCCTTTTCTCCCTGACAACTGTTAAGGAATAAACAGTGACCTCCTGCTATGTCTGGCATGAAATCGTGACATTTAAATACATATGACAACTGTCAGTAGCTTTAATCCAAAGCATTGTGATGAGGCAAAATGTTCCACATTTTAACAAACAGCCAGTTGGCTCTCTTGCGACACTAACCTGTTGGACATGTTTTGTCTTGGCACACATACTCTTGACAAACTGAAACCTGCTTTAACATTGTTTTTTTTATTTCTCCTTTCTAATATTCAAGTACGTGGATTCGCAGATCCAGGAAACACAATCAGTTGCAAATACTTTCAAAACATCATCATGTTCCCATTTGATCACAAATGATACCACTTTACCCCCAAAGATTCTTCCCCAGGCTAAGACACGTGGACCTCTTGTAAACATGATGCAAATCAATCTTTGCTTTTTGATTACAAAAAGTAATCTGGTACAAAAATATCTTTTCCTTTATAGGTATTTCTCTTGTTAGGAATATTTACAATAAGTACCTCACAGTATAATCTGGATTTTAAAAAGTACATACTGTAAAAGCAACACAAAAAAAAGGTCTCAGAGGGGTAAAAGGCCTTTGGTTTTCATGAAAAATACGAAAACGACAAAACACAAAAAGTCCATTCACTGTCCTGTGCACCACGACAGTGACGGCTGGATTGGTGATTGTTGGGTGTCTTGTAGCCAAGAGCGTGGGACACCAAATGTCCACAGGTTTGAACGGGTTCATTCTTCAAAAAGTTCAGAACAAAAAACTACGCTACAATCAGGCGTCACTCCTGGGGACGGCAGAGCCACACAACTTCCGCTGGGTATAGTACCCCAGAACAATGAGCAGCATCTCCGACGTGCTGCTGAGGGCCACGATGAACGGCGCCTGGGATGCGAAGTCAGCCTCCACCCGGCGGAAGGACAGCTGCATGACGGCGAGTGCCAGCAGACTATTCTGGACACCCACCTCGATGCTGACCGTCTTCCTCTGTGGTGGGGCCAGGCCCGTCAGCTTGGCCATGATGGCCCCGACCACCAGCCCCAGCAAAGGCACAGTCACCCCGACTGCCACAATCTGGGGCCTGACGTTGGCCAGGATGGACGCCCCCATTTGGTAGGCCATGAAGATGCCACCTATGATGAGCACGAAGCTGAAGGGTCGTATGAGTGCCAGGAGGACGCGGGTGAGGGCGGGCAGGCGCAGCTTGACAAGCATGCCCAACGAGATGGGGATGGCGATGAACAGGAGGGTGCCGAGGATCTTCACAAATGGCACGTGCAGGGCAGCGTGCACACCCAGCAGCCGGCCATACAGAGCCGATGACAAAGGCATGGCTGCCGCCGCCACCACTGTGGAGACCAGAGTCATGGAGATAGCCAGAGTGACGTCTCCTCCGAGCAGCAGGCTGTACAGGTAGCCGCCCCCACCACCGGGGGCAGAACAGGTGATGACCAGGCCCAGGGAGAGCGCTTTGGGCAGCGAGGCCAGCCGGGATACACAATAGGCATAAAATGGCATCACCAGGAACTGACCCAGCACCCCTAAGAGCAATGGCACCGGGCTCCTCAGCAGACCCCGCAGCACCTCCACCTCCACCTTGCACCCGAAGGCACACTTGTTGACGAAGATGAGGGGCAGCAAGGCAAACAGCACAGGGTTCTCAGAAAAATGGGACAGGCCCCCAGACTGGATAAGCTGGGTGGCCGGGTCATCATTACCGGGCGCCACTCTGATGGAGTAATCTGTCCTCTCCTCGATCAGAACCGGTACTGAATCCTGGTCTAGGTCCAGCAGCTGGATCTGCAGCTGAGCCCTGCCTGGGAACCCGGAGCGAATGCTGATAATGTAGCTCTTGGCTGGTCCTGCGTGGCCGCTATCCGTCACATTGAGGATGGAGAGGACCTCGGGGTCCAGGGAGCGGACTATCACCGTCTGCTTCCAGCTCTGGCGGCCCTTCCTGCTGGCCGCGGCGCTCCGGTACTGGCTGGAGATTACAATCACGCCGTTGGTGTTTTCGGGAAACTCGAATTCCTGCGATGACCCGTCCCCGATCCTGATGTACCTGCTGCTGCTGTCGGCCGTCAGGTTGGTGTCCTTACTGCTGTCGACAGTTAGGTTTCCGGTGGCCCACGCCCGGTCTGTTCCGCCGACAATAAGGAAGAGACAACAGAATGTAAATAGCGTCCTCATCTTATTGACTGGCAGGGGGCGGAGGGGCGCCGCAGAGACACGCTTCTCCCACGCCAGCGGCCTCCCCAGACGGTTACACCGCCGCCCTGTTACACCACGACGGTACACTTCTCATTCTACTCTTCTGTATAAAACGACAGCGTTGGCAACCGGTTCTACATCTCGTCTAGTTCCCATTTTCTCGCTGCCTTTATACCGGAACCTAAACATCACCCCGCCCTGTCCTGTCCGAGCCCAGCTCCACGGCCCCCGGCACTCAGGAAACACACACTCACACAGGTCTCTCGCGGTTTCCCTTTTGCCTAGTCGGTGCTAAGAGGTCCGTCTCGGCAAACCAAAGCCTCGCCTCGTCTTCCGTTGATGTTATCTCCCCGGTTAATGAAAACTGAGTGCATCGTAGCCCAGCTGCAGTTTGCTTGCTGCTCAGAGCTACTTCGGTAAAGTTAGCTTCAGTAATACTCGGATTTCCGGTCATGAAATGCCAAAAGAAAACCCCTTTATTTTATTGAGGCACATTGGTGGGAAAAATACATTTTAAAGAGCTTGTTTAATTTTTAATTGGGCTCATCATCTGGTGAACATCACTATGTGAATCTGCATTTAATCAAGTTAACACAACTTAACTCAAATAAAGTGTTATTTCTGTGTAGGAGTAGTGCTAATGGTTGCACTGTACTTCTTGGGAATCTGGGGGCAACAATGATAATACATAAGGGGCCCAAAAGCTACTTTTTGACCCAGGCCCCTCTAATACTGTATATACTGTATGGCCTTAAGTAAAATTCAACCCACACTAAATTGTTAAATATTTCTCATATTTTTTGCAATTTAACTCCAGGGGTAAAAAAACCCTCCAGTCTATCAACTGGTTTGCCTCACAGCTAGAAGTTCCTGGGTTTGAACCTTAGTCATCCAGGCCTTTCTGTGTGGAGTTTGCCTGTTCTCCCCGTGTTTGCGTGGGTATCCTCCGGTTTCCCCCACCATCAAAATCATATTAGTTCTCCTATCAGTGCTCCTGGCCAAGGCATTGGTTTAGAATTGGAGTTGGTCCCCGGGCGCTGTATAGTAGCTGCCCACTGCTCTTACTTTGGATGGGTCAAATGAAAACGGGCTTTATGCCTGTAAGGGCAATTGAATACAGCTCTGCACCCAGGTCAACAGAAAAGAAAGAAAAACACTGCTAATTACAGAAGTCTTGCCTGACCTGTCATGAAGGGTTTGTCAAAATTTAAAATTTTTAAATAACTTGCGTGTCATTGATATTGCTAAATTTGTGAGAGGCAGAGGAGTACAGATGAATAAGGGCCCAGCAGTTCATTTTTTCCCAGTGCCACCCACAAGGTCCCTCCAGCCATAATGCTTATACACACTGGGATCGTTAATGTTTTCTTATCTAATATCCCTTTTGTTTTGGACACACATTTATTTACTTATTACAAATAATTTATTTTTTAAAGAGAAATCACACTACTTCCTGTCTCTCTCTGGGTACCTTGACCTAACCCTTCATTAATCCAATCGCAGTGGCTCCAAGCTTCAACTCTCCCCATCCCTCCAACCAGCGAATAAGCAGGGGCGGTCTATCCACTGAGGGGGGGGGGGCAGTCAGGGATTACCCATCACACAGAGACACAGGATGACATGCATTTAATTTCCTGACCAAAGTAAAATGGCGGAATTGCTAGAAATACAACAGCGGTGTAAACTGAGCAGATAACAGAGCTTGTTAAAGTCACGCATGCCACAGGGATTGTTGGCTGTCGCTTTCACTTTCAGGTAATCCAGAATGTCTCCTGTTTCCTGACCTTTGATACCTGTAGTATCTTGTGACACTGATCCATTATGCTCATGGAGGAAAATCAACACAGTCACACTCCCTGAGCAGTTTCCAGTTACAAACCGGCCGCCAAGTAGGCTACTGCTTATTTGTCATACACGAACAGCAGACACAACCAGGAAATCTGACACTGCCGCCCATCTCGAATGTGGCATTAAAGGGGAACTCCATTCTGTCGGCATAACCCTGTGAGCATCCCTTTTTATAGTAACTGGCCCCTGCTGGGAGTCACTCCCATTTTCAATTCATAACCTCCTGTTTTCTTCTCAGGAGGGTCAACAAGGTCACTAGGTCGGTATTTTCCAGTGAGAACACCGCTTATGTCCTGAATATCGACTGGCACTACTCACCGTGTTAAGTCAGTCCTGGGACAGCTTGTTCATCATCTATTGTGTTCTCATGACTTGTGCGTCCTCCTTCTGTCACCGTGGCTGAGTCAAAGCTTCCAAAAAAAGAAAAGGCGGGGGAGTCCACAGTGCAAACACAGTGCACACCACGACAACCTGCTGGGGTGAACGCTCTGGCCTCTTCTTTGACATTTCATGGAGCGACAGCCAGTTGTTATGGGGCTGCCAGGCACGCACATTTCCTGCCTGGCATTTGTGTTGCTCCCCCTCCCCGGGCTGTCTAATTATTTACCCATGGTATGATAATTTACCTCATGACTTATTTCTCAAAGAGAGAAGGAGAGAGACAGCAGGGGAGAGGGACAGAGAGAGAGAGAGAGAGAGTGCGAAGAGTAATGCAAAAAAGCCAAGTAGATTCCACCACCGCCCATCTTGAAACTTTAACCAAATGACGACAGCAGTGAGAAATAACAGGAATATTCTTTGTTCATGCTGCTGTTTCAGCTGTTTACCCAAATAATGCAGCAGCCTGTATTTCCCTGTGCCTAAACACACACTGCATCTGTGTGAATATTCATGAACCATTTTGGCATTTCATGTTCTCCTCAGCTAGATGGATGGATTTTATAAATACTGAGGTTCAGTGTGCAATGTCTCCCAGTGAAAGCCCACCTGCCTAAAGGTGAGTTTAGACTGAACAAAACTAATTTTAGAGGTGGAGCTAGTACACAGGAAGCCAATGCAAAAACATTTCTTCACATTCAGTCTAAATGCACCTTTTTGGAGTGGCATGGCTCAGGAGGAAGAGCAGTCTTCTGGTAATCGGAAAGTTCCTGGTTTGATCCAGATGAGCAGGTTGGCTCTTTGCATGGCGGCCTCTGCCATCAGTGAATGTGTGTGAATGTTGGCACGTGTTGTAAAGCACTTCCAATGGCCGCTACCATTTTTAATTGCCATTAAAAAACGTTTATGAAATTTTCACAATGTTTAATTTCCCCCCTATTTTATTAGTTTATTTAACTCTTCAATTATTTTTATACAAGTTGTGTTACATGAAAAGCCTCCACATTCTAATGGAGTGTTACTAAATTGTTAATTACGCTTTCATCTACATTTTAGTCCAAATTGAAGCTGCATGAATTGATTTTTGTTGCAAACACACCATTGACATACAATCTCCGTTGTGCAAACATTTCCACATCCAGCAAACATGTGGCAACGCAAGCATTCATTGGAGTTTCTGGCCACATGATATATGCAAATCTAACATTCACTCTCCTTTTAGCTCCGTTTCAGTCTTCATCTACTGCTGTCTGCTGTTCCACGCTGGACAGCTAGTGTACAGTGGGTTTTATCAGAGCTTTTCTGTTGTTGGAAACAAGGTTGATAAGAGCTGCGTTCACCAGGAAAACATTAAAATAAACTCAAAGATTTTGACCTACAGTAGGCGAGGAGATACAGCATGAAATATATATGGAGTAATGCACTTAAAAAGGGCATTTTTAAAAGAAGTGGATTTATGAACTAAGGTCTTTGTCTGTGTGAAAGCTGCATCTACAGCACTACAGCACAAACATCCATTTAAGCATCGTCTGTCTGAACTCGACACACAAACCAAGCCAAATTGAAAGACTGCATCAGAGGGCAAGATTTTATTTTCACAAGATAAATATACAAAACAAAAGTGCTGAAAGATCTGCCGGACTTTGAGTATAAATAAGCCCTCCCTGTTTTAAAATGGACAACAAACTGAAGACATTATCAGAGGGTGTAGCTGCTCTGTCACAAGTGGAGGTCTGGCTTCGGCCTGCCTGCCCCTCTCACTGATGTCTACATTGAACGCCCAAAGAAGAAAGCACCGAAACCAGCTATGATCTCCAAACGCAAGAGGGGAAAAAAAGGAACCAGTCTTTTGTCAACTCATGCTGTTACGACTGCACATTTTCTTCTTATTTCTTTAATATCACCTGCTATTGATGCAAACCATCTTGCAGCACATCTCCTGCATTTACCTGAAACCTTACAAATGAACTTTTCAGGTAAATGCAGCGATTCACAAGGCAACTTAGTATGAGCAACTGACTCTTCAGCACGTATATCCCTGCTCTAAACTGAGGTCTTCTCTTGAAACTGTTAGGGATGGGACTGAGACAGGTGGGCGCGATTACTTTACTTTGAGACAGAGAAGCTTCCAAAAATATCTGAGTGAGGTTTCAGTGTGGCCAAAACCAAAAAGGGATCAGGCAACCTCACACTCATCTCAGCCAGTGTTGATGTGAAGCTGGCTAACACCAAGACAAAAACATCTCAGGCTTATCTGGCAGGAAGAGGAATGGAAAATTCCTTGTTCTGTTTATTTATATGGATCTACCATGGCAGCAACTTCTCTTCCTGGGTTCTGACCAATGTCTGTTTCAGTTTGCTTGCTATTTGCTCTCTAATCTACAGTCCTTCAGGCACTGGCGGGGGAAGCACCTATGCAAGCACCTGCATCCCAAATAAGGCGTTCGAAGCAAAAAAAGACTGAGCAATAAAAGTACAACACAGAAATCATTCATTTTGACACTGAGAAACAAAAGGTTTGAGGATTGTCCTTTGTTATATACAGTGTTGAAATGATTGCTGAAGCTGTTGTTACTTGGATGAATCTGATGAGGGAAGGAGGCATTTCTCTTTAGTTAGTGTTTCCAACATGTCGCTGTCTATTTTAAACATAAAAAACTTCAAAGTGCAAAAACTGAACTTCCCATTAAATTTGTGTCTCCTTCCTCCCGACACAGTCACCCATTTAAACCATTTCTGACTAACGGAGGCCAAAAAAACGAAACAACCAAACTTAAAAACAACATCTAGTTACATCTTTAACCCACCCCGCACCTTTTGAGAGCCAGGGATCCCCAGCTCCTTTATAATCACTATAACAGCTCATTAAAACCTTTTCATCTTCCCCACTGTACATTATACAGATTGTACAATGGGTTTCTTATTTTGTACAAAGCATTCATCCAAACGTGTGTGATTTGAGAACTGGAGTGTAGCCAGAGGAGGAGGAGGTGGTGGTGGTATTGGAAAAAAAAAGAAAAGAAAAAGAGAACAAGCAAAAGGTAAAATGAGATCCAATGGGAGATTAGAGAGGGAGATAGAAACAGGAATAGATGGATCGAAATGAGAAGGTGAACCAGAGATTCATGACTTCTCAGGTGGTATTTTTAGCCTCTGTGTGTGTGTGTGTGTGTGTATATTTATAGAGCAGGGGGATGGTAATCGATAGGCTCATTAAGTCCTCCTGTTAGGTTCAACAGTTCAATAGAAATACACACAGCTCCTGTCGCCGGCATTAAGCTCGTCTGCTTCCACACAGCTGTAACTCCTGGAGGAGCCCTCAGTTCCGCAGAGCAGCCAACCTGGAATGTGTGAAAAATGTGGGAGAATTTCATTTTATGGAGCTTTTGTGAAATGAGACGCAAGCCTTAAAGATGCAGCGCACTGAAGTACATTTCTCAACTGTCAATGTTATAAATGAACACTGTCAAGTGAAAATCAACCTCTGGTGTGAATGACGGCTCTAGATTTTGCCACACTGTTACATAAACCGATATCCCTTCACTACTCTAGATGTATGAGGCAATTGTGGGCAAGATTGGAAATCCATTAGAAGGACCGATTCGTGGAAATACTGGATATATTATATATGCCATACTGTGACTGAGGGTCTCCACATAGCTTAAGTTGCCAACAAATAGTTTCTAAACTTGCTTTTTAAACTTTGCCATAACCACTATGCCTTGTAATTGTAAACAGGTGAGCACTGGCTACTTGTAACCTACTTAATGATTGATTAGTCTCACTTTGTGTTATAGGTTTTGTAGCACAGTTGCATTTACAGTATAGCTAGACTGACCAATCTGCTTATCAGTGATATATAGGTGCGGATACGTTGGTCCCTAAGAAACATGAAATTGCAAAGCAGCAATGCCAAAAATGCCCTGCATGGTGGATTGCCTTATTTTTTAACAAGATACAGCCAACAAAATAGTGTGAAAGATGCTATGATCACAATCGTCTACACAAAGGGGCTCAGAAATGATAATAAATCTACAGTAAGCTTTTCTTGACTAGCTTTAGTTTGTCGGCCTTCCTAAACATGAAGCAAGAACAGACCCTTTCATCCTAGCAACATGTTTTCCTGCTAGAAACCTGTCAATAATGAGATCACAGCACCTTAATATTTAAACACCTGACAGGTCGGCATGTGGAAGCCGGTCCCTGTGTTGTGTCCTAATTATGCTTTCTAGAAATAACTTGTGATTAGATAGAAGGGCCACCACAAGAACAAAGCGGACAACAAAGCACCCCTAACATATAGAGAAGCTGGAACCAGTGAATGTTTGACCAAAGTTCTGTTGGCCAGCAAATCCATTAACTTATCCTGTTAAATTCATTGATTTAAAGAACATACTGTACTCGGTAGCTTAAAGTTAAGACTGTAACAGTCTTACTGCATTAGAAACAGTAAGTTTTTTTCCTTTCTTTGGTCAAAGCATGATAAGTTGCTGTCTACTTCCCAAACCACAGTTCATTTGACTATTCTGATAGCCGTTGTCACATTATAACGCAGTATCTTCCCTCTGTCTTTGAGCTGAACACAGGTTTTCTTTCTTTTTTTCTCACTTATGACTTTGCAATCACAACAGTAGTGCTGTGTGTGTGTGTGTGTGTGTGTGTGTGTGTGTGTGTGTGTGTGTGTGGGAGGGGGATACGGGATGGCACACTGGTCCTTACCGTCGAGACAGCTGGTCCTCCTTGTCCTGGCTCTGTGAGCTCTGTGCACCCACTGAGGTGGCTCCTGCAGGCAGCTGGCTGAGCTGGTCCATCACCTCCAGGCCGCTCTGCTCTGCTATTTGGTGGATCAGGTCATCCACCTGCTCCTGAGGCGTGGTCAGCGTCATTGCCGAGCTCATGGAGTCCTCCATCACCTGGTGTGGGAAAAGAGAGAGATGGGTTTGATTTTTTACGACTTAAATTCAGTCCTCATCAGAACAAAATAACAAATGCAAATAGTCTGCAGCCACTTACTGAGGTGTGGACGTCCAGGTTCTGGACTTGGCTTTCGAACTTATCCATGACTGCAGAGACCTTTTGGAGATCCATGGAGTTCAGAGCTTTGTCCAGGGCCTTGGTCACCTGGCCCATGGTTTTGGACACCTGACGGAAAAAGATGCCTTTTAAATGTA